TTCACGTTGACTGGGCTCCATTTGTGATTACCTAACGTATTTATCTGCATTACAGCTGAATTTAAATGAAACAATACAAGCGAGCAGGTGTGTCTTTTTGTGGGCGGGGCTTGCTGGAGCAGAGACGGAGAATAGAGAGGAGCTGAGGGGAAAACCGGTTGGGAGGGGTAGTGTTTACGTTCAAGATTTCTCCCAAAACCTGGCACTTCATCAGATCCTGCCGACCCCACCTTTAAAAAAAATATCATCAGTCCTTTTTTAAACTCTGTTGATTAATTTTGTAATATTCATATTGTGAATAACAGTAAACATATCACAACATGGTACTGCAAAGTAAGTTATACAAAGCCAGAGCCGTCACAAGAGATATTATTTTTTCCTTTTAACAACATAACATACAAACCTTCCCCTTCCTGCAGTGACTACTGTCCAACAAATCTGCAGGTTATTAACAAAAAAGAAAAAATTAAAATAAACAAAAACATACGTGGAGTTAAAGTTCACAGCTATTATATACATCACATATTGTATTGACCTGATTTGGTTCAGGCCATCTTAGAATAAAACCTGACCTGAACATTCAACACAGATTCACAGACTAGAAGTTTGTTGTAATCATGGATGTTACTCAATGATTTATCAGTTTTCCTGCATGAAAAATTGTGGTTTTACATATCCGATAATAATAATAATCAGAGAATAAATCTGGCAGGTGTAGCCGACTGACTGTATTTCCACCCTGTTGACACCAAAGCCATCACAGAACAATAGAGTCATTGTGAACTTGTCTGTTTGTTCAGGTGTTAATTCATACAGCGATATGAATCTCTGTGCATTTAAAGATGACAAAGTGCAACAACTGCTGAGCTGCCAAGAGATATCTGCGAGTCTGTGTGTGTTGGCATGCTAAGATTAACTCCCTATGTGTGAAATCAGCTCTGCTTCTCCCATCAGCCAGCTTCATCTCTTCGTGTGGAGTCCTGCAGCTTCTTGGTATTAAATCAGCTGAACTAGAACATTAAATCTGATAGTTTTCCATCTCCACAGCTCAACTCTCCATCTCAGACCGCCCGAGGACAGCAGCTGAGCGTGCTGCTTGTCCATTTTTTCATGTTAACTTTAACACACTTGCCAGGTAGACGTCTGCGAGGCCACAATACGCAGCCCTGAGTTTGAGTTTCTGACAGCAGGGAGACATGACTCAGCACTTAAGACTGAGAGGTAATTAAACCACAGAGGAAGAACAGACCACCAGGAGGGCTGCAAGAGCTGCCAGCCCACATGCTCTCACAGCACACAGCATGTGCTGATGGTGGACGACAGAGAGGAAGAGGAAGAGGATGATGGTGTGAGTGGTCTGCTGGCACCCTCTAGTGGTCAAACACTGACATGACAGGACAGGAGAGAAGTTAGGACTTCACAGTTCGCTTTTACTTTATGAGTTTTAATCTGATAACTCATAGAAAACCAAACTGGAAAAATAAAGTATAAAGCTTGACAAATACAATTATAAACAATAAATTTACACATTTTTTAAGCTCTAAAAAATCCCAGATATAGAGTTATTTGGAGAAACCATTATTGGAATCGACTGAAATTCATATTGATGCCTTTCTATGACACACAAAAGCAAATGAGACCATCAGTGACACGATTGACTTTTTGGATACTGTACGTTTTTATTCCTGAATCCTGTGCATTGGGGTAGGTGTTAGCCAAGCAGCTAACAAAACAGCCCAGTTTTTTGGTCTTTCATTTAAAATATTCAGGATAAAAGATAATGAATGTTTATAAGAGGACAAATGAAGGTCCTAATAATTAAATATCAATTTAAAAAATTGGCCTTACATGTTGCTTGCAAACATTCATAAGTGTTAAAAAATAAATTAACGAATTTATCTTTGCTGATAAAACACTTAAAGGCTCTATTTAGAACCTTTTAACAGTTTATTTACCTCTCATAAGCCTCCGCAAAGTGGTTGTTTACTTTATTAAGGTTAATAAGTCATTCGTGAACATTTATTAAAAGCTTGCAAAATGCTCGCAGGGAACTTGATGCCAATAACAGTATTTACAATTTTAATATATGTTTATGAATATGAATTTAACTATATGAGCATCATTATATTATAACAAACCTTTATTATTGCTTATAAGCTCCTGTATCAGCTTTTACTAAGCACAATTTAAAGACAACTTATTCATTTTAGTAGGTAGATGGTTTTTTTAAACATATTTAGGACTATTACACATTAGGATAAAAGCCTTGTAAGGATGAAGAAATCCTTTATTTTGCACTTTTCAATGGCAAATATTGCTCCTTTTTAGCCTCTTGATCTAAAGTGGAAACAGTGTCTTATCTAGAATGATAAATCCTTTATAAAGCACTTATTACAGTGAGCAATGCTCCTTTGAATCACTTGGATATTCATTTGTGGGAAAGACTCTACCACCGAATTACTATGTTGGAGAAATTAATGATCAAGTTATACATATTGATGTTCATATCCTATTACAAGTATAACTTTGTGGTCTTCATGGTAAAAAAAACAAAAAACATGTATATATTGGTATTACTACCTGTATTAGCCAAATACGTTTGAAAATATCAGCATATCAGGTTTATAATTGTGAAACCCCATTAAAAATAACTGTTAAACTGACTGGTGCTGATTAGTGAGGGCAATGGCAGACACCTCTGGTCTGCGTTTTGGGTGTCTTATTATTCCTCTTAATAGAAATCAAACTGGAGCTCACGAATTCTGTTTTCTAACCTCCTTAACCAGTGACAGAAAAATAAATGCTAGTTATAATATACAACTGTGGACTTTGGCTTCCAGACATGTTTTTACGTAACGTGTGATTCATGGACATTTGACCGAGGGACATTTGTGTTTTCAACTTCGCATATTCCTCCAGAGAAGACAAAGGATAGGAGTTACTTTAGAGGTGTTGTGGAGAGTGATGGATGGACATATTAATCATCAATACACCCATTACTGGGCAAGAGGTGGGGTGCAATCTGGTCATGTCACCAGTCAATCATATGGCTGATAGAGACATCTATTCACTATTAGAAAATGTGGTGTAGCCAACTGACCCAACAAGCATGACTTTGGGCTGTAGGAGGAAATCCATGCATGCAAACGTCAGACAGAGTGTCTGAGTGTGCTCAACAGGCCAAATGAAGAGTGTATTTATCCTTCTGTGCATGTATGTTTTTGTGCTTAACAACAGGCCAGTTTCACCAACATCCAGGGGCTCTTTTAACAGAAAGTTCTGCTCACATTCACACACTCCAAGAGTGGAAACTTTTTACAGAAACTATTGACCACCAAGCAGCTCCACTAACTCCACTGAGAGTTGAAGGCCTTGCTGAAGGGCACCCTGCTGTATTAATGAGGCAGGGGAGACACAGCCATTTCACTTTCCTCACACACTTTAGTCCTGAGAATGAACAAACTTCCCCCAACAGAGGTACTTTAACTGAAGGTTTAATTCTGCATCACTTAAAGAACACTGTGATTCAGCTCAGCGACATTTTTCCACATTTAGGGGATAATGAGAATATAAAAGGATTACTAATTAAGGTGAGGATGATCCTCGTCATCTATTAGTTAAAGTAGACAGTGTGTTCATTACTAAACTGATATGTTCATATATGGGCAGTCTCAGTATCAGATTTTAACCTTACCATAGAATTTGCCACAAAATATAGTTAAAATGATATTACTGTGATATTTATGGAAAACTAAAAAATAAATGAACACAATTAGTCAGTTAAAGACAGGCAAGACGATGGTGGACTAACACGTTAATTCATGAACTTTGCTAATATCAAACTAACTGACTAACAAATAATTAATTTATAATGATGTTTACAATTATGATTTATCCATTTCACCAACTCTGTGACTAAAACTACTTGGAGCATAAAACAATTGTCATGCTGTTCAGGTTGCTTTATTTCCTGTAACATGATACTGTGCTTTGACTTTGAGGTTAATGCGTAATGTTACAGAACTTAAAAAAAAATGTCTGAAGAGCATTTTGAAAGTTTAAATGTTCAGTTGATTACCAACCAAAAGAGACACAAACTCTTAAATTTGTTTTTGGACTAAGAGTAAATCTCTGAATGTCTGGTTCTAAAATTGTCTCATTATCTCTAACAGGGCTGCTACAGCTAATTGCGGTTCAGTGGCCTTTGTAGCCAATCACCAGGTTTCTATTTTTTGCCGCATAAATTCAGCACAGATTCGCTGGAAAGGAAGACGGGCACAGACACAAAATAAAACATTCGGCTTCTTTTTGAAATAAACCATACGTGTTTCAGGTGGATCACATTTGACACCATGCAAACGTGGGTGGAGACAAACAAGTCAAAGGTTTTTTTAGACTTCATTGCACCCAATTTCAATTTTAATTCCCAATCTCCACAAAAGCGTCTGATCTACTGGTCTGGACAGAGTGGATTTCCTCCTCTGGAAGGACACAATCTACTGCTTATATGGTTATGGGGCTGTTTTTATAGAGACAACTCTTTATCATGCAGTTGCATGTGAATTTGCGGGTTCTTGTGAGTCCACCATGAAATTCGCCTCACAAACGCATCTGGTAGGATTTGGCGGATAGTGAAAATCGCCGCCATTACACAGCGGTGCTGTTCCACATGCGGTTAGTTATGGAGGTTAGTCCTGGTTTATTTCAAGAAGGATTGGAATCATTTTTGATACAGCTGGAATAATGGGAGGAAATGTAACACTGCTGCTGTGTTTCTGACCGTGAATGGAAGGATGAATGGTCAGTAATCCAAACTGTCCTTTGACAGAAGGATATTACATAAATTGTCTGTAAAATTCGGTGATATACGACTTCAACGCAGGGTATAAAGTCCAACATCAACAATCGATGAGGCCTCACTTTCACACTGCAGCGACTTGTATTTCCACATTGATCACAGATGACTTTTACAAATCTGAGCCCTCAGAAGATGCTGAGACATGAAAAAAAAGACGAATCACTCTCCCTGCAAAACAGCACTTAGGTACCGTAATGTGTCACATCATGGACACTGGAGGGCGGAGGTGTGTGGAGCCGATAATAAACCGACATGCTGCTTCAGTGAGCTCGGCGGGAAACAAATGCTGCTTCGCCAAGCCAAACACACTCAGACCCCCGACAAGTTTATGGAGGTAACGGATCCAGGTCGGCCTCCAGCAACCCTTTGGATGTGCCACACAGCTCATAAGACACCGCGGCGAGCCAGGGAACTGAGGCGTGAAGCCTGTAAGAGCATTCAGGCGCTCACAGAGACGAGATGAAGAGAGGCTGAGGAGGAAAAGGCCTCTTATATAACAACAACACCGTGTTGTGATGGCCACAACTGCTTACACTCAGGGGAAATGATCAGAATAAGAGACATGTACACGGTCCCAGTTTCTGAGATAAACCTAATGACAACTTAATGATTTCCACATGTTTTCAATCCACTGGTGGAAATGATGTCTGACTTTTCTTAATCCCTCAGATGAATGAGAAGATTTCCTCTGATTTTCCTTCAGTGTTTCAGCCAGTAACTCCAGTCTACAGTCACAATCTCCATCCCACTAATTATGGCCAAACCTGCCAATACATCTGACCAATAATCAGATTTTCGCCAGTGAAAACAATTTTAAGGCTACATGATTGACAAAACTGCAGCATGACCTTTTTATCTGCCAAATAAGTCTATTAAGGTGAACCAATCTTCTAAAGACCAGGTTCAGGAAGTCCATGACATTTACTCATAGCATTTAGACTCCTTCCTGAAAGCCAGTCTGCAACCTTTTTTCTCCAATTTGGCGATTTTTGCCAATAATCTAATGAAAAGTAACATTATGTTACTTTTTAAAAAACCTAAAACTCCTATGAGAAGTTTTTCTGGGCTTATGAAATAGACTGAAGTTCAAATTTATGCTCTTTCATGATGTCCAAAAGCAAACAAGACCATCAGCTTGAAGATTTCTATGTCCTCATTTTTCATGCTTAAACAGGGTGACCACGACAGGAAAACTGTGCTGATTTTAGTTTACTGATACTTGTGATATGAGTAACTTTTGAGCAAGCATCCTGCCAACCCTTTATGGAACAAAACAACAACCAATCAGGAAGTACACGCGACAAATGCAGCCATGGTAACAGTGGTACAAGGGTACCATAAACCTTGACTTAAATTAGCCTGGTTATGTTTTGGTGTCTTATGGTGGTGTTAGTGTAGCTGCTGCTTCAGAGAGGTTTCATCTCCCAAATCTAAAGCTGCTTTTGTTTTGGTTAAGAGTTTAAAGAATTCAAATCAGATTTTAGACAATAATCTTTCAAAAAGTACCCAAAAACAGTTAAACTCGTCTAAAGATCAAAAGTACAAAGCTGAAGTTTAAACAGTGACCCAAAAGGACTCCTCCCCAGGCTGAAAGCGTACAGAATGAAGGTCAGGTACGTTTAAAGATGGATGAGCATCAGAGGCTCAGAGCCAAAGGTGTCGACTGCTCAGGTGTCACTGTGTGAAAAAAAGAGAGAGAGAGCAGAGAACAGGAGATCAACAGCTGTGGGGGGATCAGATCACCTGCTGGAAACACACAGTCAGCTCTGTATACCTGGACAAGACCACAGGTAAGATTTCTGTCTGTACAGGGTTTGATGGAAAATAAGAGAGGAGGGGATGAAACATTTATAATAACTGAGGACTGTTGTTACTACCAAGGTAAAGCTAAGAGCTGTTATGATGCCAGAGGTATAAACATTGGTTAGAAGTTACTCATTTATGAACTGACTGAGGTCATGTATCTTCCTTGTTACAGAAAATACTGTAAAAACAGGAAGTGACAAGTAACAGGCTAACACAGAGACGCCAATGCATGCTTTTATCACCAGTCTTACAGACTATTGTAATTCCCTGCTTTCTGGTCTTCCCAAAAAGAATATTTCAGGTCTACAATTATTAAAAAATTCAGCAGCACGTGTCCTGACTAAGACCAGGAGGCGGGCCCACATTACAGCGGTTTTAGAAACATTGCATTGGCTCCCCGTGTGTTTTAGGCTCAATTTTAAGGTTCTTTTACTTGTTTTTAAATGTCTTAATGGTCTTGGGCCTTCTTATCTTTCAGAACTGCTTTTACCTTATGAACCTTCACGGACCCTTTGCTCCTCTGGCAGCAGGCTCTTAGTCATTCCAAAAGTCAGGACACACACTCATGGCGAGGTGTCCTTTCATTATTACGGCCCTCGTCTATGGAACAGCCTGCCAGAGGACCTCAGGACCGCAGAGAACATTCATGTTTTTAAGAGCAGACTCAAGACCCACCTCACCCAAGTGAGGAATTTTCTGTCTGTATTGACTTTGGCGCCCCCTGTGGACAAAGCGGTCATCTATATATTGTAAGTGATTCTGTCTTGTACTTGTCAAAGTAGTGTTAATTAGTAAATCTGCATATGTTGTCTTTTTATGAATAGATGTGTCACTAACATTTGCTGTGAGATAAGAGGCTCTTTATTGTACCTACATTAAACAACACCTACATTGTACCAACTTCCTTACAGCTGTTAAAGGTATTTAATCATATTATATAAATCGTCGATCTTGTCGTAAAGTGTTTCATTTGCTGTTTAACATCTTAGTGGTACATCACTGTTTCCTGTGAGGAGCTTTTGGTTGGGTCAACTTTAGCGCCTCCCTGTGGCCAATCTTACACTGCTGACTTTTGAAGGTAAATTGCATCATTTATATTTAACATGCATAGTTTATGTAGACATTGTGAAACAGGGCTGTTTCTTCAAGTGCTTGGTTGACACCTACCCCCTCGCTCTAAGGGTTTCAGTCTATTTGATCAACAATAAAAGCTCCACTCAGGAGTTAAAATTTACTGTCCCTTTCTCCGTAATCTTTCATCGAAACTTAAGACCTGTTGTTAACTTTCAGCTTGGTGTTAGTTTTGGCTGCCTCTGTGGACAGAAATCTTTTTTGCTATAGTTTTCTTATTTGAAGTCATATTGAGGTGTAACTATCAGTTCAAGTCTGTTTTATAACCATTGAAAAATTCCTTAGAGGAGCTTTAAGTGAGACAAGGTTACAGCTTCGCCTCTAACCAGTTCATACCATAGTTTATATTTACAGCTTCTTTTCTGTATTTTTGCTGCACCGTTGCTCTTGTAATGTGCGTTTACTCTCCTTTCAGCCTCTTAATGGTCTAAGAAACTGTGTTTATCTGCATGAAAACTCTGAACAGCCCACGAGACTATCAGCTAAACGGACAGTTCAGAATAATACCCATCATCTCTGCACTGGTCTTATATTTATTGTTATTTCCATCTGAAGCTGAGACGCACTCATGCATACATCAAGCTGCTAATCTCAGGACATGGCTGTCTGCCTGCTGCCTCCCGTCCCAGACACACTCACCCAGCAGATGACACGGCTGCGGATGAAGCGATTAGGTTACAGACTCTGTAATTTACCGACAGGCCGTGAAGGAAACATTGGAGGCTTATTAGCTTCCAGTGAAAGATCAATGTTATCTTTATGCGGCTTCCCAAAGGTGGATTTATTTCAGTTCTAACACAAAAGGCCCAGGTGGAAAGATTTTGTTGCCTCAGTCTGTTTATTGACCGCTGTGACCTTACAACCGAGAAGTAAGACAAATCCATTTCCCCTGTAAACTCCCTTCCCAGGACTTTATATCATCCTCGCCTGACGAAATTACACCCGACATCTTTTACTGAAAGTATCTGTCTTTAACCTCTTTTTGATTCAGTCCCCCTCACATGGTCACAGGGAAGCTCTAAACATTACAGCTAAATAATAAAGTGGAGTCCTATTACCCTGGATTTAGACCTCTGAATGACGCTCCACCCCTCTGAATGTTCTCTTATTCTATAGGCAGGCCTGTTTTCTCAACTGCATGTATGAAGCATTTCCTCATTAGCATTTATTTTCTCAGTAAGGAAAGACCAAAAGGACAGACTGACACTTGCGTAGCTAAATACAGTTTGTTTAGGAACTATGTAAAAATTTTCTGGGAAAGAGTAAGGTTGTAAGAGTGAGTGGATATAACATTATGAAGTGCCCTCTAGAATGCCCATCCAAGTTACTTCCAGATCGAGTAAAAAGGTGCCCTCTAAGTGCACATCCTACAAGAATAGCATTGAAAAAGTGCCCTCTGGATGCTCTTGTAGTGGATATAAGATCAATTTGTGTCTTCTGATTACTCTTTTTGCACAAAGATAATTAAAAGACTGCGTACTGGATAGTGGATAATATGTAAAATAGTTTCCTCTATATACCGTTTTAGTGAATATGATGTAAAATAGTGTCCTCTATATACACTTTCAGTGAATATAATGTTAAAAAATTGCCCCCTACATACCCTTCTAGTGAACATAATGTAAAATACTATCCTCTACATACAGTGCCTTGAAAAAGTATTCATACCCCTTGAACTTTTTCACATTTTGTCACTCTACAACCACAAACTTAAAAGTATTTTATTGAGATTTTTTGTCATAGACCAACACAAAGTAGCACATAATTGTGAAGTGGAATGAAAATGATACATGGTTTTCAAAAATTTAAACAAATAAAAATCTGAAAAGTGTGGTGTGCATTTGTTGTCAGCGCCCCTGTGTCAGTACTTTGTAGAGCCACCTTTCACTGCAATTACAGCTGCAAGTCTTTTAGGGTATGTCTCTACAAGCTTTGCACATCTAGAGACTGAAATTTTTGCCCATTCTTCTTTGCAAAATAGCTCAAGCTCAGCCAGATTGGACGGAGAGCATCTGTAAACAGCAATTTCCAAGATGCTCAATGGGATTTAGGTCTGGACTTTGACTTGGCCATTCTAACACATGAATATTCTTTGATCTAAACCATTCCATTGTAGCTCTGGCTGTATGTTTAGGGTCATTGTCTTACTGGAAGGTGAATCTCTTTCCCAGTCTCAAGTCTTTTTCAGCCTCCAACAGGTTTCCTTCCAGGATTGCCCTGTATTTAGCTCCATCCATCCTCCCATCAACTCTGACCAGCTTCCCTGTCCCTGCTGAAGAAAAGCATCCTCACAGCATGAGGCTGCCACCACCATGTTTCACAGTGGGGATGGTGTGTTCAGGGTAATGAGCAGTATTACTTTTCCACCACACATAGCGCTTTGTATTCAGTCCAAAAAGTTCAACTTTGGTCTCATCTGACCAGAACACCTTCTTCCACATGTTTGCTGTGTCCCCTACATGGCTTGTGACAAACTGAAAACAGGACTTTTTATGTCTTTCTGTCAACAATGGCTTTCTTCTTGCCACTCTTCCATCAAGGCCAGATTTGTGGAGTACACGACTTATAGTTGTCCTGTGGACAGATTCTCCCACCTGAGCTGTGGATTTCTGCAGCTCCTCCAGAGTGACCATGGGCCTCTTGGCTGCTTCTCTCACCAGTGCTCTCCTTGCTCGGTCTGTTAGTTTAGATGGATGGCCATGTCTTGGTAGGTTAGCAGTTGTGACATACTTCTTCCATTTTTGGATGATGGATTGAACAGTGCTCCTTGAGATGTTCAAAGCTTTTGATATTTTTTTATAACCTAACCCTGCTTTAAAGTTCTCCACAACATTTTCCCTGACCAGTCTGGTGAGTTCCTTGGTCTTCATGATGCTCTTTGTTGACTAGTGTTCTCTAACAAAGCACTGAGGCCTTCACACAACAGCTGTATTTATGCTGATACTAAATTACACACAGGTGGACTCTATTAGCTAATTAGGTGACTTCTGAAGGCAATTGATTGCACTGCATTTTATTTAGGGGTATCAGAGTACAGGGGGCGGAATACAAATGCACACCACATTTTTCATATTTCTATTTGTTTAAATTTTGAAAACCATGTACCATTTTCATTCTACTTCACAATTATGTGCTACTTTGTGTTGGTCTGTGACAAAAAATCTCAATAAAATACTTAAAGTAAAAATATTAAAATATTTAAGTTTGTGTATCCTCTTTAAGTTTGTGGTTATAGAGTGACAAAATGTGAATAAGTTCAAGGGGTATGAATACCTTTTCGAGGCACTGTACCCTTCATTTGAATATAATGTAAATTAGTGCCCTCTACATCCCCTACCAGTAGATACTATGTAAAATAGTGCCCTCTACATACCCTTCAAGTGAATATAATGTAAAATAGTGCCCTCTACATAGTGCCCTCTGAATGCACTCTCTGAATATAAAACATTTAAAAAGTGCCCTCAGCATGGCCTTTCAGTGGACATTTTTTCCCTCATAAATAGTGCCCCCTGGATGCCCTTCCAGTATCTAAATTGTTATATAGTTCCCTTTGCGTGCACTTTCAGTGGATAAGGTATAAAATAGCACCCTTTGGCTACCTCTCTAGTGCACATAGAATAACATTGTGCCCTTTAGATGCACTATTACATTTAATTTCTATGTTTTGTAAATGACTGATTGAACAATTCCAGTTAAAATGTGAGCTTTTACAGGAAAAATCATCAACTTTTGACTATTTTCTTTTTATAATGTTGATTTCCTTTTCAGTTTCTATCACTAAATGTATAAATATTTACTAGATTGCAGGGAATCAAGTGTTGGATGGTTCTATGTTTAAAGCTGATTTTTTTCCTCCATATGATAGTGGTCAGTATGAATCCCTCCTCGTATCAGAAGGAATCAGTGAGGAGAATCAGGAGGAACAGTGAAAGCCTCCTTCAGGATCTCTTTTACAAAGGAGTCCATGGAGGAGACAGAGACACTCCTGTAAGTGTTCTTAATGTCAATGAACTGCTAGTGTAATTCAACACATATCTATGGATCAAAGGGTCAGGAAAGCTTTTTTCTGCAATGACAGATGCCAGCACAACCTGGTAGAGATGCTAAAATGATTCGCTCCATCGCCAGTCTGATCAGAGCAAAGAGCAAACTCCTCCTCCTGGAGAACCCTGACACTGTGGAGATCTACAAGGTCAGCACTCGCTTTTATCTCGGGTGTTTTCATCTATTTGATGTTGTAAAGCACTTAAGCTTAGAAAGGTGTTTTTCTTTTCCCAAACCATATTTATTTAACTTTTGCATTTTTGACTTCTTATAGCTGGATGATTCAGTCCGTTCCAGCAGAAACAGTAAAGGCGATCTCTACCTCCCTGCCATCAAAACCAAAGCTTCAAGTCTGAACTCCATCAGAGGAGCTTTAAGTCAATCCTGCCCATACCTGTACGACAAAAGAAGAGGATCTTTTTCCTCTGTCACCTCTCAGAGAGCTGGAGTTCATCCTATAAAACAGGTAATATGTAAGACTCTTTTTACTTCACATTAAGTATGGAGTTCAACCTCTTCACCTTTGTTTTCTTTCTCCATATCAGAATAACCTAAAAGCCCAAAAAGAGGCAAAGAAATCCAATGTCACTGTGACGATGACTTACCTGGGACAGGGTCATCGGGGGTCTCAGTCAGGGTCGACTAAGGATGAACTGAAGGTCCTCCAGCAGGTTAACGGAGGGGAGAATATCTGTGTCTTCAAAGGGCTGGTGTCTGCAGGAGGTAGGAGCTCGTAAACCTAAAACATGACAGTAAAAAAGATGCAATTTTCAAACATCAAAAATATTTGGCCAAACTTGAAGATTATTTTATTGAAGGACCCCAAATTAAAGACAAGTGGCATCAGACCCAGCAGTTTGAAAGTATCTTATCAGGTTAAATAAAGAGAAAAGATAAAACTTTAAGCTTGTGTTGTTTTAAACTTTTGCTTGGGTTTGAAACAACTTTGCCCCCCAAAAAAATCAGGATTATACTCTTCAGAGGGGGCTTGATTTAGACTGGATTTCAGGAAGAAATTATAATTTGAAGTTAGTCAAACATCACAAAATTATCATAATCATATAATAATTAAAGCTCCTGTGAGTAGTTTTCAGTCTGTGTCACACACACCTAAGTAGTGATTTATGACAAAAAAATCCCAGCCGAATGCATCACTCGTGGATAATTAAAGTAGAAATGTTTAAAAACAGGGCTGTTTTATTATCTACTTGGCTGACACCTACCACTCACACTGGTTAACTCAGATATAAAAATCTCTAGTCCTGTTAATGATGGTCTTGTTTGCTCTTGAACGTCATAAAAAATCCTCAATATAAATTTCAGTCTATCATACAAATTTCAAAAATTCCCCATAGAAACTTTAAGTTGTGTTTTTTATGCTCTTAAATGTTAAATGAGGCACACTGGAAGGTTAAAGCTACTGTGAGGACTTTTTAACTAATTGTGAAACAGACTGAAATTGATACTGACGCCTACCTATGACCATGACTGGCAAACGAGACCATCAGCAATAAGATGAAACTGAAGCAAGCGGGTAGGTGTCAGACCAGGCAAGCTAAAACTGTGTTTCCTTACATTTCAAGAGCAAATATTTAGGGCTCTATTTTCATGTACGCCCGTGAGGCGGTGGAGGGTGGCGGAGCCCGTGCAGTTGTTTTTTCGTCTGGCGGAGCCGGGCGTACAGCCAGTTTGGTATTTTCGTGGACTGAGGCGCACGGAGGCGAGCCGAGATCCGCCAAGCTGGGCGTGGTGGCGTGGCAGGGGGAGGTGTCGACAGAATCAGCGGGCGCAGTGACATTTTCGTGGTAGACCGGCGGCGTATCGACATACGTCACTGATGCCTCACCGGCAGGTTTCCACAGTGTCAGGCACATTTCAGTGCAAAAAATAATCATCAACAACTCATAATCTGAGTCAGCACATACATTTAGATCCATATAGATATATTCTGATCTATATGTGATCTGATGAGCGCGTTTGGCACGCGTTTGGACACACAACCTGACCGAATCAACACAGCTGAAACCGCATTAAATTAAATTAAATATCTAGTAAATAAACACACATGATGAAGTTAACAAGATATGTAATTCGTCTCCCTCCTTTTCTTTCTTCCTCTTCCTCTTATTTCTCGCACAGCTCGACCTGGACACGTCTCCGTGTCCTCTGTCCGTCTTGCTGCTGCTGCGGCTGAACAGATGATTTGTTTCAGTGCTCAGATGTGTGATCTACTTTAAGCCGACATACGGATATTATCATATTCAGTTTTGTGAGCCAAATTTATTTTATATGCCAACATCTATGAAAGAAAGAGCCAGGCCACTGAGCGCGATGCGTCATTTACGCACAGATGGTTCCGATTTTAATGCCATTTTTGGAGTTCATGTTGTGATCTGTGCGCACAACCCACCTTTGTCACGTGAGGTTTGAATATGAGCAACTTTATGTGAGTGTCTTTATTTGTGGAAAAGGGTGTTTGTCTTACCAGTGGGTCCAACATTACACACACCAAATCCATCTGTGCTTATATGAGACAGTGTGGAGGACACTTGTTGAGGAGCTGCCCTCTGTCGCCATCTTGTGGCATTACTGTCTTAAGACATCTCTTGATCTCTTTGACTACTTCATGAAAATAGTAATACGCCTCGCCTGTGGCGGATTTAAAGGCAAGGAGAGGAGCTTATGTGATTGGTGAAAACAGGTCTCGGCTGTGTTAAACCCACTAACCGCCCTTTCTCCTCCCCGTCTACGACTTATGCTGCTGGGAGGAGCTGAGTTAGGGAGGGGGGACACTTACGCAGGGCTGCGCAGTTCACCAAAATACCAAAATGTGCCTGGGAACGCCTTGTCAGCGCGGCGGATCTGACTGACGCTGCGCTTGCGGCACGTCTCCGGCGAGGCACGAAAATAGAGCCCTTAGAGTTAATGACACATTTGACTCTTAAAAATACTAAGTTGAGGTTCTTTAGTCACAAAATACTTCCTTTGTGTGTGCAGGAGAAGATCTGCAAAGAGTTAAAATACATATATTTGCCTATGGGGGTGCCAAAATCAACATGGACCATAATTTCCTCACAGCAGTTTTAAGGGAAATTTTGGTCAAAATATAGCTGTTATTATTGAACCTTATATATTTCAGTATCAGGATCTTACAGAATATGGAGCTTTGGCATCCCCTGTGGACTAAAGGTGCAATTTTGGTCCCCTTTATTGCAACTGTTAAAAGGAGAAGGTGGGCCCATTTCAGTTTTTATTGAAAAATGGACACAAGGAAGCCAGTTTATCTGATCCTGGATGGCAAATATGTGGATTTCAAAGTCCAGATCACTTTGAATAACCAGAGCTTATCAGGGCTGATTCCTCGTCTCCCTTCCAGCGATGGGGGAGAAAGGACGATGAGGACGTTGGCCTGCAGCTCTGTTTGAGTTGAACAAGAGTCAGAGGCTGATATGTGACCAGACTGACTAGCATCACATAAAAAAACCAGCACATACACACAAAAGAAAGCGTTTTATCTCTGCTGCTGCTTCATGTTGAAACAAAGTGTACAGCTGTCACTGCAGGGAGAGTATCTGAACATGGGGCTGATATGAGAACAAAGTTATAGATTTCTGCTCCAAACACTTTGTTTGATCTATTTACGAAAGCCTCTGCAACCGACACACACACACAGACACATGTCAAACTGGCTGTGCTGGATTTAAACTGTCATGTTATTTAGTTTGGTTTTATGCAAAATAGACAGTTGTCTACAGACAATTGTTCAATGTTCATTCTCTGGTGAGTATATTTAAAAGTGTATACACAAAAGGAGTGTACTTGTAAGATCTCTTTCCATCCTAATCAGCGTTTAGAAGAGAAAGAGAGTCTGACATTTGGATTTAATATACATCAGGTTACAGATGACGCCGTGTGCAGAAATGTGATTTCTAAATGCAGGAGAAACTTAATTTCATTTACTTTTAATGGACTGGGTTGTAAACAGGCAGAAAATCTCACTTTACTAATAAAACCAAGGCTGTCTGTGTTGGTTTAAGACAGGTATGGATTTATAAAGATAGATTAAGTCTGAATCGTTTAAAGAAATGAATCATTTGTTCCCACTAATTGTGACTGTGATTGTGTCTGTCAGCCGAACAGTGAAAATGTTGCCTGTTAGAAGCTTCCTGAAAGACAACAGTAGTGCAGGGACTCTGTATAAGAACTGAGTGGTATTTAGTAAAAGTAGAGACGGCAGCAGCACTAAACGCTTCAGTTTTATCATGCTCAATCTGTGCTCATTTCAGCTTCTGTTTTACATTTGATCTTAATCCAAAACAAATTATGCCTTTTAGTTTCAGTCAGATTTTTGCCCGTTGTAGACACTTAATAGATCCATTTAGGCCGACGTCAACATTACGTAACGGTTTTAGCTGGAGAAGACAGATGTGGACCCCACAGGCTAGAAGGTAACATAGGCGTCCTATTAACGGTCATCTTTAAAGACCCACTTATGTTCATATGGCATATCATGAGAAAAGTAAGTGCAAAATTGCATTTCCCAGTATTTCTGTTGTCAAACCTCTGTAGATCTCGGGCAGACCCAAACTGCAGGCTCAGACATAGGGCTCTATTTTCATGTACGCCCGTGAGGCGGTGGAGGGTGGCGGAGCCCGCGCAGTTGTATTTTCGTCTGGCGGAGCCCGGCGTACAGCCAGTTTGGTATTTTCGTGGACTGAGGCGCACGGAGGCGAGCCGAGAGCCGACAAGCTGGGCGTGGTGGCGTGGTAGGGGGAGGTGTCGACAGAATCAGCGGGCGCAGTGACATTTTCGTGCTCGCCACCGGCGTGTAAAGTGCGCTGAAAGCTCGCCGATTCAAACCTGGTCAGCTCTCAGCGCATGGCGGAGCGCAGCTGGTCTAGTGGTATTTTGGTAGACCGGCGGCGTATCGGCATACGTCACACATGCCTCACCGGCAGGTTTCCACAGTGTCAGGCACATTTCAGTGCAAAAAATAATCATCAACAACTAATAATCTGAGTCAGCACATACATTTAGATCTATATAGATATATTCTGATCTATATGTGATCTGATAAGCGCGTTTGGCACGCGTTTAGACACACAACCTGACCGAATCTACACAGCTGAAACCGCATCAAATTAAATTAAATATCTAGTAAATAGACACACATGATGAAGTTAACAAGATATGTAATTCGTCTCCCTCCTTTTCTTTCTTCCTCTTCCTCTTATTTCTTGCACAGCTTGACCTGGACATGTCTCCGTGTCCTCTCTCTGTCCTACAGTGGCTGAACAGATGATTTGTTTCAGTGCTCAGATGAGTTATCTACTTTAAGCCGACATACGGATATTATAATATTCAGTTTTGTGAGCCAAATTTATTTTATATGCCAACATCTATGAAAGAAAGAGCCAGGCCACAGAGCGCGATGTGTCATTTACGCACAGATGGTTCCGATTTTAATGCCATTTTTGGAGTTTATGTTGTGATCTGTGCGCACAACCCACCTTTGTCACGTGAGGTTTGAATATATGCAACTTTATGTGAGTGTCTTTATTTGTGGAAAAAGGGTGTTTGTCTTACCAGTGGGTCCAACATTACACACACCAAATCCATCTGTGCTCATATGAGAGAGTGTGGGGGATGCCCAATGCAGCGCTTACAGGGACACTTGTTGAGGAGCTGCCCTCTGTCGCCATCGTGTGGCAGAACTGTCTTCAGACATCTCTTGATCTCTTTGACTACTTCATGAAAATAGTAATATGCCTCGCCTGTGGCGGATTTAAAGGCAAGGAGAGGAGCTTATGTGATTGGTGAAAACAGGTCTCGGCTGTGTTAACGCCACGCCCTTTCTCCTCCCTCGCTACGACTTACGCCGCTGGGAGGAGCTGAGTTAGGGAGGGGGGATACTTACGCCGGGCTCCCTTTAAAAAGTTTTTACTTGTCCAATATCTGGATCCTCATCTCAGTAGCATGATTTAGTTTGGTCTCTCCCATAATGCAATGCTGCTGAGCCATCCCTGCTGATCTGCAGAGGTCATATACAGAAAAATGAACCTTGAGCCATCATCCAAAACAAGAAACAAAATGTTTTTTCAGTGGCCAAGTGGTTTATAAAATTTTGGGGTGTGATGAGGGTCCGGGCTCAGCCCCTAACAAACGCCCCTGGATAGACACCTAGGTCACTGCACTCCACCTGGATCTTAATTTGGTTTAGAGTAGATCAGAACTACAAAAACATCTTGAACACGCTACGTTAAATCTCTAATGCTTTGCTCATAATATTGAATCAATGAGTGAGTGAACGAATCAGTTCAAACAAGGAAATTTAAGGGTAAAAGTTCAATGTTAGGCACTGTGCCATCAAGAGACACAAGTCAACTGGTTGGTGGTGATAGACTGCATTTATGGACTTTTCTCCCAAGGGATAAAGGAAGTATTCTGATTCTGATACAGTATGCCCCATAAAACCTCAAACGTGGACCAAAAGGTTCCTTGTCTTGACAGTTCTTATAGAGACTCTCTTTAAATCTTTCAGAGCAGTTCCAGTTTGTCTCCAAGCGACACCGAGATTTCCCTTTCAGCGCCACCCTCTACGTCAACGGCATCACGGTGGCCAGGATCAGCTCCTGCTGTGAGTACCGCTATGCTCCGGGATTCCAGCAGGGCAGGAGGAGTTGCTTTAGACTGATGTGGCTGGCTGGTGGGATCCCCTGCTGCAGGTCAGATTTCATCATGTGGGAGAGCGCCGCACAACCGTGGCAGAAAATTAGAAATCAGTAGCAGTCAAAACACATCAGGTCAAGCTGTTTGTTTGCAGATTTCACTTATTGTGGGCTGACAGAGGAGGTAGAAGCTCGCATGCTGCATGCCTTTGGGGATGGAGTTGGTGGTGGTATATGGGAGGAAATGTGAGTCAGGATGAAGGCGTATTTTTCATCTTTTTCAGATGTACCAGTCTCCGAAACAAATACAGCTCCTGCCAGCAGCTGAACAACGGCACACAGCAGAACCTAATTCTCCCTCTAGAGCGCAGCCCTGGCAACGGTACAAAGCCCGAAGAACCAGTGGCTCCATTTTCCATTACTTCCTAAAGCTTATTCATCAAAATTTTCTGACATTAGGCCCAGTCCTTGATTCCAACAAACTACTTTCAAGAGAAAATGTCCAACAAAGCACTTTTTCGCTTTCATTTTGTCGCCAATGTAGACAAGGTCCAATCAAGCCCATCATCCCCTTTGTTCATCCTGGCCAAACCAGAGAAGAAATCAACAAGGAGGACAAGAAAACACATCAAAGGTGGCGGCGGAGGATCTACAGACAGCGAGGACTCCACTAAAGCAGGGATTAAAGAGACGTCCAAGAGGAAACGACGCAAAGGTCAAAGTCATCACAAAGAGAGCAAAGGCAAGACAGGGGTAAACAAGAGAGAAGACAGGCGAGACAGTAAAGACTCAGAGGAGTCACAGAGGCCGACAGTGATGGAAAAATGTGAGAAAGAGCAGAAAAAAGACAGCAGAGTTGCAGCTTTGCAGCCGCAATTACCCCCAACAAGCAAAGTTCTCGGTAAGCGATGTTTGACTCATTTGATTCCTGCATGAGAGGGAGGAAAAACTGATGTAGATACACTCTACACAGTGGATTGCAAATGACTTTCGTTGCATTTGCATGTTTTTTCCTATTGAATATGCTTTGTGGTAGCAAAAAATGTATGAACAAGAGCTTTTCTTTGTCAAGACTCATTTCAGGGCGAAGAAGCGATGACTAAGCAGAACGCGGAGAAGCAGAAGGACCCGGGATCAAATGGGAAAACCAGAGACGGGGAAAGACTGAAAGACTTCTATGAAGAATGTGTGGAAATGAGCGCCGCGTTGGAGCAGAGCCCAAACAAACACAACTGGTTCAAGGCAAACAGTGAGTGGAGAAACCACAGCAGATCCACAGAAGGAACGAGTTGGAATCCCCCGGAGAGCTGTGACTGATTTACATAACACACTTAGGCAGAAATGGTGAATCTGCAAAAAAGTGATGCATGAAGGGATGTCTGCTGGAAAGAGGGGTCGTTAGAGAGGTTATCCAGGCAGTATTCACGCTGATACCCACATGACTGCATGCATAAATCTCACTGCAGAAGATCTGTTCGCTCTATTAAACTGAAATTCAGATTTCATGACTTGCATTCTCACATCAACAGTGGGTATCAATATCACTATGTGCATTTGGCTTCTGGGGCGACACTTTTATTGTTGCATGACTTGTTTTCTTCCTCTTTGCATGCCAAGTCCTGGAGAGGTGCCGGCTGCAGAAGAGGCTGTCATCGGGCCCCAAAAGTCCGGGCTCAGATGTGGAGCTCAGTGCTGAAAGTGACGCCGTCCTCCAGCCTGATGAAGGGCCGGAGGTGGCGGAGGAGGAGGAAAAAGAGGACACGGCCAGTCAGAGCGCTGGCAAAGAGGAGCCTGTTACAGAACAAGACCTGCAGGCGCAGGTGTGTGTTGAACACAAACTACTGAGGTGAAGCAGTGTTTTTGCCAGGATGGTTCTGGCAGCGAAAAAACAGAAAATGCCCTTGAAATTCGCACATACTTTTATGATGCTGCAGTGTGAACTCACTTCAGTTAAAACTGTTGATTTAGACATAAAAAAGATAATTCTTGCTGCATGATTAAACACATAAAAACACATGCACTACTATGAAAAACTCAATCCTACTCCTTGCATTTAAGGGATATTCTGGCATAAGTTTAAGTCGCGGTCAAACACACTGTAATGCCAAGTTAGACACCCCCTTGAGAGATCAAAGTTGCTGACTGTTTGCTTCTCTAGTTATACCAACTTATGTAACCACCGCACGATTAGCAATACACAGCAGTCTACATCTCCATGCACAAACCTTAACCAAAACGCCACTCTACAGCCACAAATAATACTCAGAACAGCACCTAACTTCATCAACAGTACAAAGAGGGTCCCAGTCATAGTACAAGCCACCAAATATCTTCTTAGCTTTGCCTAATTTCTTTAGCAAAGAGATCTAACACATCTCACCCACTCTCCTCCAGCAGCCACTTGTTTATGGGGGAGCCCTGACGAGTCAATCACACATGGTTGGTTGAGGTTTGCGCGTGGAGATGTAGACTACAGTGTATTGCTATCCTGCAGTCGTTGCTTAAATCGGTATAACTAAAGAATCAAGCAGTCGGCAACATTCATCTCTCAAGGGGGGGTTGTCTCGATGTTATGGTGTGTTTGACCATTACTTATATTTGCCTGGATTGCAGGACAGGATATTCCTCCACTTTTTTCTACCAGAGATGATTGATGTTAGGAACAGGCCAGTTACCAGTTATACATACCAAGGTACACCGCAGTTATTGTTTCAACAAATAATGTTATTCTCGGACTACAGCTGGATGCAATGATGACAGTGCTGAGCACATCCGATGAGGTGGAGCAGCTGGTTCTGAGAAACACGGACCTGACTGACGACCATCTGCTAAGCCTGGCGGGGGCCCTGAAGAAAAGCCTGTCCGAGGTCACTCTGCTCAACCTCAACCTCAACCTCATTGGTCCATATGGCGCTCACATCCTGCTGGATGTTCTGCGAGTGAAGCCTCGGGTCAGAGGCTTACAGTAAGTCCACAGCTCCAATGACCCATGCTACACCAAAATCTGAGTGGAGAAAACTCACAGAATAAGAAACAGAAACAGAAACATGCAGCTTTTTTTAAAGAGTTCAAATCTGACTTTATAAAAGAAGAGAATAAAACTAAGCTGACAGTAAAAAGACACTGTTAATCCAAGGACAGCTTCATCTTTGCAGAATAAAATTTTAGCCCAACGCCGCTGAATTACACAATCCATCTCTTTTATGTGGACAAGAAAGGCCTCCAGTGCCTTTTCTTTTGGAGTTACTTTTTTCTATTGTTCCACTGAAAAGACAGTAAATGTACCAAAACTTGTCTTTTTTAAGAGGCATGTTGATGGATGTGAATACTTACAGTGCAGCTGACATTTGAGAAATAGTGTAACTCACACCCTGCTCATCACATACAAGAGTGTCATGTGTCCCTCCAGCATCACTACCTTAAATGAGCCTTGCTGCTATTTTTTGGGATGTTAGGACCCCCTCCCCTCCCTCTTGTGTACAAAGTGACACAGCAAAAGTGCCCAGTGTTTAAATCAACATTAAAACATTATACAAACCCCTCTACAATGCTCCTCTTTGATAAAAGCATGGTAATTGCTACAGTAGCTGCTGCCACGTGTAAAGCATGCCTTTTGGTTGCCTTTCCAGTGCATAAAAAATTAGGAGTGTCCCTGATTACTGATTGTGACTATAAATTGTATGAAAAGTGATGTCTATAATATAAAATATTTCCTCTGGATGTCTTCACAGAATATCAAAAATAAAAGGGCACTCTGGATCCCCATCCAGTGTATTCAATGCAAAAGAGTGCAAATAGTGCCCGTGGATGCACTTACACTATTTAAAACTTAATAAAAGGTGCCTTCCCTTTGGATGCCCTTCCTGTATATACAATGAATAAAAGTGCTTTGAGATGCATTTCTAGTGAATAAAAAAAAGGGGCATTCTGGGTGCCATCAGGGTAGATTCAATAGAAAACAGTGCCCTTCTAGATGCCCTTACACACACAAAAAGTGCCCTCTGGACGGCCCTCCCTGTTTCATTAGATGTAAAAAAGTGCATTTGGGTGATATCTCAGTCTGTAAAGTTAAATAAGAGCCTCTTTCATCATTAAAAACGTGGGAAAAGTCCTCTTTGATTACCTTCATAACTACTGTAACTCTGACTCCCTCACTCATCACTGTTTTTTGTAAGATCACTTGGGATGGTATTTATCATTCGCAGGTAGACTAAAACACTGGCACATTCTCATTGTAGAGTCTTTCCACTGAGTCTATACACCTGAGTTCCAATGGGTGAAGAGCTAGAACTTGTTCTGACGCATGATGTGACGATAATAACCAAGATTCCAATATTCTTTCTTTGAGTACGGTGACCCTTTTATTTTCATTCAAACAAAGAGAAAGTTCACCTGCTGCCACGCAAACATGGTCAAAAATCTGTATAGCTCCGCCCTCCACACCTGGCTCATTACCTGGGCCTACTTAAATACCCTTTTATGGTGCAAAGAACCAAGGAATAGAAACAAGAAATGAAACACACAAAAGAAACTAAATAAGGGCTCCAACACTTGTCTACAAGGTTATTCTTGGCCTTCTACCCTCCTACCTTCAGACCTACATCATCCAGACGAGTACAGGAACTTACAGTCTTCGCAGGATTTTTATTTGCTGTCCATCTCACTGAGGTTTTCCAATGATTAAATGAAGGTTAAATAAATAAATAAATAAAACGTAAAAAGGAACCGTCTTGTTCCTCTTTTAGTATCTGCAACATAGACAGGTCCTCTCTAGTTTCCCTTTCCGTATATAAAACATCAAAAAAGTTCCTTTTGGGTACCTTTGCAATGGATAAAAAGTGGTAGTCTAGGTAATTTAACCTTATGTTACAGTTCGTTTAGTTGAAATGCAAAAAAGTGTAATACTCTAGAGAGTCTGTTTTGAATTAAAGCATTAAATCAGTTTATTCCAGGGTTTGAATAACTTTGAACTACAGTCATTGTGGAGTCATAATTTTGTGTTCTCAGTTTATATAATTGAATCTTCTCCACCAAATGTTGCACAAATAATCACCAGATACATCGAATGAAAAGTGCTGTTTAGAATGAATAGTGGCACATTGTGCTAGAACGACCATTTTCTAAACTTCTTGTTGTTTCTTATAATTAAAAGTTTGAATGTCTCATTTATTTTTCCTTTACATTCAAGTTTCCATCAGTAATAGCTTAAATGAGGACATTTCCTCTGTGCAGCAGCCAGGAAACCATCAGACACTGAGGGAAGTTACTCGTCCCTGCCAAGAAATAATCCAGTAAAAATACACATTTTGGTTTGGATTAAACAAAAATTTCTAATGGGAGCAACAGCAGATCAAACGTGTCTCTGTGAGAGTTTAAAGTATTTCCCAAAATGCAAGGAAATCAAAACAATAACCCTGGATTTGTCATTTCAGTGCTTTTCCAATTATTAAAACCCTTAATCCTTAAATTAAATGTGTTTCTATCACATTAAAGGGGAAATAAGTGTTTAAGGATGCCAATTTTTCAACAACATGCTGCAGAATAAGGAGATGAAAAATATTTTCTGTCTCATTTGTTTTAAAAAGATAAAACTTAAAGTCAGAGTGCAAGTATACACCTTTTAAATTCTGCTTTTTTATGTAAGAATCAAACTAAATCTCCATGGTAACGACCCTTTTCTTCTTTTTCTCTGCAGCCTGTTTGGAAACAAACTGCGTGACCACGGTGTGCTGACCCTGCTGAGTGGAGTCGTTGAACTGCAGGAACAAACACTCAGAACTGCTGCAGCCATCCAACAAGCCATGCTTTTCCCATCAGAGGAGAACATGCTGCAGCTTCCCACTGGGTGGCGCTCTTTCAGGGTTTTTGCACTGCAGGAGCTGGATGTTGGGGGTAATGGCTTGAGCAGTGATGGCGTGAAGGTGTTAGCATCCTATCTGAGGCACCACTCTTATCTTCAGTACTTGGGGCTGGCACAGACCAGCGGGGCTGATCTGGCAGCGTGGAAGGAGCTTTTTGATAGCCTCAAAGGAAACACGTCGCTGACTCAGATCATTCTTGATGAGAACAACTTAGGGGACCCGGGGGTCAGGCTGTTGGCTGACATGCTAAGGGAGAACGCAAGTCTTCAGCAGGTGGATCTGGACAGGAACGAAATCAGCGATGTGGGAGGGAATGACATCATGGGGGCGCTGCTGTGCAGGATACAGTTCCCGCTGAAGCATCTGAGCCTTCAGGAGAACAACATCAGTGCAGGACTCATGAGTAGGATACAGGAAGAGGTGAAATAAACCCTGTAGGAGGGCAAGGATACACTCCAAAGCATGAGGACATATGTAACATCATAAACCTGGCTCTGGCTGGAGGACTCGGAGGATTCTCTGTTTACATTCTGAGGTGAGAGAGGGAGAAAACCTGACTCATTCGACTTGTTTGACCCTCAAACACACACTCAAAGATCTTCCTTCCTGTAACTGGGTGGCCCTGCTCACAAACGCTGCGTCTTAGTTTAGCCCAGGTAGGCAGTGTAGGAGGCATGTTTGCTTTAGGGCAGCAATGTGGTCTGGATGCTTTTTCAAAGAGCTCTCAATAAACTGAACCTTTCTTCTTTGTGGTGAGGTTACATCTTCACCTTGAGTTTTTTTTCTCTTCTTCTTCCCACCAGCGTTACCCCTCGTGAACCCACACCTCCTACTTTGCTAAAACCAACTCCGGCTCAAGGCTCACTGAACCCGCTGTCGTTTTTATTGAATAATTTGCTGCCTCCTGACAAAAAGGAACCACGGTGATTCATTCCACCCACTGTACTCACAGGTCACGGATGATTTACCCGTGACTTTTATCCATCCAGAACATTTCAGTAGCCATCATCAGATCTCTTCTCTCCACTTCTACGAATCAAAAGAGTTATGGACAGCTACACCACAGCATGTAAACTACCCTCATTTTGTCATTTTTGCCTCGACACAGAGCTTCTATTCAGAGTTTAAGCACGTTGGGTGGGGGGAGAAAAACTGGGGCAAATCCGACTGAATCCTGAGGCCGTCATCTCATTGTTCTATCAACACAGACATACTGAGAATAACTGTACCTGTGATCAAAGCTTGTCAAAGTAGTAATTATCTCCTCCTCTCAGGGCTGCCAGCAGTGATTCTGCTGAAACCAATCCCTCCATATTTCATCTGCAGTCTTTGCGAATTCCTCTGCACAACCCCTGATAAAGACGCTCTCCAAAAACCCCAGGAGGATGACAGATAAATGAGACTGGCGCACCTGAAGATTACATCTGCAGAAGTCATCCAGCACTGCCGTATCAGACAGAATAACTTCTATTTGCAGCATTGAGGCAGCGTAGATTTAAAGTAAAAAGATGTCTGGTCTGGGTTGTCTTATTTTTAAGGTCAATTCTTTGTATCTAAAGTTCTGCCGATGAGACGCGCAAGATTTTGTTACCAGCAATAAAAGGAGAAAAAGTTTCTTTTCTCTTTGGCTGCTGATCTTTTAAAAGGAATTTCACATAACAATTCATGCTGACTTTATTGGATCAACTTTGTTACATGCAGAACAGAAAACACAAGATTTCCACTTTCTTAGAAATTGTCACATGAGGTGGATGCTGCTCTCTGACAGTTCCATTTGCCCCATAAACTGTTCCTACTCTTTTCTTTACTGCAAAAATAGCACAACCTGATATGATGTACAAACTATGGCTCCACATGCTTTAATAACACAAGTCCTCTCACAACCAATGAGAATGTATTGAAACTAATCAGAATTAATATATTTATGGATCTAAAAAGGAGCTTGTAGTCCAACTGAAGATGCTCTAAATTTGATGGGCTAAAAAGAAAAACTTTTGTACCTCTTATTCAGACAAGGCAATAAAGTAAGTTAGTGTTAGCTCGTTATAACATGGTGTATGCTGAGTTGCTCTGTACAGTATTTGTTGCTGTGTAGCTTTCACCTGCTCCATCCTTAAGGTGATTCACACCTTTGTGGTTTATAGTAGGTAATCAAACCTGTATCATAAAAACCTCTGGCATATAATACCTTGTCATTCTCCTGTGTTTTGCTCTTGTTGAAGTTAAATCATACCCCGCAGTAAAATAGCAGTTTTGGCTCATCAACCACCTTTATGCTTTTTCTTATTTTATCCTAATACCAGTAATAATGAAACTGACTTCAATCCATTGTAGCCACAGACAACTTAAATCCCTGCAATCTGAACTCTCTGTCTGCCTCTCAGTTTTGCGTTATTATGGCTAAAAGGCTAATGAGTATAAACAGTTAAATTGTATATGAAGCTTTAAAGTGATTTCCCATCACCTGTAATTACTGCAGATGTATTAAGAGACGCAGGATCCCCCCAGGCATGAACAGCTGTGCTTTAACGATGTTCATTTCTGCAGTATCACACACTGTAAATACTTGGGTTCAAACCCCCCCCCCCCCCCCCCCCCCCCCCACACACACACACACACACACCACACACACACACACACACACACACACACACACACACACCTCTAGTCATCCTCCCTTTGAGATGATGAAACAGAAAAGTTTACATATTCATCCCATGTTTTTTGTCGTGCTTACATCTAAAATATGACAGGGTTAATCCGATAAAGTCCAAGTCTAATAACACAGACTTTCTTGTAAGATCTCAACAACCACCAGGAAAAAATAAGTGGTACACCATCACGCCTGGCTGAGCATAAGCTGGCGAACAAACAGTGTACTGTAGCTATAGTCCGATAAGGTCTTCATGCTTCTCTGTTACAAGAAAACCTCAGATCAGTGACCCCATTGTCTGTCTGCTAACGTTATCTGTATTTGTCCTGAAACAAATCCTCCAGTGTTACAAGCTCCTTTCAACCCCCCGTCCTGAGACAAGGCTTCAATCTCACGAGCTCAATCTGAAAGGAATTTACAGGTCTGCTCAGAGGACAGTTTTCCCCCCGTTCAGGTCTCTTTGTAGGTTACTGTACCGGATCAATTTGTGCTCCAGCTCCACAGTCAGACAAAGATGTGCTAACCCTGCAAAAATCCAGAGCTGCACTTCAGACAGGATATAATCAAGGTAAACACATCTTTCATCAGATCTACACCACCACTTTTTATAGCAGCATGAGTACACCTGATACTCTGGTTTACAGGGGTGAACTTCCAGACTACTGATGCTGTACCGTGGAGAAAATAGAGTCAGGGAAGTCTGGGGAATTGAGCTTTTTGATTGTGTCTTAGGGCAACAACAAAACAAATGAAGTGAGAAATGGTTACTTACCCTCATGGGAAGTTCAGTGATTCAGATTTTCTTTAAGGTTCCTCTTCGGGGTCATGCAATTTATTTCTATCTAAAGCAAGTAATGGGTCAGAGTCTCTTTGGAGGGCTATTAATTCTTGATATCTTAGTTTCCACAGACCCTCTGGACACGAACAGATAAGTAAAACATTTTCAACTTATTTATTCTGAATAGCAGCATGACCCCAGGGAGTCTATCTGTTGGTTTTGCTCCATTTTGGACCAGACTTCATCTTCCCAACAAGTGTATTTTTGGGTTTCTCTGGACATCATCGCTGTGTCATCTAGGACTGACATGGAATCCATGGGTGGAGCAAGGCTTTGTATACCGGGGTGGCCAGACTGGGGCACAGATCTTTTCAGTCCAAACCTGGGAGGGACATTGGGCGGCAACCACAGACCATATGGATAACTTGGCTCCGCCTTCCGTCAGTATACGAATTTGAAGCTGATTGCTCTCTGTATTTCTGGAATTTTTTCCACTTCCTGGAACCACCACTAACATTTTAAAATTTTTGAGCAGCCTGCTCTTTCTGGCTGTAAACAAAGCCATTCTCTGCCTCCCCCAACCTGATTGGTTGTGAGGCAGACCCTGCTCCCTCGTGCTGATTGGTTGTGAGGCAATCAGCAAGTGTCGTGAGGCATGCTCCACGTCCTCGAATAACGTGCATAGGCCCAAAAAAGTTAGCTTATTACAATACCGGACAGTAGAAAGAAACCAGAAATCCTCCTTTGGCCACTGTTGTGAACACAAGCAAGAAAAAGAAGTAAATACCAGAGACTCAGGCGGAATAACAGGAGCTTATAAAGGAGGCAGACCGGACAAGAGCTAAAAAGCCGGGTCAACATCAATGAATCATAAACGATTGGGACACTGGGATCTTACGGAACCTGTAACCTTTCTGCTGGACAGGTAAACCGCTTTAACAAAGTAAGCCAAGTGTCTGTGACAGAAGTGTTTTTTGTGAAACGGGACCTGCTGTGTGTTTTAGCGCCACTAAACTGTTTAGCTGGGGTCCTGGAGTATGTCACTTTATCCTAATTGTAGGAGTCCTGCAAACATTGTGTTTGCTGGTAGTCTGTTGGCATCTACAGCAGCACCAATGCTTTTTACTTACTGGGCCCCATTTGTAATTATCTGAAGTATTTATCTGCATTATATCTGAATTTAATTAGAACGATACGGGCGAGGACGAGCGTCTGTTTGTGGGTGGGGGAGGAGAGGAGGAGCTGAGGGGGAAACTGGTTCGGAGGGGTAGTGTTTACATCCAAATTTCTTGAGAAATGAAGCCGATGCTGAAGTGCTAAAACTGCAGTACCTTGAGTGTCCACTTAAAGCTGACTGCAGGAGCACTGGAAACCACATACACACTGTTTCAAAAAACTGGATTTTAGAGTTAAAATGAACATGTAGTCTGCTCCAAAAATAAGGTTCAGTCTGAATGTCTTAAGGCTCCCACAGTGCCCACTTCATGAGGAGTAGATTTGTTGTTTGTTGAAAGATATTGAGGTTACAAGACTAGCAAACCGGAGGCATGACTGTCGGCCAATGCCACAGGTATGCTTTAAAATTTTTACTTCACTCCAGCATTTTCATGCGCACTTTGTATTAAAGGCCAATGCAAAAGTCTACTACCTCTAGTTTTAAGCCTGGATCTTCAGACAGCTAACACCCTGTTGGCCTCAGTTGTCTATGGTAAAACCAGCAGATTGGGTTGACCCAATACAGTAATTGCTATTTTCTTTTCATTTATGTTCAAGAAATTGAGCTGCATTCATAATTTAACATCCCTCACACAGTTCAGCAAAGCTTTCATGGGTGTGTTATTTGTTGTTTTGCAAACCATCTGCAAAGCAACAGAAAGGGCTATTGTGCAAAAAAAAAAAAAAAAACTTAGTCTAGTAAGGTCATTTAGTCAAAACAGAAAAGTCAGGGTTAAGAAGCACCAAAGTCCAAAAACAGACACCGGGAAGGACGGATGAAATGCACTGGAAAACTGTCCTACTTTTCTCACTCGTGTTTGATTTGTCTTACCTGTGACGAGACAAACAGAATGGACCTACCAAAGAACTACAGACAATGGCAGGAAGCAAAACCTCAAGACACAAGAGAGCTGGCTGAGCGACTAAGTGAAACAGGAAACAAAGGAGCAAAAAGACGTAACACTGACAGAACAGGGTAATATCTGCAGATTAAAGGTAACATAACACTAAGACCTGTGCACTCGTTCACTCACAACATTTCAAGACTGAGACCCATTGTGTTGATTCACACCAAACAGGGGGGTGAGTTTCTTTACTCAACATATGTTTTTAATCAAGGCTTGATCCAAAGGGGTAACTGGACTTGGTTAAAGCTGCCCTTTGGATCAAGCCTTGGATTACCATGACATCTGTTTGGATTACTGTAAAACGGAGAGTAATGGATAAATTTGCACAATAAAGGTTTTGAATGACAAATGGGCACATTTTAGCCATTTGCCAAGAGGCCTTACTCAGCTTCACCTCTGTGCTACTTAGTAGGTTGACCAAATGTTAGGTTGAGTCAGCGTTTCCAGTATCTGCCAGTTTTCCTAAAGCCTCTCCAGAAACCAGTGAGGGACGTCACTAAGACTCAAGTTCGTGTTTATGCAGTCTTTACTTTGTACTCGTCTGTTTGGATCTGGAACTGTGTTTCTCCAATATTTCAAAAGTGATGTTAAACTATCCAACAAATCCTCCTGAAGCACCACACTGGGGTCTGTAGTATTTCATCTATATGTGTTCATAAATATAAGATGTTATCTGTAACAAAGCAGCCTTTATTCAGTCCGTATATGTCCTGGTACAGTGGAGTACTGTGAGCACACAGAGGCCTCTGAACTGCATCATTTTCACTGCAGCCAAAGGTAAAACTAAAGCATGCTGGGATTGAATATACCCACTGTGCCATGAAAACAGTCTATAGCATCAGGGAATAGATGGGCAGGAGTGCATTTGTGTGTATAGTTGCCCTTTTTTTTTTAGCCTGCATCTGAAAACCCAGGTGGCGTGTTTATGTTTACCGACGCCCAGGGGCGGCGGGCTGCTGTCGGAACAGCAAACCCTCTGTTAAGTCAGTTTAAGTCTGCTTTGTTCTTACTGCAGGAACACATGCTAATTTACTTTGTCCGATCTGTCCAAATCAGATGGTGCCGGTTCAACTTGACCAATTTGTTTAAACCTAAAAATACTTTCAGCTTGGATCTGCTGTAAGCCCTGACATGGAGCCAGTTTACAGAGCTTATCAGGTAAGATACTGCGTTAAGAGGAGGCTTTGATGGGTTTCTTATTAGCAGCACAGAAATCTTTCTTTCATCCTCCTTTCTGCTGAAATAAACTGTGAGAGAGCAGCAGGAAGTTGATATTGGCACCTACTTTGTGCACACAGTGAAGCAGAGGATGAATGCAAAAGAGGTCTGGCCAAGGATGAGAGTGGAGGGTTTTATATTTGTGAGATCTCCTGGAAGCAGATGCCTGATTTCTTTTATCACCAAGAGAGAAATTTATAAACTGGATACTGCAGCGAGGAGAAAATTTACGGAAGCATTCACGGTAGTAGAAGTAAATATTTCCTACAGCTGTGATCAACAACCTTACTTATTACTCCAGCTGTCAGGGTTTAAACTACATTAGAAAAAGAGAAGAAAATAGTCACCTTGGAGCATGTCTAGTTTAAACCGATAATACAAGGACTCTAAGTTTCTTCATTCAAAGTGCAAACAAGTTAATATTTCAATGATGTAGCCTCCTCAACTCCAAAAATGTTGAGGAATAAGACATCAAATCTTAACCAAAGATGGTAAAGTCATGGAAAGTTGAAGGAAGACAGCTTCAGAAAAGTTTTTAATAATGGGGCAAACATGTCAATTGTGGTATGACCTTAAATCCAGGGTTAGTGACGTGTCCTGGTCCACTTCTCTCAAGTTACTCCAGGCACTCTGACCTGTTATCTTAACTTTAAAACATATTTAAAGTTGACTGTTCCTGATGGCAGAGACCAAAACTTGAGTTGCAGTAAGCGCCACACACCCTGGGATTACTTGGACAAATATCAGGTCACAGCAGGCCCTTGGCAGGGTCCTAAATCTGGCCTACAATGTTCCAGTTTCTCATGTCAAAGACAGAAAATCTGGAGTTTTTAGTTTTGATTCTGAAAAATAACATCCCTGATGATGCAACATAACCAAAATTCAGAATAATGAACATAAAATTGAACAAAAAGGAACAATGAAACTCACAAAGACAGCAGGAGTACTGTGGAAGATAAAAATTTAGGGAAATGTGAACTGGCTAAGAACCACCAGTGCAGGAGTCTAACACAACACTCCTAAAACTCTTCAGACTGAAACCACTGTGAGCCGTCCTGGAGAACCAAAGTCACTACAGCGTGTGCCCCAGCATGTTGATAATGATGAATAAGAAGTTTCTCCTCTGCTCTGTGAACAATAGTTACTGCCGCTGTTTGACATTTGGCAGAAAGAGCAGCTTTTCAATATGGATTATTCATCATCGGCTTGATCCTCCGCTCAAATGTCACCACAACAATGCCTCTGACTTGGCAGCGGCTTCCGTCTTTCTGCAGCTCTGCGGGTGGAGGAATTGGCAATAATTACTACATCTAATGTGGCCTTCACAAACATTTAGACTTGTGCTTTTCAAGTTATTATTTCTGATTATCGAGAGGTAAAGAAAGGAATGCTAATCTTTGCCGACCACATCACTGCAACACCAACCTCAAATCTCTGACTTAGAGGTTCCTTTAAATGCAGAAGATGCCCAGACCTCCGCAGGACTGCACAGTCCTTTAGGAGACTGATGGACTCAACAGACCTGTGGCAAGAAAGAAAACAGAGTGAGTTTACTTAACATCCACTTTGACCCAAAAACATGCTGGAAATCAAGTACCTGCCACTCACCGAAAAACCCAAATGTCCATGATATTTTCCCACAGTGACTTCTACAAACAAAACACTCGCTATATTCAGTCGGAGCACTGATACTCAGCTCTTTACAGATAATTGCATCTGCACTGAAAAAGATCAAAATAACCGTAATATAACCAGACTGTAATGTTTCATGTAAACTCAGTGTCTTCATACCAAGTAGAACGGTCACAAGTTTATCACAACCAGAAAATATCATGATGTTTATAAAAAAAATACACAATCAGCAATTGTGTAAAGTTTCAATTGCTTTTTAAATATTTTTTCTGTCTCGCTTTCAAGTTGCACTGTATAACTTTGCTTTAATTTTGAAGGAGGGCTGTCATGATTTTGGATTTTTTCCCTCACAATTATCTGGGCTAAAAAATATCACAATAATATTATCATTATGTTCATGGAAAAACTTGGAATTCAATACAATGAAAAAAAGAGGTATTGATGTTCAAATTTATTATTTATTCACGTCATTGGCGGTATGACCAAAACTTCTTCAGAGGGACTTCTTCATAAAACGAAGGCATGCTTTCATTTTGTTTATTTTTCACTACATATCAGTTTTTATCTCTTAAAGAGCGGAATTAAAGGGGGTGTATTATGCATTTTTCTCAGACTCTATACTCATTTCGTAATACCTTTTTAACATCTTTACATGATTTTTAGATCAAACAGCCTTCTGTTTCTCACCCTGGTGTATTGACATATTGGGCTCTATTTTCGTGCCTGCCGGCAGCACAGCAGAGGGTGCTGGACCCTGTGCAATGGTATTTTCGTCTGGCGGAGCCCGGTGCACAGCCAGTTTGGTATTTTCGTAGACTGAGGTGCACCGAGGTCCACCAAGCTGGGCGGGACGGCAGCTGGCGCAGTGACATTTTCGTGCCCGCTGGCAGCGTAGAAAGTGCGCGGAAAGCTCACAGATTCAAACCTGGTCAGCTTTCAGCGCAGGCAGAGCGCAGCTGGTCTAGGGGTATTTTGGTAGACCGGCAGCGTAGTGCGCATACGTCGCTGATGCCTCACTGGTTTCCACAGTGTCGGGCACATTTCAGTGCAATACATAATCAACAACATCTAATATTCTGAGTCAGCACATACATTTAGATCTATAGATGTATTCTGATCTATATGTGATCTGATAAGTGCGTTTGGCTCGCGTTTGAACACACAACCTGACCAAATTATCACAGCTGAAACCGCATTAAATTAAATTAAATATCTAGTAAATAGACACACATGATTAAGTGAACAAGATATTTAATTCGTTTCCCCCCTATTTCTATCTGTCCTCTTCCTCTTATTTCTCGCGCAGCTCGACCCAGACATGTGTCCGTGTCCTCAACCCATCCTGCTGCAGGTGCTGCTGCGGCGGCTGAACAGATGATTTATTTTAGTGATCAGATGAGTTATTTACTTTAAGCCTACATACGAATATTATAATATTCAGTTTTGTGAGCCAATAGAGCCCTCTATTTTTACCCCATGATTTGAAACTTAACATACATCAAGTATGGTCACCAAACATTGTAACTTTGCAGTTTTTGTTGTAAATATGGAAAAGCAAGCACTCTGTTACGCTAGCTCATGCGCAGTCTGTGATGTGTGACAAAAATTGTCATCTCATGTCTATAAACTCACAGTATTATCGTTTGCTTATTTTAAGCGAAAAAGTCAACATTTATTCAAGTAATACAAATGACATCACCAATATCGATATATTGTGACAGCCCTATTTTAAACTCTTCTTTGTTTCAAATAATGTAAAATACACACACACACACACACACACACACACACACACACACACACACACACACACACACACACACACACACACACACACACACACACAAAAAAAAGCAACAATGCTTAATGTAAGTGCAACTAAAATATTGTGTCTGTTAGATTTGCTGCCTCTAACAATACCGGTTTGGATCAGTACCTGTTATGTAACTTCTTTGAAACAGTCCCAGGACAGCCGTTTGGTAAAACAGAAAGAAACTATTATGTCACTGTAATTTGGACCTACCTTTCAGGAAAGAATAGAAGCTTTCTTGAAATTTCCTGCAGTAACGTATGGAATGGGTAAACACAGCACCGGGGCCATGCTCTTATTGGATCCAGCTGCGCCTGGACGGATGGAGGAGTCTGGACTCAGCTGGTCCCAATTCCCTGAGACACAGGAGTGAAACAAAGACACTGTGTTTATCACACTGGAGTTTCAACACCTAAAGATGCATGCTCAGAGTTTAGTGTCTGTCTTAGACATAGAAAGGAAAAGTATGACCCTAAACTCCTCAGGTCTGTCTATGCTGTGATTTATCTCTTTATGATACAACTGCTCCATTATCTAGAGATGACTCATAGATTTAGTGTGAAGACGTTAGATACATCGACACTGTCTGTCTGCAGGAAAACCCTCTAATTTCCTGCAGCCACTCAACCCCTAATACGCGCCGCATTCAAACCCAGCTGACTTCTATTACCCACCACTGGTCTGGAGTGAAAACAGTCACAGCATCTACCCACACCTGTCAGTGGTTAAAGGCAGAGTCCACAATGGCTGTCAAATGTGATGAGTGGAAAAATATCAGCTCATAAAACACTAAAAGGACAAATTTTGCCTTGGGATCTCTTTCAGAAAATACTCTATGTTTAATTGGTCTTTCCACCAAGCTCGTTCATGGTTTCCATTAATGGAGGTTTTGGCCTCTGCTGGGGTTGAGTTTTTTTTTTCAGGTCAGGATGGAGGAGGCAGAAAATCGGGGGGGAAATGTGAAGTTGCATGAGCAGGACTCTTAAAGTAAAGACCACCAGCGACTGATTTTACATAACTATTACATAACAGTCTAACACTTTACTCTGCCCACTACTTTGTGTGTTAAAGCTCCTGTGGAACTTTTTGTTTGTGTTAGCATTGGTGCACCCCTGTGTGCAATTTTGGGGTGTGACTGGGTCACAATCACTGCTGTGGTTGCAGTTGCATGCCAGAATGACACTCAAGTTTGTCGGCATGCTTTTATTTTATCAAGAGGAACAAGCATGCAGAAAACTGAACACTGACTACTTCCAATCAGCAAAATGGCCAGAAGAGGGACTTAGTTCAGCGAGCACCAGAGTTGATTTTATTTCCCTTGGCCAGAGTAAGACCAGCTGTTTCCTTCTGTTAAAGTTTTTAGCTAAGCTAAGCTAACCAGCTGCTGACTGATGGAGTGGTTTCAATCTCCTTATATAACACAAACCAAGTGAGTGAACAGGCAGGCCTTCAGAAACACAAGGAAATCCCTGGACCGCAGTTTGGGAATCACTTCCATAGGTCTCTGCAATGATCATTACAATCCCCATGAAACTTTACACCCCAGACTGACGATCTCCCTCTGCCACAGGCCAAGAGGACATTACCCTTCTTGTCTGTGGGCTGAAACCGGTGGTAACAAAAGCTCACATCCGACGCAGCTCAGACAGGTACATGGGAAGTGCTCTTTCAAGGTGCTGAGCTCTCTTCCTTCCTGGTCCCTGAGAGGACAAGCTGTGTGAGTGTGTGTGTGTGTGTGTGTGTGTGGTGGGGGGTGGAGGGGTGGGGGGGCTGGAGTTGGCTGGGGGGGATCCTGTTGCAGGCAGCTGAATCGGCACTCTGTTGGGTCTCCCCTGGACACTGTCATAGCGTGTTTGCTGAAGGCGAGTCAATGAGGACTTTCTTTGGCAGAGGAATTTCACAGCACACGACAGGGTGCGCACACATACACACTCGTGGGATCAACCTTGCAACCCAGATTTGCGCTCTGGTGAGGTGGAAGTGGATGCTGGTGGAGCTGGAGGTGAAGGGACGCTTGTCTTAACTTCTTTGTTTTCACTATTGAGCTCTGGCTAACACGTTTGTCAATTATTTTGGTGTTTGACATGAACCAGGAGACCCCCTTGATAGTCATCCCGTTGAATCATCTACTCCAGCTACCATCGTAACTTGACTTAAAGCTCTTTCACAAAGTCTTTACAAAGGTATGGAACATACTGAAATTAAAACTAATGCCTCATTTTAAGTTACAAAAGCTAACAAGACCATCAGCAGCAATACCGACAAATGAGTTTTTTAATTTTACATGCCTGAAGATGCAGTGAGGGGGTAGGTGTCTTCGAATAAACTAACTGCAACCTGAAGAAACAGTTTTTCTTTTCCACTTTTCTTTAAGGACAGAAATACTTTTTTTCCTTTTACAGGATTAGATTAGCTGAGTTGAATTTTTTCCACCGGGGGCGCCCAAACCCTCACAAAGAGAAAGTTCCTCACAGGAGCTTTAACTCCTTATAAAAATGTAATGAGTGTTTACTTGCATAGTTTTCCGCTGTCAGATCACCTTTTTCACTTGAAGCTTTTAAGAGTTTCCTAAATTCTTTATCAGCTGTAAGAGTTCGTTAGGTTCCCACTAAAGATTATCTTTGTGAACTTTTTAAATGTTCTTATTCGTGATGAGTAGCCTATAGCAACTTACCTTGGTAATTGTGCTGAAAGCTGAGCAGAGTGGACCATGTGTTGTGACTACTTCGTCAGCTGGAGTCTCCGAAGTCATGACTCAACAGTCAAGCCCCATTAACTCATCTGTTTTCCAGCTAGACTAAGTTTATTTATTTAATTTAACTGGCTTATTTAACAAAGACAGAACACATGACTAAGCTTAGCTGTGAATGCTTCACTCAGCAAAGTCTGTTCATTCATTCATCCGCAGTCTCAGGACTGTCTAAACTTGCAGTCGTCACCATCTACGTTGGTTGTTGAGCTAACAAAAAGTCCTTAAAAGTCCTTTTTCATGCTTACAGCTCACAAGTTTCCTTACAAGAACTTGACATTATGTTCATCAGTAAATAATCAAAAAGATGACCAACTAAGCAACACAATTAAAAATACACAAAACTGAAAACATGGGAAAAAAGAAAGAGCCCCAAGTCTGAGCCCTGTGGGACGCCACAATTCAGCAGAGAAAAACTGGTTACAAAGTCCTGTAAAAGAGCAAGGACATTACCCTCAATTGGACCAGAGAGATTGGGTCAAGGTGTCCTAATAGATGAATTAAATCTCTAAAATTTCTTGCTTTGAAGGGAGAGTACTACGGTGCAGAGAAGCACTAAAAAAGTACTACATAATTTTAAAAAAGTCATGGCTACTTCTAACTGAAGCTCCCGTTGTTGTAAATTTTGAGCCATTCTTTTATCACAGCAGTTAAATGTGAAACAAATTATATAATAAAATGCTTAAAAATGATCTTTCCTGAGTATTACACTTAGCTCACTAACCTTACATGCCAACTTAACAATGTTTCTTATAGTATCATCAAAATTGCTCTTTATCACATGTTATTCATTGTTCATTGGATGGGCACCCAGAGAGCTCTTTTTCCAGGTTTCGTGTATTGGAAGGGCATCCAGAGGGCAAACTCTACATTTTTTTTATTGAAATAGCATTTTAATAGTGGTAGTTCATTATTCATTTCAGCCACTGAAACCTTAACAGGACACAGTTTTTACGTCAAATCCACTGGCATGTGCACTTTTTACATCTATTTACTGGTAGGGTGTGTTCACAGGACATTTTACCTTCAGGAAGGGCACCAAGAGGGAACTTTTTAAGTACAATATTCTGAAAGGGCATTCAGATGGCACTATATTTTATTTTATATGCCTTTGGAGGCATGACTCTTCATTGAGGTTTTCTCCACTGGAAAGGCCCTTTTATGTAAAGGACGGCATCCTGAGGGTACTTTGTCATGTTTCACCCATAACGGAGCAACTGCTACTACAAAATTTCATGCATTTTAAGTTTTATTTACTTCAGAGGCACTGTGACACTTTTTAAAGACATTATCATATGGTCTCAGTTTCTTTTGAGGGGTGTCTTTGGGTCTCCAAATAGTTTTACTGTAGCCCTGACAGTTACTACAACGAGCAGGAGCATGCAACTCATTCATTTGTGCCGTTTTATTGTATTATTGACTGACAGGAACACAAACTGATATATATGTTACCTTTGCACCTGAGAAAGGCTCTGCTTCCACAGCAGACTCCTCTCCAGCTGAAGGTGCTCTGCAGCGTCTCTGCTCCAGATGTGTTTCCCTCGATGTCAGCTGAGGGCGACAGAGGGAGGTGTTCCCCCTTTTCCCGGTTCTCAAGATTTTCCTCAGTCCACAATAAACTTTCATTTTGGGAAGTCGGCACACACACGCACACATGAACACACACATAACGGCGGTCGTCATCTTGTCCTGAATCGGTTTCCCGGGAAAGCTGGACTGGACAGGACTTCGCGCTCATTGTGGTGCAGAAAACGCGCGTGAGGAAGACGGAGTGAACACATTATAGGAAGCGCACAGGTGGAGCAAACCGGAGCGTCTTTTTTTTCTTCCGAATATTCGTGTCATTTCTTGAAGGAGACTACAGGGACAAGAGGAGAAGCGGGACAATGACAGACAAAAGCGCTGTCACTGCTTTCTGAGTTTTTTTTTTTTAAACTTCCTGGCACGTTCAACTCTGCACGCGACCCTTGAAGGAGCACCTGGAATGGAAAAAGTTGATCTGCCTCGTCTGGACTGTAGTAAAAACTCCCAAGAAAGAATGAAGTAACCGCTATGGAGCCGGACAATGCCCCGCACTCCAAACTGAAAACAACTGGAGTCGGGGGGTGAGTCTATAAACTTTTAAATCAGAACTTAATAGCTTTTAAACCTTTATTTTTAGCAGGTTCATTAGGGTGTTGCACTTTTGAATGTCACCTGCGTCTGAATGAGTGCGTCATGATTCTGTTTAGGAATAATACTCAAGATAAACTGCTTTAAGCATTACAATTTTTACATTTTAGACAGGTTTTCTGGCGCAGAAATGAAACTATATGAAGAAACAAGCTATATTTAAAGGTCATGGCAGGAAAGGTAGAACATGAACAGGTGGTGCACGCTTATATCATGTGTAAACGCTTTTCGTGCTTGTGAAAGCTAATGTAGTTTTCAGCACTATGTCTTTGTATGAGAATGAGTTGCCAAATGATCTGGTACTGATTTGAGGGAGATGTATGAGAGGAGGAGACTGTCCTCCGTCTCCTCCTCCCCCATTTTCCCTCCTCCCTGCTGTGCATCTCACTCAGCTGGTTGGCCGGCTGTCCCAAAGGGAGGGGATATAGGAGTCAAACTGTTGCATCATATAACCCTGCTGGACATCACAGTGAAACTGCACACCCCTTCGTTTTGGGTTTTCTGTAATGTCAGTGTAAGAGACGAGTGAATGGGGCGCAGAGAGGTGGAAGGAAAACTTTTCGAGAGCTTTAACCAGCAGCCAGTGTGTCAGCAGTTGACCAGTGACTTTCTGTGGCTCTCTGGAAAACCACAAATGTAAAAGATTTCCTCTAAATGCTGTCATTATGGCACTTGTCACTGAGCCTGGTTCCCTTAAAACAGCACCGGCTCAACAGCTCAGTCCACCTTCAGTAGACTGCTCTAGCACTATTCCATCTCCAAGAGTGAAAACCTCAACATAATCCTTTAAGTTCACAGTCATAAGTTTTTCACTTTTTTTTGAGCTGTATCATTTCCACCTCTGAGCTGTTGACAGTCCTTCAATCACGTGTCAAAAGGATGGTCCAGAACTGCTCATTATTGGCTTTCATGACATGACAAACGTTACCGCTGTCAGATAACTTATGACTGTTTTTGCTCTTAAGTTGCCTGATTATTTTACTTTTGCATTTTCTTTTGTTCATGCGAAAAGCTATGAAATATGCTAACCAAAAGCTGCAATGAGTCATGGATTAGCATTATTTAAGATAGCTAGTTTTGATTGATTAGAGACTGCCACAGGTGGAGAGAGGAGAGCAGGAAGAGGAGCAGGAGAAGACAGGTGTTTGTCACTGTGGGTGCCTGAAAAGCTACGGGACAGAATCAGCATGGCAAGAGAGAGGCTGTAGCAATTACAAGCATGAACAAGCACCAATAAGCTAATGACTGTCGATTGAAAAGTGAGAGATGTCAGTTAGAATCATAATCAAATACAAGCTCAAGTCTTGATGTTACAAAGGATGTTATACGAAAGCTTGAAGACTGACTTGATATGCAGCCTGTGATAAAAATGTAAGCGGTAAAAAGCTCAAATCTTTTATATGACAGTGTATAGTCTTCTTGAGCAAGACCATCAGTGACAGGACTTAATATTTTCAAAACCTGATTTTAAATGCCGTAAACCGGTGCAAGGGGGTAGGTGTCAGCTGAACAGCCGGAGAAACAGCCCTGTTTAAAGTTTACACCAAAAATACACAATAAAAGACCCATTTCATCTTTTGAAGTCTACAGGATGAGATTATTTTTGTCATAATCACAACTCAAGCATGTAGAGGACAAGATAAGCAAAGACTGTTTTGTCCAAAGGGGAACCAGAGTTTAAACAAGCTGAGAGTTTCTCACAGGAGCTTTAAACTCCATTATTATGTTTAGATAAGCAGAATATACATTTAACACTTTTCACTAGCTGTTAGGATGGGAAAATTTGTATTTGTTAAGTGAAAAGCATGTTAACTGAGGAGGCTGCCTGCAGTGTCTGCAACCATAAAAGTATCTTTAGTTTTGCCTCATGAGTCCAGTCAGTTTATTTTCATGTATAGGTCTATGTAGGGGTTTTGGACAGGTAACTGCCCTTGAATTGAATTAAAACTTTTTAAAGTTAAAGTCTGAAAGTGCAATCTTTTACTGTTAAACTCCCATGGAAATATGGAATTGCAGGTTTTAAGGTGATGCAGTTATCTCAGGTCAGTCAGAGGTGGTCCTTTGGGAGCACTCACCTGGCTCTGCTGAGCTGTGTAGATAAAAGTGCAGCTTATCAGGCCAGACAGCCAGATAAGACAAAGCTTGCTGTCTGGAAACAGATGTTGGACTCTCTGAATAGTGCAGAGCTGCTGAGGCTGCTCCTCTGGTGAATCCACCAGAGTCTGTATCAAATGAGTTTAGAAACAATTAGCTGATAAATGAGATAATCAGTGAAATTTGCAGGTCAGGGGCCTGAAAGTGTAGAGATTATATTGCTTTTTCTTGTACGAGGTGCATTTTTACAAGTAAGACTGAAAGCTTCACAGGTACCCAAGTTTGACAAGTCTTTCTAACTTTCTGCCTCTTTCTTTAGGAGAGTTCTGATTCTTTGGACTTTACTCTGTTGCACCTGCTCTTTGAGGCTGGCACAAGCACAAGGTAAGCAACCTACGTATGTATGCTGAGCACATCCACATCATTTAGCCAGCAGTGTCACAAACAGCATGAACAAAGTTCTGAGATGGACAGATGAGAGGGTGCAGAGACTCTTTCAGACGCTGCACCTCATGAAGATGTGCAAATATACGTAGATGCATTTTGTTTGAAAAGGCTAAATAAGTTCATGCCAGATCTTGCCTTAAACCTCACTCTGATGTGCCTGTGAAGGTTTTCAAAGTTTATCAGGCCCTGTCACTCCTGATTCCCAGAGTCTTCTTTTCACAGTCCTCATCACGTTGAGTCACATCTTCCTGTGCGGTGTTGCCTGATGCTGTCAGCTTTTAGTTTCTTCAAGACCCTCGTGTGCACGTCCTCTGATTTTGCTGTCAGTCAAAATTGGCAGAAACTTATTCGAAAAGAACACTCTCTAGTTTCTAGATGCTTTCTGATAACATAAGCCGCTACACTCGGTGGCAACAGCTTCTGGCAATTACTGTGACTCTGCCTTCATCACTTGGTATTTTCCTCCAATAATGACTGCTGAGTGTCTGGAGTCTTATATATGAGGACGTGTTTTTGCAAAGTCTCAGACTCTAATGAGGCTTTAAGTTCTCCCTTGATAGAGCAGGATGTACTCTAAAAACTGCTCTGCTGATGCAAAAAGCTGCTGACTACTCTTGCATCATTTGTAAGATGAATGCACTTGTTTCATAAAAAGAAGACTCCCGGTGATTTTCATCCATATGGAGAGGGACTGCGCAAGCACAAGCTGTATTTTTGTTCTGTCTTCAGTCTTTTGTGTAAAAGGTCCACGCTATGAATGTAGTACTGCTGCTAACTTTTCACAGCACATCACAGAAGTTGGACTTAACTGCATTTGGAAAAAATTTTGCATTTTAGTTTTTTTGTGCATATATCGCCATTCTCACTAATAGTGATTAACCCCATATGTCCTCAGAAGAGGGGTCAGTGGTTACAGAGCAGTTTTTGCTTGTCTTGTACCCTCTTTAAAACCCATGAGCTCCAGGCAATTTCTGGACAATTTCCGAACATGCAGGTCCCAAATTGTCTGCACTTTTTCTTACATACGTATTTGCTCTGTACTGAAGGTAATTCTCTATGTCAGCTGCTTAAAAAATCCTGCAGCACCTGGACGTCTTCTGGAAATGCAAGTCCCAAAATTTTCTGCACTTGCCCGTGCATGCTCCATACTGCAGGGAAATCTCTACATCAGCTGCATGAAATACTCTAAGGCACATAGACAATTTCCAGACAATAACCAGAAAATTTCCAAACATGCTGGTCCCAAAATATCCTGCACTTTTCCTTACATATATCCCCTGTTTTTCAGGGAATTCTCCGCATTAGCTGCATGAAATACTCTGCAGCGCCTAGAAAATTTTGGACTAATTTCCAGACATGCAAGTCTCAAATTTTCAGCACTTTTTTTTTTACATAGACGCCCAATATTGCAGGAAACTATTTGTGTTAGCTTTATTAAATACTCCGCAGCACCTGGGTGGAACATGTTGAATTGGAGGAGATTTCAGTAATGATGTTAAATACTTGATATCATCACATTATGCGTGAGGATAAGTGCTGACAGTGTTTCACATGTGATTTTGCACCAGATGAGCCTGCTAATTTGTTGTTGACGAGCAGACTGCCGCTGTTTTATAGTCAAAATACATTACTATCTTTTCTTGGTTTTTTTTATCTATGGTGCAGAACCCCACTGCTCCACCATGTCCTCCATTTTTTGGAGCATTACTGAGGTCAAGAGCGCATGGATTGGCCAAGTTACAATGAAAGTGCCCTCTGTTGGATCATACAGCAAGCTACTGCAGGTGGCCTTATGTGCTGATTATGAGCCCAAACAGCTCATTACAGCATTAGGTTCAAATGAAGGTTTGAATTTTGGATAAAGAGTGACAGCCCTAATGTAGATATGTGGATTAGCATCACTAAAGTCAAAGAAATGTATTTATTTGCATGTAATATGTTAAATTTGGCAGCGTAGCCCTGTAATTAGAGCCTCCTGCTCCTCTTCATGCACATGTGGATCATCTAAATCTGAAGAGGAGGAACACAATGGGGTTAAACAGTTAAAATTTATCAACCATCTTGACAGTTATTGATTGGAGGTATCAAAGGTCATCTGTTAATTTCTTTAACGCAAAAACAACAGTAAAAGTTTTCAAAGTGTAACACATCCAAACTCAGCTCAACACAAACTTTGTCATCACAGAACAATCCATGTGCCAGATGATCACCTGGTGCTTCACACATTAACTGATCCAGCTGACCAAAAAAAAGGAAACATCAGGTGTACGGTAATCGATTGCAGGGATTTCCCAATGCTTTCTCTGAATTTCTCGTGAAACACATTTTTTTCATTTAAATGTGGCAGGAGACACATTGACTCACTCAGCTTTGGCCTGATTTCAGTCCTCTATTAGCCAGAAGATGCATTAATGTGTCGAGTCAGTGGCCAACATTTCTCACTAGTTCTTGAGAAACAGGGTGAGCCGAACTTTCAAAAGACACAAAACTGCAGGTGAGGGTTTGTGTCTCCCTGTGTTAACAAACAAAGCCTCAGTTTCTGCCACTCCGAAGATATTCTAAAGCAGTTGCAGGAAGTGTTGAGCTGGAGCACATGTCTGCTTTCCCTTTAAAAAAATAGCTGTTTTTGAGTGTTGCTCTGTCTCTGGGATGTGTTATATTCACATCTCAGTTTCTTTCCCGGCTCATCGGGAGGTCACAAAAAGGCCTGAGGCCATCCATCTACCCACAGAGATTTAGGTACGAGAAGAAAAGCCTTAATAGTAGATCACAAATTATAAAATGAAAGAACAATTTTCCTTCTTTTTAAACTGAATTAAGAATTCAAACGAGTGTCGTATTGGAAGTTGAAGTGCAGACAGTCTTTGTTCTTGTCTCAGTTTCTGTTTGATGTTTCTTTTCCATTTGTGGGTTTTGACCTCCCACTGCCTGCACGCTCTGAGGAGGGTTTCCCCGCTAACGTGTCTACTGTCTATATGTGTTCCTCCTCTGCCAAGATGTAATTCATCATTCAGCAGTTTATTTTAGTCTCCGCCACATTTGTTTGGTATTAGACGGAGGTCGGATATTTGAGATCTATATGTCAGCTTTGTGCTTTGACATTGCACGGATCGAGGGGATTACTGTCCTGAATTCAGGGGGCTGATGTGCCAGAGATGATCTTTTATTTTCATCTTTGCTTAAACTAAACAAAAGGCTTTTGTTTGACTTGACTAAAGGTTTGCACTGATGGTATAATAGCCAGATTGTTTGTTTTGATGTTCCAACCAAAAACAGGGACGCTGAATGTTAGACTGGTTTCTGGATTGAAGGTACACCAGAGTTCGAACACATCATGAGTCAAAAACCACTAATATTTTCCTTCATACTGTTCCTACAGTTTGAGCTGGGACCCTGTCAGCCTTATTCAGTCATTAGTGTTAGTTTGTTAGATGTGCAGACAGTGACAGAACTGGGGGGTGGCTAAAATCTGACTAGCTACCCACCATGTCAGGTGGGTTGGAGGCAGAACTTACATTGTTGTCTCAACAGCAGCTAGTAGCTTCTTTGCATTTCAATATGGATCATTTTCTTGGGTTAGTGCTTTACTGACCAAAGTTACTGCCCCTGGCCAAAAAAGTCAGGCTCCTCGATGGCGACAGGTAACTGTGAGCTGTTAGCCTGCTAGCTGTAACTAGCTTGTACGCTGTGTAAGCCTGCTTAGCAGTGTGCACACAGAGTGTTATTTTGGACACACAGACGCCGTCTCTTATGTGTCTCATTTACATCTCCAGTCACTTACTTGTGTGCTGACTGTGTAACAAGGTGCCGGTGTTGCTGCTCTGGACTGGTAGCCCCTGGTCACCATGTAATTATCTTGGAATATGTAACATTAAATTAAGACTGGTCATGATGGTGAAATTTTATCTCTCCTCGAGAGTTATCGAAAAACAAATGTTATAAAATATACCTACATCCATATTGACCCCACAACCTTGTTTTGGTGTCCATTTTTCACCTGAACCAGTAATATTAGAGCTGTATTATCATTCTCATTATTTTAGGAGCGTAGGAGGGAATAATGCCATACTAGGGGGTGGGAATCACTAGTAGCCCCACGATACAATATTATCACGATACTTGGGCTATGATACTATATAAGTGCGATTTTTAATATTTTGCAATCCAGCGAGTATTGCAATACCGTATATGCCATTTATACATTTTTTCAACTGTTTAGCTAATTTAGCATTTGTCTTTCTTTTATGTTTGTCTTATTTAGGCTTTGTTTTATTGTCATGTAGCTCATCTTGCAAACTTTATATAGATTTGTCGTACTAACTTTCTCCTACTCTATGATGCCACCTCTGCCAACCTCACTGGACAAACAGTTGATTTTATTTTTCCATTGTCATAGATTTGACTTTACATTAACAATAAATTTGAAAAAAGCGATACTTGGTAAAAGAGACGATATGATATATCACCACACAAAATATTGCGATACTATGCTGTATCGATTTTTTCTCACACCCCTACTCCAAACCACAATATACTTGGAGGTTGAGTACCAACCACCATAAAACCAGAATTTTCATGAATCAGCACAACAGCCAGGTACTTTTTTGCCAATTCAGTCAGTCCTGCTGGAGTTGGAGTTTTGGGAGGTTTCGTCTAAAGCCGGAGAAGCACATATTCGCCTACTTTGTGCTTCTGCACCAAATTAAAGAATCAGTTGATTCTTGATCAGTTGATACGACACTGCGATGCCTTGAAACTGTGATACTTTTGCATTAATTTATCATCCTGTCAGAGTCTCTGTCTGATGTGAGTGAACCCTGGTTCTGTCGTCTCAAATACTTTTGGTTTGTGGTTTGGCGCCATCATTTTTTTAATGGGGTTGCAAAAGACATTTTTCAGAGTTCTGAGGATAAAAAACTTAAAGACACGAGTGCTTTTAATCTTCCTCGAGCCTTACGTCTTGTGAAATACTAAATAGTATCAATTCATTTTGTGTTATTCTTCGCCCGGTTGTCATGAATTCAATATGTGGAAAAACTTTTGAAACAAAGGCAGATTCTTCACATGTTAAAATGTAGATTTAAAGTAATGCTGCGGCAGACGTGTGGATCTAATTAACTGTGGTATAGATAGTGTTATGAGTGAGAATTACCCACATCTCCCTCCTATGAGATGCCAAAGCAGTTAAAACATGTAGAAAACACAGCCCTGTGTTTCACGTGCCGGGCCGCTGTCAGAGCGATCATCTCTCATGGACAGACATTACCAGATACACTGAGATGGCTCGTCTGTCTCTGCAAAAATATGCCTCTTAAAACCCCACCGCTGTCCTCCCCAGGGGACTCGTTCAGCCTCAGCTCCCCGAGATTGCTCTAATTAAGGCTGATGTAACGATTGCATAATTTGCGGCAACCCCCAAAACTGGATTTTGATGTGTGGCCTTATTGGAAATGGTATGCATCCTTTTTGGATCGCTGTTTCCTGCAGGATTTCCATTAGTCCAACATTAAACTTGTGAACTCTAAGCTTGGCATCCCAATATAATTATCACTTACAGTAGATTACAGCTTTATGGTTTGTACTTAGATGCAGATCAGTGAGTCGCTGAGGGAGGCTGCTAATATATGTCTTACACAAATGATGGTCTTTTCGATGGCTTTTTAAGTGCACCTATAAAATGAAACCTGATATGCAATTAGCTGTTCCCTCCCTTTTAATTTTGACATTTACACGTTGATAGTCAGAAATGGATCATCTTAGTGCCCTTTTAAAGCTCTCTGAAGTGTTTGCCTTGTATTGAAATGTGAAATTCAACATTTAAGTAAAAAAAAAACTTAAAATTGATGCACGTCAAAGCAGAGTGCACATTTTACAAGCTTCAAAATGATCATTATTCTGTTACAGGAAGTTTTCTTTCTTCTGTTTTTCCTCTGCAAAGTCAAAAGTTGCTGACTTTTCCCTCTTTTTGTTTTTTTAAGATGTGGATGTTCTGCAGCAGCTTGGGCTTTCTGAAAGAAGGGCAGGCGGGTCATCGTCTTCAGGCTCTCGATCCATCCCCAATGGCGTCATCCCCTTCAAGTCAGGAGTCATCCTCACCCCGAGGGCCCGCATCCAGGTGCCTCTGCGCACCGTCATCCCGGCTAACTACAGCTCCACCAATCTCTCCCTGATCCTCAGCCTGTCCGTGCATCGCATCAACAGCGCCTTCCTCTTCTCTGCTTTGTCTAAAAAAAGGAAAGTTCAGCTCGGAGTTCAGTTCGTGCCGGGGAAGATTGTGGTGCACGCTGCACAGAGGAGCTCTGTGAGTTTTGACTATGATGTCCACGATGGCCGGTGGCACAGTCTGGCCGTGGATATCCAAGGTCATCAGGTTTTCTTGCGCACTTCTTGTGGAGAGAAAAGTTCACATGCAGATTTGCATTTTAAAAAAGCAGAGGTTCTGGATGCAGAGGGCTCTTTCCTGCTGGGCAAAATGAACCACAACTCGGTGCCGTTTGAAGGCGCCATCTGTCAGTTCGACATTTACCCCTCTGCCAAGGCAGCTCATAACTTTTGTGATTACATTAAGAAACACTGCAGAGAAGCCGACACGTATCGGCCCGCGCTCCCAGCCCTGCTACCTCTATTTCCCAAAGACCCAAACATTACTGTCTCACAAAGAACTTCACCATCCATAAAAACGGAGAGACCGACTTTGGCTTTGACTGAGGAAAACATGAGGACTACCATTCTGGACCGCTTGCTGATGCAGAACAAAACATCTGAATATACGACTCCAGAGCCTGGTGCTGTGTCTGTTTCTTCGCCGCTTCAACCTGGCCTGGAAATCCCGTTTAGATTCCTGACTCAGACTGTTACAGCTCCTCTTAGGATCAGCGGGACACCACCAAACCCTCAACCAAAGTCTGATGCTGGTGCTGGACAAGGAGATACTAATCCTCAGAAACCTTTCAACCAAAATCTGGATTTACCTTCCACCAGGAGACCATCTGAGCTGACACCAAACCTCCAGACCACAGCTGCTTCCACACAGGGCTCCCCTGCAGACGCCTACCTTCCCCATAAAGACCAGTCAGGCACAGTAGCTCCTGAGAAACCTGAGCCAAAAGTGACCAGTATGCAGGATTTCAAACCCACCTCGCTTATTCCAGTCACTCCAGCTGCAACAGATGGCTTCCAAACATTTGACGTGGAGCCGACCCAGTTCTCACTGCTGGCTGGACCACCTGGACTAAAGGGAGAACCAGGACCACCGGTGAGTGTGAGAGCTGTAAACATACCACAACAAACACCTGCTGCAGGAGTCTGTGCAGGAGTGCATGCTCACTCTGCACATTTGAAGAAGAACACAGTCTTCTTTCTTGTGGACGCCTTGCAGGAGTTTTTACTTGTAGCATTTCCTGTTTGCAGCCGCGTGTTTTCCTCTTTCATTTTATGAATGAATCTGATGGATTAGGTTGTTTCCACTCTGGTGGATACTCAAACTTTTGGCTGCCACATTTCTGCGCTTCAGGCCAGCTTTCTTGTACAGTACACCTCTGGATAACAATGATTCACATGTATGGGGGCTCTCTGTTTAGATTTCGGCTGGCCTGTCTTTGATTCCCAGATCGGACTCTGATGCTGTTGCTTACATGCCTCCTGGTTGTGTGGTTTTCTGAGTCTGGCAGCCAGAGCAGCATCTCAGATGTGTTTGCTTATTCGACAAAAGTGTGTCGGTTTGTTAATGAGTCACAACTCCATTTTCCCAGGCTTTTCTTTTTGCTGACTTGAATGAAATACTTGCATGTGGTATCCTCTTAAACTGGTGCTGGTAGCGGTGGTAGAAACAGGGTCATCGCTGGTCTTTGCCAGTGAGTGTTTGTCTGGGCGGGGAGGCTGGTGTTTAGGTGTTAGATTCTTTTGTGAGGGAATGTGGCCGCTCACAGACCAGATTCTTTTAAAGTGGGGTCAAAGGTAAACTGGGATAAAGCGCTTGTGCTCAATGAACTGTTTTGAGTAAATACATAAAGAGCTTTAGGAAATAAATGCAGCGCTCTATCTTGTTTTTAGAGCTGTTATGAAGATCTTAGCTTAACGTGCATGATAAAAAAAAAAACAGATCATTTTATTTTCCTTGGTGTAGAAATCACGATTTTAGCCACATTCTGGATGTTACTTCTGTTTTTAAAGGGACACCATTGATGAGCAGGTCCACCTGAAGGTCTCAAAAATAACTGAATCAGCTGCATGCTTCGACCATCGTCTCATAACCTATCAAGTTTATTTTAGTGACAAAGCAACTTTAGTTTCATGATGTTGTGGCTTTATCAAGACTTTTATCTCATAATGTTACAACTTTAATTTCACAGCTTAACTTTGAAATCTCACCCTGAGCTTGAAAGTTAGGAAGGTTATCCCCTAACAGTTTTATTTAAAAAGCAGCTTGCATAATTTTACCAAACACACTGATAGTATTGGGCCAGTTTGATCCGTGGACATGTTGTCTTGTTGCTTTCTTGCACAGGTTGTCATGTTGTGTATTGTCATTCCCAAGTAAAGCCAAAAATATTCTTCAATACTTAAATGGTCGTTTGTATTGAAGGAGAAAGATGCTGCTAACCCTCGGACTTTCATTTCATCTTGTTTGTGGGGGGCGCCCTGACGAAGTTTTGCTGCTCAAGGATGAACATTTATGATTATTACTTCAAAGAAATGCAATCAGGGTTCTTGTGTATCTTGTATGTGTACTGCAGACGCTGTGGTTCTTCTGCCTTAGCATCTCAGTCTGATTGCATTTCCATGAAGTAATAATCATAAATGTTTTTCCTTGAGCTGCAAAACTCGACTGCACTCGTTGATCGACTTGTCAGGGCTCCCCCACAAACAAGCGGCTGCTGGAGGAGAGTGGGTGAGTTGTGTTTGGTCTCTTTGCTAAGCTAAAAAGATGTTTGGGAGCTAGTGCTATGACTGGGACCCTACATGTTCTGTTGATGAAGTTAGGTGCTGTTCTGAGCATAATTTGTAGCTGTAGAGTGGCTTTTTGGTGGAGGTTTGTGCATATAGACGTAGACCGTTGTGTATTGCTATCATGCGGTCATTACTAAAGTTGGTATAACTAGAGAAGCAAGCAGTCAGCAATATTCATGTCTCGAGAGGGTGTCTTACTCTGTGTTATGATGTGTTTGACCATAACTGAAATTTACGCCGGACTATCCCTTTAACGTTGATAGCCCTAAAAATGGTGCTAGATACCCTTGACACTCCTCTGATGCTACACTGGGTAATCAAACGGTGACTTTTTAAGATGAAATAAAAATGAACCCTTTTATTTTAGACGATGGATTCTCCCATCATAAATTGGTCACAGCTGTTCCAGACTGGTTTAGCTGTACTCGTCTTTCATCAGCCAGTGTTGACTGTAGACTTTGTGCTTCATATTGACCATATGGTGCTGTCAGGCACTGTTCCTCTGTTCAACAGAGCGGTTACCCACATTTTCCATTGTTAAAGGACTCCTCTGTCTCGTATTAGCTCATGTTCAACCAAAAAGAATGTTTTAAGTAAAGCTTTCCTGTGCTGGCAGCGAGGGAAACCACAGCTCGGCATGCCCCCCGAAGCCACTCAGACCGTTTTATGAGGGAGAAGCGACCAATGCCGAGGACTTTCACCATCCTGCTGTTTGCTAATGTTTCAACAGAGTTTGCAAACTTTAAACAGATTGCTGAGTCAGTTATAAAATTCATTTCAGTCTGTTTTTCAATGCGATCTTCTGAAATATATTAGTGATGATTAGAAACACATTGTTGAGCTTTTGATCCCCGTCCACGGGGAACAGGGTTAGTGTTAGTAGGTCAGTTGAAGACAGCGTCAGTTTGACCTGCCCATATGAGCAGAAAGGTCTTTGAATGTAAACACTGCGAAGTCTACTGCAGTCATTGTTTTAGGAAAGCATGTCAGCTCAATAACAACAAAAGAGCTGAGGATCTTCATGCTCAAAGATTTATTTGACAGTCCTTTGGCTAACTCAGCCAATATGATTATATTGAAAATGACAGATACAAGTAAAAAGGAAACACCTGCACAAATGAAATATTTTTTTTTATAGATTAGACTAGATTAATAATAAGACTGTAAGATCAGACCCACTCCTATCCTCATCTTCGTCCACACAGGTCAAACACTTTACAGCATTTAGGAAGTTACAGTGGAGAGGATGAACTCAACTTAATTGGCAGAAACCCTGAGCAGGACCAGACTCATGTTAGACAGTCATCTGCTGTGACTGCGCGAGAGAGGGGAGAGAGGGAGATGCATGTAGTTGAAGAAGCTGTAAAACAGGCAGCAAAACATCTGCAGCAGCAGGTGTAAAACACCACCTGTTTTGGTTCAGTACTGGATAAGTAAATACCCTGAATTAGGCTGCTGAACTTGCCAAACCAGCAGCAGAATAGCAGAGCGATTTTCTCGCTTTTGTTTTCCTTTGGTTTCAGTAATGATCTGATCTTTGCTGGGCTGCTGCCACTGAGTTTTTACAACTTCTTTCCCAGTTCAAAGGTGAACCAAATTAGTCATGTTTGTTGTTGACTAGGAATAAAAAAGAAAAACCTCAGAGACTCCAGAGACCAAAGAAAGATTATAATAAAAATAATTGTTTTCTTCCACCGGAATTGAATACTTAACATGCCAAAATAACTCTGGGCGAAACACTGATCTGATCCAATCTTTTTTACTTAGTACAAATTGGATTAAGGTGTCAGCTCCAGCCTTGACTTTCCTTCTCCATCCAGCAGTGTCTGCAGCTCGAACTGTCCATCATGCACAGACAGCCTGATGGCTAAAGGATCTAACAGTTGCTGAAAGCTCTTTGGCTTTCTTGACCGAATGCCGGCTGAAACAGTTCAATTACGGCTATTGGCTCTGAAGAAAGTGCTCTATAACTCTGACATTATTACAGTAGCCCAATTTCAGCTGGACTGCCCGGAGCTGTTTGAAAGTCCTATTTCCTTTTCCTCTTTCTTTAAACTTCTGAAGCCATGGGAAAATAAGTTACAATCCCTACATCTCAAGCTTACTCAGGTTCCCCAGCTTGACCCTTCATTAGATTTGACCTTTCGGAGCTTTGCTAATCCATGTATGAAATTGTTTTAAAGCTAGCTGATGCCCATAATTAATGTGATTGGCTGCGGCTGGAACCAGTGCCGACCTCCCTGCCAGTGTAATGAGTCAGACTTGGGCTCTGTGCAGTGTAGCGGTTTGGGGCTGAAATCACTTTGGCTGCCGAAGCTCCTAACAAGACATCCTCATGCCTGCCAGCATCGCACTTACTAAACGCTCCGCAACTTTCCACCAACTCCACTGATGCAAAATCAGAAAGAAAAGGCTGAAGATGTGTTTACAGAGTCAATTTCATGCCTTAGTGATGTTGCAAAACTCTTATTCTTTGCAGATGAAATTAATTCTCGACCAGCATCAGATTTTTCAGGCTGATACCAACATGGATTTTACAGTTTCTGCAGCACTTTTCAAACTTTTACAGGTGTTCAGATGTACTATATGTTATCTTTAGGTGCTGAATTAGAGCTAATTTCTCTCTTGGACCAGCAGCACCACACAAGACCAACAGGGATGAGATTGGCTATTACTTCAGAGATGTTGTAATTGGTCTGTTGCAGCTCTGAGCGATCTATTTGACTGTAAAAGATGCCTTAAAGCAGTGGTTCTCAAGTCCAGTCCTCAAGCTCCCCCGTCCTGCATGTTTTGGATGTTTTCCTGCTCCAACACACCTGATTCAAATGATCAGCTCGTTATTAAGCTCTGAAATTGCTTAATAACGAGCTGATCATTTGAATGCTGCAAAGCTCCAGTAGATCATTAGCAATTCGTCTCTGAGTCGTGGGTGGAGACAGCAATGCTCTATGCACTCCTCCTCACGCTAGCTTGCAGCCTATCATTTCCAGTGTAGTAGAAGAGACAAGTAACATAGGAGCTATTCAGCTCTCAGACACTAATGTCTTTTGGGGACATGATTAAAGCTAATATCATAATTGGTTTTCTTACAAGCATTGCAATCCACTAATGCACATGCTTGCTCCATGATCATACTCTCTATTTCTCAGAGTGTGACCTGAATAGCGGGGCTCTGGGGTCAGAGCTTGGAGTTGCTATGTAGAAAATCTCACTGTATCTGAGCCTGCCGTTTGGGTCTGCCAGAGAGTCACAGCGATTTGAAAGCAGAAATACTTAGAAATGCAATTTCGCACTTAGTTTTCTCAAGATATGTCCTGAAGCATCAGAAAACTGCCATATGAACATGTAGACAACATGAAAAACATGACTTTTATCAGAGTGGGTCTTTAAAAAAATCAATATGGCAAAGAAGACTAATTGATTATGTGTTTCAGCCTTTTATTTTACAGATAGCCCATAAATTGAATTAGTTAAAAAGTGAACCACTTTGGATCCAGCTGTACCGTAGGTGTCACCGGCTAACTCTTCCCCCACTGAACAAGATGTTAAACATTACAGCTTTGGTCATTTTTTTTATGACGTTCAAGCAAAGTTTGGAGTTGGAGTTTGTAATATGACAAATTCAATGTTTTTTTTTTTCACTGTAAATGCATACCAGTTACAAATATCCGTTATCAGTGTAATGGCTCAAATCAATGTTACTGGTATCAGCTCTGAAAAACCAATTTCTGTAAACTCTTAGTTGCTCATCTGTAGATGTGTGCAGCTTGGAAATCTCTCTTTGCATTGACTTTTAACCAGTCTGTTGAATTTTTATCCAAAAATGGGGTAATGTCCTGGTTAAAAAGTTCCTGATATCGGTGTCTGTAGTGTAGACTGCTTCTCAGAACTAGCTGCATGATTTCAGCCTGCAGAGCATCTTCACTTCATCATTAGCTCTTTTGTGCAGATTACAGCATCTTTCAAACTGTTGTTAGAATCAGTTACTCTAAAATGAGATTATATGACATATACATTAGTCAGGCACTATTTAATGCACTCTTGCTATACAGAGCTCATCTGAGAGGAAATACTCTCTTCTCCTTCTTTATTAATAAATATCTTTTATTTGCTTTTCCCTAGGGACCTGAAGGGCCTCCAGGGCTGCCAGGAAAGCCAGGAAAGAGGGGCCCAAGGGTGAGTATCTCCAAACCTCTTATTCCCATCACCTCTTTTCAACCCTTTTAGTATCTGTTACACTCAGTCACAATCAGGCTTTAATCATGTCCGAGCTACATAGACCATTAGCGGTGCGTTAAAATGAACAACCTTTGAGCGTTTCGATCAGGCGCCCTGTGACCTTGCGGGATTATGGAGCATTATTCAGCCAGGCGCTGGTTTGCTTTGGCTGGAAACTTTGATCAAGCTGTGTGTCTCTGCTGCCAAGATCCATTTATAAAGCCAGAGAGCAAACAAATGTAGGCTGAACTATCTGTGGGGTACCAGTGTGAAGGTAATTGAACACACACGGTAAGTATTAGGAAACATCAAAATTAGACAAGACTTTGAGGAGACCTATATTTTCCTGCACAAGCACTTTCTATCCCATAAATAAACAGTGCACTTACTTAAATTAGGCACAGGTCCTTTGCCAACGTTAGTGAATGCTCCTACTGTACCACACTCAGGGCTTTAGTGCCATGTCTCTCCTTCTGGGGCTCAGTGTCAGTCAGAGCTGTGAGCTCCTCATGAAACCACATGGAGGGAGTCCAGATGTGTTTAAAGCTCTTGTAATACTAGAGGAGAAATAACACTGGGAGATGATTTGTCTCAAGGGACGGTTTGTTATTTAATCATCTCTGAAACTGTAGCTGATGTTTACATGTGTGTGTGTTTGTGTGTGTGTGTGAGCTGACCTGAAAATCTCTTCCATTAATAGAACGACTGATGCACGGGTTACATTTTAAGAAGTCTGTAAATATGCTTGAACCTGAGGCGGTGAAAACACACAAAGATGCCCTCTTTGGTTTCTGTTTTGCAGCACCCCTGCAGACTTTCTCCTGCAGAGTGCTTTCGCTACAGAGCAGTGTGAGTTTTAGCTACCTGCTGCAGCCCGTGAGACTCTGCCCCGCAGTCAGGCCTCATAGGGGTGGGCTGTGGGAACCCAATCTCTTTAAACAAGGAAGAAAGAGGGCTTTGTCTCCATCTTATTAAAGGCATTTAAGACCCTGTCTGGAGCACAGCAGCTCCATGCAGAAGTACACTGGCCTCTGTGGAGTTCATTCATTATCAGGCTCCTGAGACCAAAACTGTGAGCCACACCGGCTGAAGAAATAAGGACCTGAGGGGGCAGTCGAGGTTTTTACAGGTTGTTTTTTGGTTAGTTGAAGTGATTGAAAAAATACCTCACAGCTACACTCATGATTTAAAAAAAGAGCTCTCTGGACTGGACTGAGCTCAACACCAGGAAAGACAGCATAAAAGCAGGTTCTGTGTTTTAAACACATGATCTCTCAATGTGCAGAGAAGCGATGCAAAGTATATCTGCTTAAGAAGTTTTCACACTGCATTATTGATTAATTGACTGTTAAACTGCAGTATATTCTTTACAATAAAGTCATGAAACATCAGCCAGGGAATTTCATTGAAACTGGATAGAGATGATGTCAGTCTTTTTTGGAAGGGCTATTTACATGCAGAACTTTCAGTGCAAAATATCTGATCCACTATTTCAGGAGGGACTCAAGGGTAAACCCGAGGTTATATGTGAGCAGTTTGTTCTTCTCAGACTTATCTTGATTGCAGTGAGGAACTCTAATCTTTAAAAGACCGTATCTCATTTCACTTTAAGTCTGAGAGATGAGGAACAATGTGAAGGAGCGAACACAGCCTTTCACTGAATGTATGAGCCCGGTGTCCTGTGTGGGTATTTCTGCTCATCACAAAGGCTTCACAGCAGCCCAGCTGACACGGAGCCTCACCTCTCTGACAGGAAGGTGTCATGTCTGACCGAGCAGACGGTCTCACTGCTGCAGCCTCTCCTACACGTGAGAGCGTCCACGTTCCTCCACACAGCCGTGAGCTCCGCAGAGCGCCGGAGTTCACCCGGCCCTGGAGGGGAGGCTTGAGAGCGGATCAAAGAGGGCTTTGTGTTGGGAAAGCAACCTGCCAGCGTGCAGCCAGTATGTGATGCTGCCAGGGCTTTCTGTGAAATTGAATCCATTTGAATAATTGCTTTAAGAGTAGTTGACACTATTATGACATGAAATAGGGGGTCTGTGGGGCCCAGGGCTCTTTAATGCCAGTCTTCACTCATGTTTGCTGCAAATTTAGACTATTTTGAAATGGATTTAATGTGTAAATGCGTGTGTGAGACGTCTGTCAGAGGGTTGTTTTTGTTTTTTTTTCTCCATCATTATTTCTCCACAGATCATTTCCTTATATTGCCTATACTTATGCTAATAGGGAGCACATTTATAGAATCACGTTAAGCAGCAGGAAGTTAAGAGAAGATGTCAGCAGGCAGGCAGCACAATCATCGTAGGAAAGCTGTGAGCATATTTAAACTCCAGAAATGATTCCATGTTGTAATCCCATGTTAATGTACTGTAACACACCAGTCCATGAAAATATTTTCTACCCTCACGTGCAGCACTGACCACACAGAGCCTCTGCAGAAACGGGGGATGTACATTTTTATCACCACCACCAGCAACAACAGGCGTTGTTTCAACCTCTTGAATTAATAGATGAATGACTGAAACTTTTATCGGCCTCAGGAGCATTTTCTTTGCACCTATGGGAGCTAGTCGCCTCAGAGAAGGTGCAGTATATCCTATTATATCTTAGAGAGTCATAATACTGCCTTTACTTTTGTTTTATTTTGCCATTAAGGTCGTTTTCCCTTCTTACTGCTGTGTAAATTAGGGCCTATGTCCACTAACCGTGTTTCTTGCACCGGCAGTGTAATCGAGAGTTCAGGGACTTCATTTAAAACCCCCTAGTGACCCATTGGCATCCATGTGTGGTCAGGCGCATGTGTGCTGCTGTCTTAAGGATGTCCAAGTTCACTGCACCGTTGATCCAACTCAAGCCTGATCAACTGAATCTTGCTTTTCCTGCAGCTATCGCAGTTTGGTTTAAAATATGACGAAGACAAAGGAAGGAGGAGGAAGAAGAGGAGCTTTGTTATAGTTCAAAGCTAAAGGAGGAGGAGCCCCTTAGCTTGCTTCTCTAGTTTGCCTCACTCTCTCCTCAAATATATGGCTTAATCCTAGAGTCTTTTACAACCCAACCAATTGTCCATGGTGCACACTCCCTTGACATAGAAACAGATAGATGCTCAATGCAACAATCCACTCTGGCTATATAAATGCACCAATGTCTGCAGCTTACCTTCACATTCAGTGTTTCCACTAGCTTTTTCGCGCTGTTTTTGGGGCTGGGAGAGATGCTTAAGCTAGCATTCACCGGAGAATGTGTGGTGTCCGCATCATCACGTACCATCTTTTTGAAGAATGCAAATATTTTCAATCAGGGTGCTGAACATTCGGGGACAGTTTGGTGCTCAATGACCAGCTTTTTTTTTTTTTTTTTGATAGCAGCAAATGCGAAGGAAAGGAGCCAGAACCCCAGCGGCAAGCGCTTGCGACCAGAATACCAGAATCAGTGGTGCTTACATGTTTCACCTCTGAACTAAGCGGAGCGGCATGTCAGCACGCGTGTATGTTTTGAGATAGAAAGAGGGGCGAGCAGAGAGTCCTACTCGTGGCAGAGGAGCGAAGAATACATTTTTCTTCAAAGTAATTAAATGATTGAGAGCTTCAGAGTCTGAAATTGCTCAAATTATATTCCATTTTATAGGCCATTTTAGAAAAATAAAAATTAAACGTATATTAATCCACAACTTCAATATCTGGGTTGTGATCTCTTCGGCAGGGCGGGGCGCCTTGCCAAATACACTATAGGGGAAACACAATTAGTCACATGCATTAACATTCACAGTGCTGATTTTGTGAACTCCCACACTAAAAGCCCCAACTCCACCTATATGAAGCACCTATTTCCTACCAAAAACAGGTGCTGTTCAGCTTTCCAATAGCTTGCACAGACTCCATCAAAACCTTTGGCGTCATCCCATCCCTTTCCTGGTTAATTTTGATGCTTATAGCTGTAACAGATGGAGGCTGAATCGAACGATACAGGTTTTAACATCCTTCTCACATGTATTAAAAAACTCTCAGGTCAGAGTCACAGTGTTTCCTTCCACATGCCGTCCAGTGAAGGTGTCGGCAGGTCTGTTCGGGGTTAATGACCAATAAAAACAGTAGCGCTCCACGTGTCGCTCCCTGTAAAACTCCTCGGCCCACATCATAAACCGGTTCTCAGCTCTGGCACACAGGTGTGCTTCATCTGCAGGCCTCAGGTGTGTGTGTGTGTGTGTGTGTGTGTGTGTGTGTGTGTGTGTGTGTGTGTGTGTGTTTGTGCTGACCTGGGTTTACATTAACACCTAAACGTGTGTTTGTGTTTATTTGCTGGTGGTCTCTAAATGGTTCCTTGTCAGGAGTTCTTTTCAACATTCAGGCAAAGAGGCACTTTATTCCTCTCTTCACCCACACGCTGATAGACAAAGTGACTCATTCTCCCCATTATGCTTCCGTCTCCATCAGGATTACAGCCGCCCACCTCCTGCCTTTTCACCTTGTGTACAGCAAGAATGCAAATTGTGATATTTGGTCCCATCCTTCCCTGCTTCCTCTACCTCTCCTCCCCTCTTTGCTTCCTATCTGCAGGTAATGACTTCCATACGTTTTAATATCAAGAGAGTGAAGGGGGAGCGCTTTGAATAGAGGAGGAGGAAATCTGTAGATGAGCTTCTGTTAAGTGGCTCCATATGCCCAGCAGTGAGCGTCTGCTGTGGGGGGAGCGGAGCTGTTCGCCTCCTCGCTCACAGTCTGATAATTGAGCACAGATAAATAACAGAGGCGGGCCGTGCTCTTACACTTCTTGCCCTCCTGAGTAATCCAACTCCTTACTTTCACCTCCAGCTCAGGGGGAAAAGTTTGGAAAAACTCTAAAGAATGGACTTAAGATGCGGCAGCTTCTGTTAAAGTTTTCTGAACACATTTCAATTTCTCTGGAGAAGATTTTCCATGCTCAGCGTTTCAACTTGTGCATACTCAAACTGCAGACTCCTCAGCCGGATGCCTCAGGAAGTTGTGGCTTTATTTTTCCAAACAGTCTCTCTTGTAGCTTATTTAGATTTATAGTCCCCTCAAAAAAGAGAGAATAGATGCAGCCTCCTCACTCTCCGCTCCTGAAAGTCTGACCGCCTGGACGGACTGGAGGGAGATCGTCCTTCTTGATAAAACTTCTGGCCCAGATAGCTCAATGAATAACATCTAAGTAGGTTATACATCACAGGCACCTATGGCACAGAGCGACTGGGGAGTACGCTGTGATGGATGAGTGGCCTTCACTTTTCTGGGACCCCAGAAACCAGTGGAAAAGAGTGGGGATGAGGGAAATCACATCCATATGTCATAACTTGGACAGGCAGGCAGACAGACGAGGCAGGCAGGAGGTGCAGGACGTCTCACAGAGCACCTATACACAAACACAGAGGGACCTCAGGGCAGCACTGACCTGTCCCATAACACAAACAGACAGTGGAAAGGGAACAATGTGTGCATACGTGTGTGAATACCTCACATATAGTCCAGACTCTGACCCCCCTCTGAGACCTGCTCACTGACCCCGATGATCACCTTCTTTAATCATGTGTGTCTCTGTTTTCAGGGTCCTCCTGGCCCACATGGAAACCCTGGTCACCCCGGGCCTCCAGGATTGAAGGTACGCCATTGAAAGTTTCAAATATCACAATAAAGGTTTTGTGATATTTATAAAAAACTGCAAAAAGGTTGATTGTCATGCTTTAATTTTGATATGTCTTGTCTTTAGGTTGCTTTATATCCTGATTTGTAAAAGTATTCTCTTATTATGTTCAAATGCCCGACTTACTTCTGTTTTTGGATTCATAATATCAGCTTTTAACAGTGACTAGTCTTCTCTTAGAGGACTTCTACAGCTAGACTGTTAGCAGCTTCATCTTCTTCCTCTCCAAGTCCCCAATCCAGGGCTGCAGCCTTTCGAAGGCCACATTTGAACACTGAATGCGCCGCAGCAGTGCATTTCCCATATCAAAGCCGTCTTTAAGTGTAAAGGCTGCATCAGCTCCATTCCTTACGGCCCGGCGTATCCTGTGACTCTCTGAGTGCCGATACATGATGTCAAACTCTTAAAAAACAAGAAACAAACTTTTAAATTATATTATTTGGTTTAAACTCAGCAGCACAGATGCATTGAAATAAGTAAAATGAAGATGAAAAGCCATTAACTATTTACCTTACATTGCAGCACATGAGTATAGCTGAAGTCCTGGTTTCTAAAAACCACAGCGTCCGTCTGTTTTGGAAAATAACTTTAGTACCTCTCTGTATTTGGACTTCTTTTGAATGATTTATACGTTTTGTGGGAACTAAGAGTCCTGCAGGCTTAAGGCTGAAGACAGAGTGGGGAAGTCTCAAAGTGCTGAGTGATGGACCCACGCAGTGTTTGTTTGGGTCTTTTCCTGAGATTTGTTATGAAAGAAAATACGGAATGACACAAAAACAGAATATGCTGTTGGTGTTTTGTTTACATCCAGGACGCAGCAGGGGAAAAAGAGGTCTGAATGTTGGGATATGATGAACTGACTTCTGCAAAAAGGAGTTTTTGTGTTTAGGTTTGACTCAAAAATAGAAGTAATCACATACTGCTGTCGGGATTTTGGTCGAAAGGTTGACAGGGCCTTAAAGATTCTTATTTTATATGTTTACTAGTACATTTGATGGGGAAAAATGCAGGAAAAGTTACTTTATAATGTTTGCAAAGTGGATGCAGCGCCACCAGTAAAAACATACGAAAAGATTGATGTGTATTATGAAATGTAGGACTGCAGCAAAGGTGTAAACCAGCTAAGATAGAAAAAAAAAAAACAATCATTGAACACTTCATAAACTCACATATACTTGTACACTATCTATGTCTCTAAAATGTCCTGTTAAATTTCACAAACTTGCTTTAATATCAGCCATCTCTGTAAAAGTGAGATAAAAACTCAAAGCTCCTGTGTGGATCTTGTTTGTGTCAACTTTGGCTCCCCCTGTGGACAAAGCAGTCTTTGCTTATCTTATCTTACATTTTCTGACCAGAAATCTTATCCTGCTGACTTTGACAGTCAAATATATAATTACCTACACCTATGCACAAGGGGGGTTTACAGTAAATGAACAGATAATCTTGTCAGTCATGGTCTTGTTTGCTTTTGTATGATATAAAAAGGCATCAATATGAATTTCTGTCTATTTGATAAACATTAAAAATCTCAGGAGCTTTAAATAATAAAAATAATACTGATAGGTAATAAATCTCGCCTCCTTCAGCAATCCCTATGGAGCTGTGGACTAACTCTAGAAATTTATTACACAGAAAATATTTTTTTCTCCCCCCTGGTTGCAATGTTGACATGTAGTTATTGTAAGACTGGTTTGTGCTCAAGGCCTCTTTTTTCTGTGCAGCTCTATTTTTAAAAGTTATTAGGGGGTTCATGTTTTCTATGATTGACTCTTGATACAGCCTACGGGCATACGAAGATAACGTAGCTCACCCGGGGGATACGCTGTTTGAGCCGAGTGTCATCACAGCGACTCTCCTGTCACCGAAAGTTACTGTCGCAAATGACGGTTTCAGGAAACGGAGAAAATCCTGTAAATGCTGAGAGCAATTTGGCTTCAAATTTGTACTATGATGGGAGTCGGAGTCAAGTTGCCCATGTTATATACAGTCTCTGGGTCAAACCCTCTTGGCAGTGCAGTACAACTCCTCAGCCCCTTAAAAAGCCATTTGTTTCCCTTCAGGAGAAAACATCATAACTCACTATCAGTCTGTATTCCAGCTGATTTGAATTGTCAACAGAGGCTTAATTTCCCATCATAATCTGCCAATCTGATAACAGAAAGGAGTATGTCTGTATGTTAGATGGTGTGAGAGTAAAACGTCCATACTTCCAGTGCGTGCCAAATCCATTTGAGTGCACTGAATTTTCCACACTTTCTTTAAACATTTCAAATCATAATCGATGCCATGCTTTGGCTTGCTTCAACCAAGGGGAAAAACCATAACTCTTATACATATGTGTGACTGGAGTCCAACCAAACTAGGCCCGGCTTAGTTTGACCCATTTGCACACAAACCTCAAACAGCAGACAGCCTGGTCTGGCACGGTTCCCCGCCTGGAGAAAAATGAGCAAGCAGGATGAAAACATGCTGTGTTTTAGCCGAGTTTTGTTTTGAATATGACGCTTTATCAGGATGTAATGTTGATTAATGGAGACAAGATGATGATCAATCTGCCTCCTGCTGAATGTAGCCTCCAATTAGGTGTTAAATGAAATGAATGAAGGCGTGAAATATGGTTTTAATCAGCACAAGGGCTTCAGAGGCTCTTGACTTTTTGGAGAAAATACCTCTTTTTTTGAGCCTTCAGATGATGTTGCTGAGGTACGAACTCCCTGCCAGAAAAAGACGACGTTCATGCATGCATGTAGCTCTTGGCTGGAGTTAAACTCTTGGCTCTCTGAAGAAATCTGTCTGCAGAAAATTCCCACAAAGGCTTTCCAATGCCAAGCTGGTAAAACAAACACACAGGTTCTAGTGGGTTGATGGGAACTTTGAAGAAGAGCTAGGCTTGACTTCGCTCTGGCCTTTTGTACTAGCAGATCGAGAAAAATGGGACAGGATACTTCTTAAAAAAGAACTAAAAACTCGTCGTGAAACAGGATTTCTCTTTGTGCTGGTCTTGAAATTAAAAAATAAATATTACAGTCTACTTATTGTTTATTTATTTGCATCTTAAAGAAAAGCAGTGGAGAGGTTGCATCAGAGGACTTGGAGGAGGCTGCTGTTTTGACAGAATTTTATGAAAACATCAGGAAGAAGTGTTAAAGACGGAAATGGATGAATTCAACCTAAGTTTGTCCTCACTTGTGATCCCTAAAAAGTCTTGTTCATCAGACTGTGGCCATTTCTTTAATATTAATATGAGTTTTGAACGGGGTATTGTTAGATAGTTTGTGTTTCAATTGTGATTCAGAAACAGAATAAAATTTCATTTTCTAATTTGTTACAAAACTAGAAACTGGATGGTTGTTTACGACTAAAACCAAGATACCTTTTCGTATTTGGTCTTTCCTTTTCTCCCCCTCAACATACAGGTTGAATATTGAAAAGGCCTCATGACTTCGAAAAACATAGTCACGTGTTCTCCTCTTTTTACTACTTTAAACCAAAAATTAAAAGATCTGAAGGGCCAATTTGTGTCCCTGTGTCTTAATGCAAAATTGGAGAAGAAAGCTCCAATTTTGTTTGTTAAAGATGGAAGTGACAAGTTAAAATTTTCAAACTAAAAGCCAAAAGAATCATGAATGTTTTGCCTACAGGATCTACAAATCAGAGTGAAATTACATAGGGAAGGCCTCTGCACAAGCTTGATAAAAGTCCAAAGCATTTGACGTTTCTCTTTTTCATTCAAGGCTAATTCATTTGTTTGGCACCTTTTGAATATGCGTAAAGGCCTTTAATGACTCCATTCCTTAGATTTGACAAATGTTTATTGGAGAAAAGTAAGTGACTGTCATCCGTGACTAACATTGTGCATACTGTGTAAGATGTTGCTGCAAAATCATGACTGTAAATTAGAGCGAATAGAGGCCCTAAAATGGATCCCTGTGGTACCCCACGCTGTATCATAGCTCTCTAATACACTCTATACCGTCTTATAACCTTTTGACATACTGCCGTCTAATTACTGAGCTACTAAATCCAAATCCGCACAAGTAAGAAAGTAAAATATCATAACTTACATTAGGGCTGGGCTGTATGGCCTCAAATTAACATCACGATGTACTGAGCTGTTCACCTCGATAACGATAAATGGACGATAACTACTCCACAAGCTGCTCACCCCCTCCCACATTAATTTTGTTTACTTCTGCCGCTGCTCCAGCTGCTACAACTTTTGAACTGTCCTCCACCTCCTCACCTATCTTTCCCTCTTTGTTACAGACTGGATGGGGTGTTGTCACATCTCTGACATAGGACAGCATCTTAAAGGGACATGAGACCATAGCCTACCTACACACATCCAAAACCAACTTTTATTTATTTATGTTCTTGACAGCAAATACACCGATATGGGCAAAATGACGTCGGTTATTGTCATAAATTTTGGTATCGGTGAATTTTTGGTTTCTCGCCCAGCCCTAACTTACATTATCACATGTCCAAGATTGATCCATAATACAAACCCCATCTTTTCTGGTTAGAGCTAATGAAAAAAAAAAAAAACATACAGGCAGCGATATTGTTGTGGGTTCCATACTGGTGTTCATACAATATATAACACGTGTTTACATGCTCTAAAATGTGTTTGTAAACTAGTTTTTGAGTAAACCTACTTTTTCTCTCATGTCCCAGTGCAGCTCTATCATTTCAGGGTAGGAAGTTCAAACAGCTGATCACTTGGTTAAAAGTCCTGCAGAGTTGTAGCTGTCTCCTTTTTTCCCACCACACACTTGTTGCTCTGTTTGATTAGCACTAATACAGGCAATTAGCAGTTTCCTGAGTCGTTCCTTGACCGGTGTGGTTGGAAGTTAAACGCTGACCCAGAATGCACTGAGAGGATTCCCGCTGCCTGAAAAGGCAGAAGAATGCACACAGTCTGTCACTCCCCACTACTTCTCGCCAGCTTGGTGTAAACTGAGTCACAGAGGGGCATAAACGGACTTCACTTTAGTGTAAATAAACTGCTGGACTCACTTACAAGAAGGATGAACTCATGGCTCTGACGGTGTTAACGCTAACAGCAAACTGCTCTGCACCTTGTGAACTGGAATGCCTTGGCAGTGCAGCAAATATGCAGTGAACGTTGGTGCAAGTCAAATGTTTTCTGTTTCTCTGTTGCAGGGGCAGAAAGGAGATCATGGTCTGTCCCCCGGCTTGGCCCCTAAAGGACTCAAAGTATGCATTTGGTCATCTTTTGTCACACAGAGTGGCTCCATTATTTGCAGACTCGGTTATGCTAATTATGTCAGCTTATATCATGTGAGCTAATTTGTGTGTTTCAGGGAGAGCATGGTGGACTCGGCCCTCCTGGACTGCCCGGCCAAGCTGGACGAAAGGTAGAAAGTCAGATTTACTCCCACAAACTCATCCTGCATGTTTGTTTGTGTGTTTAAATTGACGAGGAAGTAACTTTGTCGACACAACAGAAACCTCTAGCTGTGTCCCATATGTTTAAAAAACCAACGTGTGCCTGCTCTGTTCCTGTTTTAAGATGTTTTCAGACATAAATCAAACACCTTGAATGAATGAGGATCTGAATGAGCAGAGTTATGTATATGGAGGATCACTAAATCAAACATACACTCTAACCCCTCCTGGCCCGTGCGTCTCTGTCTTTGAGGTGGAAAATCTGTGATATAGTGGCGTTCAGAAGCTCCAGCCAAACATGGATGTTTGAGCTCTTGTTTGGAAAGCAGCCGCACATAATGCAGGCGTCAGGGAGCACACCTGTGTTCTGGTTCTCCCCCGTGGGTTTGGTGCTAAAGGTTTGACTATCTCATCTGTTACATCATCTGCATCACAGGCCTTCAAAGTGATGACGGGGATGGAGGTGAGCTGAAGTTTACCGAGGGAAACTTTTTGCTTTCTTCAAATGCGAGTTATGTCACCGGCTCTCCGGAGAACAGCTCCTGTAAAAAGTAGGACAAGTTTGGAGCGTGGTTCAGCTCTGTGATCTGGTCCTGCTCTGGATTGTTTGTCTACATTATTTGCCTTCTTAACATACCGCTGAGCAGAGAGTGATGGTAAGCAGCATGTTTTTCCATGGCCTTATACATTTTATCCTTGGCCTTTTCCCGAAGCCAGTTATCCCCCTCACAGTAATTACACATCTCAAGTGGGCCAGAGCCGGCTGGATTTCCTTCTACGCAGAGTGAGCAAATTACACAGCACTTTGTTTTTCCACATTGTTTTTTTTGAGACGATGTTTTCGCATCACTGCGTCCTCTTACACACGAATGCTTTCTGTTTGGTCATTGACAAATAACGACAGACCCTTTTCCTCCTTAAATGCACGACTGTAAAACCTGAAACCTCCCCGGAGTATTCTTTTTTCTTACTATTTCCAAGAAATACATAGTAATACTTGTAGCAGCTATGCAGTATTACATCTCTTATTACTTTAACCCAACCTTTCCATGTCTGGACTGCTCAGCCTGAGGCCTTTTGGCTACCACTGAAAATGGAAATCCTTTAAAACAGCTCCACAACTCTGTCAGAGCCTGGACGCTGAGTAAATTTTGATTAAAAGAGTTGAATTTTATGGTTTGCAAATCATTCAAAGCCCATTTTTTGATTACAAATAGAGTAAATACTGCTGCATGATCTATACTAATGCCCCATATTTGCCTGATATAGGTCGGGATAGGGGTCGATCACAGTTTCCATTAAAAACCCAGTTCTGCATTTGTCAGAACCCAAAAACCAAAAACATTGGAGCTCGCCCAGTTAAGTCTCAAGGGTCCCAGGAAGTTATTATACTTTGAGATAAGTTAGTTAATTAGCTAAGTAGTAAATGCACATTAATGGGCTATCTCATAAACAGTAGTGATCTTGATAAGGACTCTAATCATGAAGGGAGTCTCAATAATGGTATCAAAATCAACTTAAGGTAACAATCCCTGTCCCATAGATACAGGGTTTCAGCCGCCCAACACTGCGGGTCTGTTCTAATGTATTTTTGGTTCATTATGAACCAGATATTTTCATTTTGAGTTCAAGTCAGGACTGCAGGCGGGTCAGCTGAGCAGCAGGACTCTTCTACTACAGAGCAATGCTACTGTAATCCCTGCAGAATCTGGTTCACCGTTGTCCTGCGGAAACACACAAGATCCTTTCTGAAGACAAGCCAGGCAAGGCATATTTATTTTAACAGTTGATTTAAGGTGTTTAGAAAAGTACATTTTTAAAAAATCATTACAAGACAACATTTTAAAGTTGTTCAAACGAGGTTTTAAAGATAAGAGCAGCAAAATCTAAAAAATAACATTATAATAACAGCGCAGTGTTGGTTTAATCAAAACAGCTTGGCCAGTCCTCAACCAAAAGTACCCTTAAAGTTTAAAGACCCTCTCCAATGAACATAACGTTTGTCTTGTTTTCTTCATGTTCATATTGCATTTTTCTGATACCACAGGACATATCATGAGAAAAATAAGTGTGAAATTGCATTTCTGAATATTTCTTTATTCAAATCACCGTGAACCTCTGGCAGACCCAAAGGGCAGGTCAGGTACAGTGAGATTTCACAAATCCAAGCTCTGCCCTGGAGCCCCGCTATGCAGGCCAGACTTGGAGAAGTAGAGAGGATGATCGCCGAACAAGTGTGTGTGTTAGCGGATTGAAATGCTCATAAGAAAGGTAATTATGATATTAGTTTTCATCATGCCCCTAAAGACATTAGTGTCCGAGAGCTGAATAGCGCCTATGTTACCTGCTTCTTCTACTACACCAGCAATGTTAGGCTGCAAGCTAGCGTGAAGAGGAGTGTGCAGAGCAGCGCTGTCTCCGCCCACGACTCAGCGGTGAATTGCAAATGAGCTACTGGAGCTCTGCAGAAAAAAAGCCCTTAAAAATGACACAGGTAACGTGATTTGGGCTTAAAACTTCATAATCACAGTTTAAAGACCATTGAACACTTAAAGTAGTAAAAATAATGTTTGGAGTGGAACTTTGATGAGCTAACTGGTTCCTGTTGTTGTCTCTGTTTCCACCAGGGGGCTAAAGTCCTGTATGGATAATGAAATGCAGGAACAAATGACCTCTTGGACTTAAATAAATCAGACATATCCACCATCTCCAATATTTCTTTAAACTATCTCCCACTGTAATAGAGACATGTTGATTTTCTTATCAGGTTGATTCATTGTAGTAATATTTAATTTGAAGCAGAGCCAGCAGACTGTGCGAGATACTGTATCTCAGAAGGTTTATGGTACGGACTGGTAAAATGTTTGCAGCAGTATAAACAAGAGCCGTACAAACTCTCTCACAACAGCTCTGCTATCTTTGCCTTTCCTGTCCTCCTGATTCTTGAGAGGGTGCTGTTTACGTCCGCTCTGCAAAGTTGCAAATTCAGCCAAATTTATGTTTCTAGCAGAAGGAGAATCAGCATTGCAAGAGAGAAACTCACCACAGACACCAAAATATAGGAAAGTCAGGCTTCAGCTTTCCAAACAGAGAGACCCCACCCTTCAGTCTGAGCAGCACTGGATCCCCTCAACCTGGAAACTAGTTAGTGATAAGGTCATTTGATACAGTTTGCAGTCTGTATTGTTGTGTGTGAGATGAAAACTAAGAAAGGTGAGTCAGGATGGATTCACCGCCGAGGTACCTGACACCTTCTACAGAAGTGAAGAAAACCACAGAGTCCTCTTCTTCTTAATTACACACCCCAGTTTACTGTCTCATGTGTGCTTCGTTTGTGGTCTGCTGTCTGCATAATCAGAAACAAATCTGAGCAGCAGCACTGTAAAAGGTCAAAGTGAGGTCTGGTTTTGAATGTCCTGATGAGGAAACCTTTGTTGGAGCCGTCCTCGCTCACGCACACTCTTAAAACAAAAGCACACACACCCCTGTCCTCATTTGGGACACAATTGCATGAGTGTAATAAGGCCTTGGCCGGAACTCCAGCGGTCTGTTATGCAATCACAGAGCGCTGACTATGAAAAACCATCTGGTCCACTCAAGGCTCCTCTTTTGAACAGGAGTCCTCCCCGCCACACTGAGCAGAGGAAGACCTCTACTCGCTGTCCTGTGAGTCATGGGAAAAAACTGATATCCCTCCTTGTGATATCTCGTCATTGAGGGTCTTTGCAGGGTGTGGACCGACACCCTGGCAAAGATGAAGTTAAAGTAACAGATCCTCTTTTTCCTCCTCTGGCAGTAAACTCAGGTGGGATCTGAACTAGCCTTTTTTTTTAACCTCAATGACACACGCATCCCCGCAAGCAACTGCTGACAGACCTACAAAGTATAAAACTGCAGTTTGTGTCCAGCAGTTTTCGACAAGCTCTGCTGAAGCCACCAGACACCTCATTGCTTGCAGCTGTTCCTAACTCACTTAGTTTTTTTTTTATCATACCCCGAGATTGAACGCCAGCACTCCTTACAGGGCACTTTTGTATTCAAATTACTCTGAAATTCCATCATCCTCTGCAGATGAAGCCAGACATTTGTTCTCTTGTCTGCTCCGGTAAAACTCTGACCCTCTGCTGCTTTATGGACCCCTTTCACAGAGTTTTGTGCTCATGTCTTTGGCCCTTCGCCAGAGAAAGCCTTCCTCACTGTGGGAAACGTGTAAAGATGTAATGGGGAGGTTGCCTGCGAGTCAGGCAGCGGTCTGCTCTGTAAAGTTCAGAGAAACCTCTGTGTGTGTGTGTGTGTGTGTGTGTGTGTGTGTGTGTGTGTGTGTGTGTGAGCGTGTCAAACCAAAACATATTGGAGAGTATTAAACCTTGGACCAGAGCAGGGTTTTACATCGCCAGCTCTGATCACGGCACGCTGGAAGAGCGCTCAGCGGCCGTCAACTTTTCCTTCCTGCTCCTTGGGGTTGTGTAACAACATTTTCTACCTTTATTTGATAATTTGTGAAGAAAAAAAACTAAGAGGCTTGGAAAATATCAGTATGGTTTTGGTTAAGGCTTTTGGATACCAAAACAAGTTAGGGATAGAATAACTTGGCGGTGGCTGATTATTGGGTCCATCATTTCAAATATTGGCTGTTTATTTTACAGACTGCTGATAAAACTGATTTATGACAAAGTTGTGCAACTTTGGCTCCACTTCTGTTGTAGCTGGGTCAGATTTCTTGCACCACGTAAAGTCCCGCCCACAGTCAGATGCTTATTGCATGGTTACATGAAATATTGCTTAAAAACGATGCATTATTAGTGTTGCACTCTTAGATTATTGAAGTTTGAACTCCTGAAAATGATGTTAAATGTTCCAGTTTCGATTTTGATGCGTCATAAAGAAGAGGCACCATGAAATTCAGTCTATTTTACAACCAGTAAGAACTCCTTACAGTGGCTTTGAAATAAAACAAAAGGGTTAGGACTCACATATGCATATTTCAACATAAATATGTAATGCAGTCTGCTCAGGAAAGTCTGTTAGTGATTTAAAATCAGAGGAAACATTGCTGATTCTCTTGCTGGCTGCACAGCTGACCTAGTGTGTATTAAACAAATTAAAACTGTTTCCTCTTCACGGAAAGTGAGAACTAATGGCAATTATGACTCTTTGCCATCTTTCTGTCAAACCAAAGATTAACAGAGCTGGGAGGGCTGTCCACTTCTGTTGAGTCCATTTCCAGCACACACCTTCATCCTGCCTCTCAGGACAGACTTCCTCTCCTCTCTCTCTCTCTTCTTTTACTGTACTCAGCTGTATTGGACTTTTGCTGGAAGGCACAGACACATTCTTCTGTCCTTCTGTGGCTGCAGTGTTTGGCTCTGGGGTGAGACTCATCTATTCCAAAAATCCAGTCTGAGATGTGCAACTCGAAGCACATTGAGTCAGGAGAAAATGAGAGAAATAATCATCGATAAAGGAGTTTGCAGAGCTGCTGCGTCTGATGAAATTACCGCGGACAATGGAGCAGCATCTGGCTTCACTTGTCCGAGGCTGCAGGAGACCAAAGAATAATTTTGTTTTTCTGTCTTTATTAAGGTTTTATTGGCGTCAGGCACAGGCTGTGAGCATTAGGAAATGTCACATCCATCTGTGAATGCACACGTTTAGTCTCCTTCTAACGGTTTGTAACATCATAACAATGTCAGAGGATTGAGTCACAGTTCATATGCTTTTTAACTTAACTTTTTTAACTAGTTGTGAAATTCCCAGTTCAAATGTAGGTTTCTGGGTTAAGCTGATAAACTGGACCGTTATTGATCATTAAAACCAGCTGCAGCGTCTTTGGGCACATTAGGCTCACCCTACCTCAGCTGATTAACCCTGCTGTATGAACAGATGGACGAGGGCTACACGATTTTGGCCAAAAATAAAATCCTGATTTTTTTTCTCTGAAAACTCGACGATAGATTTTGATCACAGGTTTTCATTCAGTGACAATTTTACCAAACTTCACTTTAAAAATAAAATGTTTTTCTATCATCTCTCAAAACCAAACCAATGAAAATGATTTAGTGCATATGCCAAGCCAGTAAGTGGCGCTGTAGCGCTGAACAGGAAATGCATGAAGGGAAGGACAGAAGAAAACTATGGAGCATGCGTATAAAGGTTGTTTTGGCCGGACATGTGCAGGCGCCATATAAGAGTTACGCTGTGTGTGACATAATCATTTCTAAAGATGCAGATAGGCGTCCACATGGAGATGAAATGGTAGACATTTATGGATTTATGCACTCTCTGACCCATTTTCAAAAAGTACTGTTAACAGTCACCTGAAACTTCATTTCCGTGTGGGTGAAACACTGTACAACAAAAAACTTTTGCATTTACTCCTGAATTCATTTCAAGACGGGGACGTGTGGACGGGTTGGTACCACCTTCAGACAGAGTTTGCAGTGCGGAGTGGTTTGCTCCTCATCCAAAACTGCAAAGCCGTACCAATTTCACACGACTGAACTGCCCTTGCCCTATTTAGCCACAAAATGATCATCTTCTTTTGCAAATGCCATGTTTGCTTACACTGGTCTGTGTGGAAACTGGGGAGCGCTCTTGCAGGAAGGGGGAGTCTATGGTGGCCTGTAGGCACGAGACATGATAGAGAGGAAAATCAGTTTCACGATTTTAATTTTTTTCATTTTTGTCACAATAAAATAATCTGATTACGATATAAAATCGATTAATCGTGCAGCCCTAAGATGGACCATCATTTGGTTTTTAAACTCCTAAAATCTCTAAGTGCTAACAAACCCTAAACCTTAGTAACTTTTTGGACCAGCTGCAGCTTTCGGCAGAGGACGCCTCTTTGCTGGTGTGGGCATGTTTTGGAGCAGAAAAACAAACAAGGTCCTGGAAACTTGCCCAGGTTTGATCCTTCCTCCTCGCCATCATGCAGGCACATTAGCCTCATGCTCTGCTTTACATCTGTATTCACCGGAGGAAACTTTTAATCCTCATGTTCACACTCTTGCTGCAGGCCTGAAACCACTCGCTGTGGGTCTCTTGATGGTGTTTGTTTACACACTCAGAAGTTTCCTGCATCAGCCTCTGGACGCCTGTGGTTAACTCGGGGCAGCTGGTGGCTAATGACTTCACACTTGAGGGGACAGTCATGTTCTTCCCTTCCTTTCACACGACTCTGCCAGCTCTGAGGGACTTGATTGTATAAAGATTAATATGTTTTGTAAGCAGCTGGCATGCTCATTTGAGACCACAGGCCATGAAGGTGACCATTAATTACTCTTTTGGGTTCATTTGTTCCTGTCTAATTGGCTTACCCTTTAATTAATGTAAGATCGCTGTGGATTGTTTTGTCAGGGTGCGTTCATAGCAACGATTAGACAAAGTGGCGGCCGAGCAGCTGTGCAGCAACAATAAATAAAAACGCCATTGTTCTTGTGTAGAATCGTAAAGTGTTTTATTCGGGGTTAACCAGCCATTTGCTGCTGATAAGTGGTTCATTTGTTTCGCAGCGATTACATTTGTCCTTGCTGTGGAAACTTAAAAATCAAACCCTCCAGCTCGTTATTAAGTGACTTTATTGAATTATTTAGAAGGAAACAAAGTCAAGTTGCTGTGAGGCAAAAAGGAAAATCATTGAGCAGATTTCACCCCCTACAGTGTCAACTCAAACGGTCTTTAAGCTCAGTGTGATGAAGTTTCAATTGATAAAATTAGGTTCACATTTGACCACTGACTTGATCTTTCTTCCTTTAACTGACATGAAGTCCTCCTCTGAAGGGCTTTATTTAGGTTCTGGAGGCTTTTTGGACCCATGGATCACGTGACATGATAACAAAACATTCAAAATGTGATTTATGGTGTTATTTGGGGTCCTGCTGATGAGTTTTTTTCCCAAAAGATCAGACACAAAGAGGCAGAAATAAACTTTAGAAAGGAGGCAGGAGTCAGGGGGGCAGATTCAGGGTTTACCCCCCCCGAAATTTAACGATTTACTGAAAACTTGCAATTCAGTCCAGCATGACTTCTGTAAGTTCTTGAACAAATATTTTATTTTAAGGGTTCACACTGGATGTTACTTTTTCACCAACTATTGTTTATACTTAATATGACATCTTTTTAACAAATTCAATTGTAGCATGATTACGTAAAATGAATGAAGTAATTTTTTCCAGTCCATGGAGCCCTCCTTTTTATGACTGTACAATTTTCATTTTCTCCTCATTTATTGTCACTTTGAAAGACTCGACTGGGACTTCCTGCTGCTGCACTCTGAGCCTTGATTTGGACTTGTAGAAAGCGACTCATGTCCATCTCTGTCCCTTTCATTGGCTGTCAACTGCTCTAACTGTTTTCTCTTTCCTCAACAGGGACAAAAAGGTCACCCTGGTCCTTCTGGTCTGCCTGGTGAACCTGTAAGTACATCATGTGTTTTTGCAGTCTTTGACGTGTTTTACTAGAACTGCTGGACTTTAATTTCTTGGCCCTCATGATCATACATATATGATAATTGAGACTGAACAGTTATCATGCTGCCTGCTGTGTTGCTTCCATTGAAAGTAGCATACCTTTACCGCCATTTGTACCACGTGACACAAAGTTTGGGGAGGAGTTTAGCGAAGTTGTGTCTACTGCTAAGATTATTGATTGATTGCTGTATCCTGAACAAGTTGTGCAACAGTGATACAAACTATCAGTAAGCTACAGGTGAATAGAGGAGAGCAGGGAGAGGAGAGCAGAGAGAGGAGAGCGGAGAGAGGAGAGCAGGGAGAGGAGCAGGAGGCGAGAGTAGGCGCCTGAAAACCCAAGGGACAAGTGAGCACAATAAGAGAGGATGCGTACTCTGAGTTTAATTTCTGGTTTGAGATGGCATTTAAACCACAATGTTCTAGGTGTTGCACCAGCTGACGGAGTTGTAAGACTACGCTAAGTTACAACTTCCGTCTTCCATGAATACAGATTGTCAGAGGAGTTTTTAATTCCTGTTTTTTTTTTGTTGGTAGCATGTTCTGTACAGTGGATTGGGATCATATGAATCTGAAATATGCTCACTGGGGGCTAATAGTTACTTGCTGGTGAGCCTTCCGGTACTTGTATTTCCTTTACAACTCCTCCGCTTGTCATTATGATTGAGGAATGAGGATTTGAACTTTTCTTCCCTCTGTGCAGATCAGAAAGAAGAAAAGTCACTTTTGTGTATTCTGCTTTAGATTTGAGCGATTTTTAAAAAGCCAACAGGTACCTCTGGGGCTGCATGCATCATTGACACATTTTTTTTTTAACTTGTTTTGATAAACACTGTCTGAGTTTAGGGGTGATACAGCTGCTAATATTGGTGCTCTAGACTCGTGATGTCTCAGGTCTCCTTGAGTTGTTTTCATGCTCACTAAATCCACTACATGCTGTCCCTCAGTCTGGTGGTTCCTCTGTGTTTTTGCTGTTTTTAATGTTTGTTTGCTCATAAAAAAGTCGAGCCAAGAATCTGCAGACAAAGTTCCCATCAGAGTCCAGCTTGTCTTTCCATTTTAAGTTACAAAACATGCCGAAAAGAGAAAAGAACGAAAGACTGACCAGGACGATAAAAAAATTAGGTGTGCAGAAAGAGTTATAAAAGAAAGATGAGACATTGGAAGTTGGTCGAGCTGGAAACTTGGCGGGAATAGAGCAGAAGAGTTTTTTTGGCAGAGGAACAACTGGGCTAAATAGTTTGGACACCCCTAGGTCATTCCTCCTCCTCCCCCTTCTCCTTTGCTCCCTCCTTCCTGAGCCCAAATCCGGTGTACTATCTTTGAGAAAAATGTGCTGTGTCACAACGATAAAAAAAGGCTCTCTGGAGATGAGGCTCTCTGTTCTGCTGAAAACAACTCAAACAGAAAAAAGGTTCAACAAACAGACGAGTCAGTCAGGATCCTTCAGTGAGGCGTTTTTTCTGTTAATGAACTACAGCTGATTATTTCTAATTTAATGAGGAAAACTGGCGACACCTTGTGCCAGAAACACGTGCATCTCAGTAAATGAGGACGCTTTAATCCCAGGACACCAGTTTTAAGACAGAAAGGTTTTGATTATTTTTGTTCTCCAGGAAAAAGTAGCAATGAGTGATTCTGAAACCTGCACTCAACGTGTGCCTGAATCAACTCTGTTAATTAAAACTCACCCTGTATTTACTCAGACATTTATCTGACTTTTAAAGATGTAAAATTGCTTTGACTCAAGTTTCTTGTGTTTAGCCTCCATTTAACACTTCATAAAGAGCAAACGTAAACACAGCTCTTTGTTTACGCTTTTCATCTTCTTCCCTGTATTTAACGTGCACATTTCTTCATCTTGGCGCGCTACCGCCACCAACTGCCTGTCAGCAAAACAGCGTGGTTCGCAAACAGCAGATATTTGGATATTGACCCTTTGCAGTCTGCAAGAATGTGTGCTACATTGCCTGAGTGTGCTCATACACCTGTCTGCTCTTAAGCTGCTGAAAAGCCAAAAATTTAAACAAAACATCCCCCCAGAAAGAAATAAAATATTTCCATTTTCACAAAATTAGGTAATAAATATTGTAAAGTCAGGGGGTGTTATTGCAATAGTGTCAGCACACTATAACTTGTATACATATATAACATATATACAGTATATATGTCGGATCTGACACTATAACTGTCCTGTGGCAGTCTTTTATTCAGCTACCCTAGAAAGATATAAACAAGTTTACACAGAGTATTAAATAAACTGATTTCATTAGTCTAAAAATGATTAATTTAAACAGCCTTAATAAGTAGTCCCTCTTTCTCCTTTCTTTGTGGTGATGGTTCTTATCAGCTTTTCCTGCAGAGCAAATTAATATTTAAGTGAACAACTTCATTGGGTTTGTTTTAAATTCACACTGAGCTGAACTTTTTCACTTGTGATCTCACCCCTGATGTCAGACAGGAAATAATAATGTTGACATCTACATCCTTATTCAGCTCTCAGTTGACACACTATCGAGCAACCAGGGCTGTCACAGCATACCAACAAGGAGGTTAAAAGTCTTTGTAAAATAAAATATCAATGTCATGCTAAAAATAAGCATTCAACAAACACTGTGAGGCCATGGAAGGGGTCCTTAATGCTGGTTAACAAACTGAAGAGGAAAAAGAAGGAGCAGCTGCTAGTGAGTGAGCTGTAGCAGCTCTCTGAGAGACTTAAAAATCTGTCATTCAAAGATTTATAGTGAATCTAAAAACAAGGTTAGAGCTTCTGCGTCTTTGAGTTACTGATCAAATGAAAATTTTAAAGCTGTAATCAACCAAATAAATTCTTGGTTGACTAAAACCCTGAAATTTTCCACCAAAAATTTACTAACCCGGGGACGACACGGCTCGGCAGAGCGCTGCTTGGTGGAGCGCGGCTTGGCAGAGGGAAAATATACTGATATCAGCACAAGAAGGCAATTAAACACAAATATTGTATTCAGCAAACCATCAGATGTTGATTAATGTGGATGCTCTTCAATCTTCCTGTCTCCAGCCCATCTCCAGTGGGTTAGACGAATCCAAATGGTGAAACAAGGGGGCTGTTCTGAAACAAGCTGTTACCTGTGAAATGGGGGTGCTCTGAAAACACCCCCTTTAGCACTTGGTACGTTCCTTCTGATAAAATTGACCATAGACTGTAAATTGACACAGAAAAAAATCGAGTCGACCAATCAGAACTTTGGTTGACTCACAGCCCAAGAAAATTTATACTTTCTACTTATTAATTTTTTATTCTACTATTTTTCGATCTACCAGGAGTTGTTTCTTTTGATATAAAAGCAAAGTTTCACACGCAACATAAATGCAAGTCAGAAAATATCAAAATAAAAGCATGAAAAACAATCATTTTAGGACACAATATTTTCTCCAAAGAAGTTTTCATCACCCTGTAGGGGCGTTTATGTTGAAGGTTATAAGTTTGGCGAATCTGAGGCTCAGCTTACTTGACTGACAGCTGAGAACCCTGTAGCTGAGTCAGCTTTTCTAACATGGCAACAATAGCTTTCAAAAACCCATTTAGATGTTACCAACACAATATCCATTTATTGTACGGCCTATGATTATTTGAAAATGACTGCACAAAGAAACGTCCCAAAAATGAGCCTCTCTATCTCCGTGATGGTCATCTGACGAGCGCTCATTTTTTCCTGTCTCACTGAGTGAGTGGATTTTATGATGCTGAGACCAGTTCTAATGTGCAAATGAATCCAGTTTTAATCATGCAGAGTTAAACTGTTTTTTGGAGGGATGTATTTGGTTTAATCCTACCTCTAGGAGAGAGTGACTTGTGTTATAATGTGTGCTGATGAGGGTAAATATATAACAGAAAAACTGTGCTCGTGGTAGTCCCAACAGCACGTGGCTGCACTGCATTACAGCAGCTCTTACTGTAGGATTAATGGAATAGTCAGGCGCCTCTTTTCTTGAGCAACACTGACGGGACGAAACAAAAGGTCTTTATTGAGAAGCTGAGATTTAAATTCCTCCATAGGAGCTACTGACTCTTGTTTATTGCTTTATAAATAAAGAACTTGTTTTCACTTTTTATTGCTGTCTGTCAGGTTCTCATTGTAATCACCGCGACTCTCAACAGAAACCATATGTGCAAACAGGAAGCCCTTTTTTTCCTACAGATCACTCCTTCCCTCTGTCCATCCTTCAGACCTTCTCTTCTTACTTCTCCCTTGCCCTCCTCTCCAGCTGATTCCTCTCTCTCTCTCTCTCTCTCTCTCTCTCTCTCTCCACAGGGTGAACGGGGAGATGATGGAAGCACTGGGGCCAAAGGCTATCCTGGCAGGCAGGTGCAGTAAATCTAGTGTTGCGGTGCTGGTTGAGCAGGGCCACACACACACATACACACACACATTGACATGGAGACACACACTCGCACATAAAGAAGGATAAAGCCATAAAACAGGCTGGGAGAGGATCTTTATTGTGAATGCAGCTCTTCTGGAAATAAAGTGGTGATTATGGTCTTTAGATAAATCAAAGTTTGCGACGCTCACAGTAAGAATCAGAGAGAGATTACACAACAAACCCCAACTCCAGTGAAGCTGAGTCTTTGGATTTGAAGTCTTTCCCATTTTTGCTTGATAGACCATTTCTTTGTCTCAACAAACAGGGGTCTCGGTTGTGGTATTTTGGACTTCTTAATGAAGACTTCACAGATGTGACAGTTAGCCATTGGGAATAACACCCCCCTCAGACCATCAGAGATGCTGGCTTTGACCTTTGACCTGAGAACAATCTGGATGGTCCTCGTCAGACCACAGCAGACTTTTTCACTTGGTGATAGACTTTAAACTTGTAGATGAAGAGACCAATTGTGTCAACTGACTTTTCTGAGGTCCTCCTGAGCCCACATGTCAATATATTTTAGAAAATGATGTGGGTCTTTAATACAGTGCTGCGTGAGAGGTCAAAGGTCACAGTGACTCACTGTTGGTTTTGGGTCTTGCTGCTTACACGCAGAGATTTCCAAGTGGTGAACTTGGCCTCTTCCTTGTTTGTAAAGGACTGAAACTTTTGGGGACACTCCTTTTATAGCCAATCATGATGCTCACCTGTTTCCAATGAGCCTTTTCACCTGTGGAATGATCCAAACAGATTTTTTTGGAGCAGTCCTCAGTGAACCATCTTTTTGGGATGTGTTACAGGCACGTAACAATCAAGTTTATCCGTTTGAACATAAAATATCTTGTGTCTTTGTCATGTATTCAGTTAAATATGGGTAAAAAGGTTTTGTAAGTTTTATGCAATGTCCAAACTTCATTGGTTTGTAGATCATATGTGAATGCTTTGAGTGTTTTCTGTGGAAACTGTCAGCTGAGAAAAATCTCAGCCATTGGCGTCCCAAAATTTAATTCGGCAAATCCAAATAAAATGTTTATAGCGGCTGAATGAAAGAGAAAAAGGTTCAGGAAGAGAGACAAACAGCTCCAAGCTGAGTTGAGGAACCTTAAGTTGGTTTCAGCGACAGATGCCTGGGGTCTAGAGAGGAAATAAAATGTCAAAAGGTTTCCGTTGAGAGCGGCGCTCTGAAGAAAAAAAAGGTAATAAAAGTGTGACTAATGCCGCAGCTCCCCGGGTACAAATAAGCCTCTCCTGTCCCTCTGAACTCTGACTGTCAGTCCGCTCCTCACTTCTAGGAATAACTTTCAGCTCGAGTAGTCGAAGCTGCCGAGTTTTACGGTTTCTCTACATTCAGAATCTGTTTCTTCTTAAATTTCAGCTCCTTCAACAGCTGGACGACGGCGCTTTCACTGTGCTTCCTGAATGTTTATGATAACGTAGAGTTCAAATGCAGGTCTCTCTGTTTGCATCTGAGCTTAAGCGCACTTACTGTGTCTGAACTCTGATCCCTTTAGACACTTAGCGGTGTGTGATGGATTAGGTTTGAGCTCCCCCTACCATCTGTGGGCTGTGAATCACCCAGGGCTGCAGGTTTATGTCAAGACGTTGCACTTTGCTGAAGGGAGCTCTCCTGAGCTGAGAGCTGATCTTTATAGTTGCAGGGAGAGATTTTCTGCACCGCTGGATTTGCCGGTGGTGTCTCTGAGAAATTGATGTGATGCTGCTGAACTATTAAGGCTGCAAAAGAAAGGGATGAGGGGCTTATTAAAATGTAAAGAAAGATACCAAAACCTGGTGAAACATTGGTGCTCATCATCACTCGGGGATCTGGTTTGATGCATTCTAACATTTCTTATTGTTTCATCTACTGAAAGCTCTGCTGCTGTTTATTACCACAGAAATATATGTTTTCCTGTGTCACATTCAGGGTTTGCCCGGGCCTGTAGGGAAAACGGGGCCAAAAGGAATCAGGGTGAGTAGATGACAGCTTTGTATAGATTTGTTTTCTGAAATGTGAATTCTCAGAGGCAGTGCTCCTGATCTCGAGTCATAAAAAGATCTCATTTTAGAGTTGATTTATGTTTATCTTGGGCTGTAAGGCCCAAAGACCAAAATAAACATCAGGCGGAATTTCTTCTTGGCTTGTTTATCCTGCTAGTCTTAAGAAAGTTGGCTTCCTTTATTTAAAAAAAAAAAAAAAATCAATGATGTCTAAATGTTGAAATCTTATTAGTCTTTAAGAAAATTTGATGAGATAGCAGTTGAAATAACAACACAAGAAGTCAGATGTGTGTAAAATGAAGTGAATCTTTGGGAAAAAAATGTCTAGTTTGTGTGTTAAAATGTTCTCATTTTCAATCAAAAGTGTTAGCTGTGACATGAGAAGTACAGTTCATGTAAATGTAAGTGATATTTGTGAGACAAAAACTTAATATCATAAGATGAAATGTCTAAACACTACAAAAAAGTAATAATGTGAGACCAAAGGTATAAATGATGAGGAATTGAGTTATTGTAAAGATTTTAGAAAAGTCAGAACTGACACAAAAGTCAAATAAAGATTTAGAGTTTTGAGCAAAAGTCAGTATTGAGTTAATTGGTTAAAGTATATGATAATATTTCAGAATTACAGAAAATAAATCATATCAGATGAAAAGTTTAAATTAAGATGCCACTTTGAGATAAAAAAATCCAAACTATTGGATTAAAAGTCTGAAACCTTTAAAGAGTGAGTCAAAGTTCTCCGATAAAAGGTCTCAAGAAGAAGATAGTAAGTCATTATTGTGAGAAAAGTCAGAATTGACACAAATCAGTTAAAATTATGGGATAAAAAGGAAGTAAGTACAACTTCAAAGGCTACACTATGTGATAAAAAAGTACAGTGTGAGAGTGCATCATAACTACATGATATATTGTCCTAAAAAAGAAAAGTAGATTTATTATCTTCAATTGAAAGGGTTGAATTATGAGCCAGTGAATAAGTATTGTGAGATTAAACAGCAGAAGTTCAGCTAAGTCAAAACTATTTTAAGAAGATTCATGGTTACAACAAGAACAAAGGTTATCAACTTGAGTCAACAGAATAAACTATGAGATGAAAATTACAATGGTGGAAAAGTTATCCATCAATCTGAGATAAAAATAATAATATATGATAATATAAGATTAAAAATGATCAGAAATCTGTCCTGGTTATGAAAGAGTCATTATTACGAGTTAGTTCATCCTGATTTTGAGATCAGATTAAAACTTTAAGATGATAAATCATGATGTTTGGATATCTTAGCCTCATTGACAAAGGCTTCACTACCCTGCAATTTTAATCTTTTATTCCATTATTTGTACACTTTACAATGTAATCAGGACGTTCCGTCATAATATTTCATATTTATCTAATTGTTAAGTCCATTTCATGATTCTGAGCTTTCTTCTCAGAATAATGACATAGCTTTGAGATTATGTGGGTAGTTTGTTTTACTACTGTGAAATGGGCTTCCATATTTAATTTTATATTGTCTCTTTCCTGCTCTTTTTTTTATTCCTTTCTCTCTCTGAAATGAGCTTTAAAATCTCCTCTAAATGAATAAACTAACCAGCATGGGTACATAAAAAAGCCCAGTATCGTAAACACCACTCGTCTACTGTTGTTAACTCCATGATGGTAATGACGGCTGTTTTTGTAGGTGTACTTAAAGTACTGCAGGAGTGATGAACTCTGGCTTTCTTTACAGCTTTTCTTACTCATGTTAGCCAAATATCATAAAAGTATACTGCTCTGCTCGAAGCGTAATAATGCATTCAGACGTGAGCTTCTCACTAAACGTCAGTGTAATTTACGTTTCTGCTGTTTGGCCACTTTTCTCTCCTCTCACACTCAGCAGGTTCGAAGGCAGGTCTCTCAGAGATCCCTGATGCGAGGGTATGTGCCCTTGGACTACATCGTGGAAGCCAGCACCATGCAGTCCATGGGCATATACACTTGCCTCAAGGCTTGACTCTTCAAGGGTGCAGCGAAAAACCTGCAGTGCTCTGACAGATCAAAGCGTCACAGCTCAAGTCTTTGTGGAAGTTTTCAGACATTTGACATAAAAGTTCCTCTCAGTGTCCATCATGTCTGCTCAGCCTCTGCCATCCACTTTCTTTTACTTACCTGCACCTTCATTCTGTCCTCCATTCATCTCTCCAGGGTCACATTGGCCTCCCTGGGCTTTTTGGCCGTCCTGGTCCTAATGGCGAAAGAGTGAGTATTTGTGGCTGGGAGAGTAAAAGCCCACTAGGCATAGTTCCCCAGAGTTTCCATTGCTACCCTTTGCTGCATTGGATCAAACTTTGGATGCACGGACAAATTAGCAATTAATGTGCTCTGCATCGACGTCAGGAGCCGATGTTTGCTTGTATCCTGCAACATCTTAGCTTTATCTCCATTGCAAGCTGTTGCACCTTCCTGCATGTTCAGAGAAGTTTTTGCACAAGTATTCCCGTGCTGCACAGAGGCCTTTTAAGGTGGAAACTTTAAACAATATCTGAGAAAAAGCAGCAGCACAGAGTTTGAAAAACATCTTTCAATTTAATGCAAATTAAGCGAGACCATAAAGGATACATCATCAAACATTAAAACTCATTAAAAATGAGACAGAAGTTATTCAAATTCATTGACATTGCTTATCTGCACTGGCTAAACTGGTAATTTAAACATCAGGAACAGTGTTGGCTCTATGTTTCTCTATTTGTGCATCTTAAGATGAAACCTGCACCCCACTGTCAGGCTTCAAAATCTCAGGCAGATTCATATTTAAAGCTCCTCTGAGAAATTTTAAGCTTGTGTTGAATTTGGCGCCCCCCTGTAGACAAATCAGTCTTAGCTTGTCTTATCCTAATTCTGGCTTTTGTCAGTCAAACTCGTCATTTATTGTGAGTATTTTGTGTAGAATATACTGACACAGGACTGACACCCACCCTCTTGCACGTGTTTCAGGCATTAAAAATGACAATATAGAAATGGTCAGTCTTGTAACTGATAGTCTTGTTTGCATTTGGACGTAATAAAAAGGCATCGGTATGAATTACATATAATTTTGTAAATACCAAAAAAACTCCACGGTGCCACAGAATGTCCAAATGGAGCATTTTGACATCTGTTTGTGTTACACTAGCTAAGCAGCACTTTGGCGTCATTGGTCATCCAACACATCAGTCAATCCAAACTTGGTTCAAACGTTTTCAACTTGTCAACACGGGATAAATCAAATGAACTTGTTATCTGAGGCCAACAATGACTGACAACCTTTTCTGTCATGACAGGGTAGATTTGAAACTAATGACCTAATTCTTTCAGCCTCAGCTGTGAAGGATTAGTACTTACATGGCGTGCCACCAAGCTATCATGGGCTGAACTGGCACATTAGGAAGCTTTTCAGATATTGAGCCCAAGAGCAGTTTAGCTTGAGGATAACTGAGGCTGAGATCTTCCAGTGTACTCTCATAAAAGTTGAGCCACACTGTGGAAACCACTTTATTAAACTTCTTTCATTACCTTTCTTTACCCTTAGATCATTTGATGTGAACTTCATCAACATCTGTCTAGATTTCCACAACCCTTAAACCTTCTAGAAAGTTCAGATACTGTGTACAATGTTCATAAAAACTGAATCTGATGGTGTTTTATCGTTTTATGTAAAACATATCCTCATTTCAAATTTGATTCCAGCAACATGTTTGAGAAAAGTTGGGGCAGGGGCATGTTTCCCATCGTGTTGCAACACCTCCTCTTTTTTTAACAACACAGTATAAACATTTGGGAACCAAGGAGACCAGTTTCTGGAGTTTACAAAGTCAAATGTCCCACTTTTGCCTGATATAAGATTTCCGCTGCTCAACAGTCCAGGTCTGCCTCACTGTAGTTTTTTTTGTTTCTTGATGCACCAAAAGTTTTCAATAGATGACAAGTGAGGAGTGCAAACAGGCCAGTTCAGCACCAGGACTCTTCTACTACAGAGCCATGCAGCTGTAATGCAGCTGGCACTTTAGCCTCCTCAAACCATCATGGATTTTGGCTTTTGAACTGTGTGCTGATGATAAGCCAGGTGGCCAGGTGGATATTTTGTACTTTAGGTGACAAGATCATCATCTCTGCAAATTGAACCATTTGCTCCCGCAGTCTGGATCTTATCTTTACTCCTGAGAGTCTCAGCCTCTCTGGAGCATCTTTTTTAATATCTAGTAATGTTACTTACTGGGTTTTTAAAGCATTACATAGCTTTTTCAGTGTTTTGTGAACGCTGTATCAACTGTTCTAAAAACCTGTTGCTGGCATCAAATGTAAAATTTGCAGATGTTTTTATACCAGAACGTCAGCATTTTACATGTTGTCTTTGCACTATTTTTGATTTTTTAAAACTTTTTAATCTGATAAAGGGTTTTGGGGATATTCATATCATCAAAGTTTGATCAATAGTTTACACAGTTAAATTTTTTTAACTAGGGTTGTACATTTTTTAAAACACTAAATGCCTTTTTGTCCAAAAGAGCCTAAAAATTGATTTATTTTCATGTTTAATCCTATTTTGATATGATATAAATGCTTCTTAAAGCTGCTGTGAGTAACTTTTAGTTTGTGTTGATTTTGGCGGCCCCTGTGAACAAAGCAGTCTTGGTTATCTCAACATCTACATGCTGAAGTAGTACCTATTGTGGAATAATCTCATTATTCTAACTTTTGACTGTCAATGAGATTTTTCCTGTGATTATTTTGGGTGAAAATTGCAGAAATGGGGCTGTTCAGCTCCTCAGCTGACGCCTACCCTTTCGCTTTAATTTCAGACATTAAAAATCACTTAAAAAATCATTAAAAAAAGATTCATCAGTCTTGTTGCTGATGTTCTTGTTTTCTTGCATATATCCTTAATTGCCATCACTATGAATTTCAGTCTATTTCCAAAAAGTCAATAATGTCCACTCATCTGTCATTAACTAACTCTATCCATAACTTGTTTTCTGTTGTGTTAGGCGCACCATTACCAAGCTCGACTCAAACTGTTTTAATGTGTTTCTTTATAATTTTACCTTTAATCTCTTCATTTCTTCTTCTCATCTTTGTTTTTTCCATCTGTTTCTAGGGAATCCCTGGCGTTCATGGCAAGAAGGGCAAGATGGGTAGGCCGGTAAAGTTTTCTCTCAACATACTTCTCAGAGAACATTTTTAATACTGCTCCCAGAAAGTGAGGATGTTGTTTACTTGATTTATGTGCTCGTACTGTAGTGCAGAGCTGCTTTAAAGAGTATTATAAGACCATTACTCTGACAGAGTCCCGGCCTCAGACATAAATCTGTGTATAAAAACTGTTGTAGCTCCCACTCTTGCACAGTGGTGCTTGGAATTACTATAGGGGAGGCAGTAAGGGAAGAAATGTGCACCCTAAATGGTGTTAGTGGATGTATTGTAGACACAAAAGTTAAGGTGTCAGCAGACTACTTAGGATCCTCGGTCAGCGGTTAAAGCCTGTGACTCCTCCTTGATGAATCGAGCATGATTAATTTACTCTGGCTGGTGCTGATTAGCAAACGTTGTGTATTAAACACAGAGCTTATTACATGGCTTGTTCGACATTAGGCTGATATGATAATATGATGTGTCAGTTGTGGCTTTGGCTCTCCGCAGACATAACCCACAGATCAGCAAAGTCTACCGTCATTGGCGCCTGGAAGTGAATTTCCCATCATCCATGGCTTACATGGAAAATACTAAAAGTGCACGTAACAGCCTGGCTAAATCTGATATTTTCCCAGGCCTGCTGTGGTTGAACATGATTTTTTTTATTAGTATTATGCAGTAACGGTCAATGACAAACACTCAGGCCAAGAAAACTGCTCGTACAGGCAAGTCATGATGATGACAAGCTATTTCTCTTCCTCTGTGGTGGAAAGTGAGGTCAGTCACTTTACACAGCAAGTTTTATTCATGTCCTGAGTCAGCAGCAGAATGAGGTTGAACTAGATGTGGAAAAACACAAGAGAAGGACTTGGCATCTTAGATATTACAGAGATTCAAACCAAGTAAAGTCTCTGAGTGGAAAACAGCCTCATCCATTAAAGATTCTGATTTTTTGCACATTAAAAGTCATCAACAGCCTCTTTCCTCCAAAATTAGGCATGGAGCAGTTACCAGTTTCAGGGTGTAAGGTTTGAAAAAGTCCCTGCCTGGCTCCGCCCCTGTTTGTTTGCAGCTCCAGTCATTAGCCTGCTTTTCCATCAACCAATCACAAACTAGAGGGTTGGGATTGATCATTTTGGCTACCAGGAAAAACAGGTCGTTATCAGTTGACCGTCATGGAGACAGAAGCTTATTTTCCAGACACTAACTCTTAATTAACCACTGATAGTGGGAACCATGTCATCTTTGAAAGAAACCAGACTGTAAACAGGTCTATTTTTGCTCTAAAATTGGCTTTTTTGCATGAGTGTGTATGTGGTTCTCAGTGCTTCTGCAGACAGCCTCAAGTGGACACTTACAGAAATGCGTTTTTTACCAATTACACTCCAACTTTATTTCGTAAGAAGTTTTTGCTTGGAAATAACAGAATGTATGTTGAGATTATTCATAACAATGTGAATATTTTGTTATATGATTTTGTGCAGGGCTGTAGATCACAGTGGAAAAGACAGATCACCAACTCTGCTTAACTTGCGGTCAATAGGAGAAAAAGATTCCCATGTGTTTCTGATCAGACTGAGTCAGTTATGGACGTTTTTTGGAAATAGGAACATTTTTCCACATTGATCCTCATGTTGCACCAATTACTGCTTATTACTTTACCCACAAATAAATGCCCAATGTTGGAGTTCAGCAGTCTGCCAAACAAACATTCGTAATTCCGGCCTTCCTTTAAAGCCTGATTCCTTATTTGGCTCCTTCTCTGTCTGTCTATTGTCAGATAATGAGATATCTCTCCTGTCTTCTGCTCTTCATCATCTGTCCGGCTGCAGTGTTGGCCTCCTGTAAGCTTTGAATGCTGGATTGGATGTTGACCCTGGCTCATTGACAAGCACACGTTGAGCGTGTGGCCTCGTGGCTGCATCGCGCCTCTTGTTCTGTCTCCATAATGGAATTACGAGCGTGAAGCAAAAAAAAGCACTTAGTCAGCAGTTCCTGAGCCAAGCAGCTTTATTCAGCCATTTAGGCGAGTCCTGGGGGTTTGGTTCGCGGGCTGCCGAGCGCTCCCTGCCAGCGCGTGCACGCACAGACGCTCGGTCGCTCGGAAACACTCAGCTGTGGAATTTCCTGCCAGTCTCCCAGGAATGGAGCTCTGGGAGCACATTTGATGGGATTTGCTGAGATTTACCCTGCAAACTTCTGTTTTGGGAAACACTTTTGGGGGTCTGAGGATGTAGGGTGTTGTACACTTGACAGATTTTAGGGGCTCTTGAGGAAAATCCGTAATGTAGGTTCATAAATGAAATCGATTTGGCTTTATTTCTCCCTCTGTGTTTCATAAATCATGTGATATATCAACAGATTCAGCACAGAAAAGGTTTTTCTCATACTGTGAACATTAGAAAGACACTCACTCCCACTCAGGTAAAATAACAACCCTGTTTCTCTGTGTGTTCAGGGGTTTCCTGGTGACTTCGGGGAGAGGGGACCTCCTGGCCCTGATGGGAACCCAGTAAGTGACATTCAGTATTAAAAGCACTCTTACAACTGAGTGAATGTTTACTCCTTCACAGCCAAAAGCCTTTAGTCTTGATTACAACATGACAACTGAGTGAGATTTCACCAGGTGGAGCTCTTAATGTGTCACATTTTATTCAAAAAGTTGTAAAGCGTGCTTTACAAGAACCATAAAATACACTTATAAATGCAGATAGATGTCCCATAACAAGCACAAGTCCTCTTAGAAGTGACAGATCTGCAGAACCAAGTGTGTTAGCTAACTTTTGAAAATGTCCCTGTGGGCACGAAAAACTGAATGCAACTAAATACAAAGATAAAAGTTTAAAAAAAGCTGCATTATGAATTGAGGTAAAAAACTTAAACACAAAATAAATCCTGCAACATTGCTGCACTTTTTTAGTCTCTATCCAGTCACAGCTGTTCATTATTTATATATTTGATAGAAGAAACTCAATAACAAGCTGACTCTAAAGCTCCAATAAGGAGTTTTCAGCTGGTTCTACAAGAGATTGAATTAAAGCTCCAGTGAGGAGTTTTTTAATGTTTATGAAATAAACTCAAATTTAAATTATTACCTTTTAATGAAATTCAGAAGCAAACGAGATCATCGGTGGCGTGTCTGAAGAGTGTTATATTCTAAATTTTGAGTGGCTGAAACTGGTGCAAGGGGGTAGGTGTCAGCTGAGCAACTGAAGAAACAGCCCATGAAATATTCACAATAATGGATGCATTTGGCTGGCAAATGTCAGCAGGATTAGAAGAGTCAGAAAATGACTCCTCAAGCATGCAGAAGACGAGAAAAGCAAAGACTGCTTTGACCACAGGAGGGTGCCAAATTTAACACAAACTGAAAGTTCCTCAGATGAGCTTTAGTCCTTGTGATGACTTTTTTGACCCTTAATTATAAACAAGTTTTTAACAACAGAACAAATCATTAATAAATAGATTTACAGACATGGAAAAACTACAACCCACTTCTGCACACACAAAACAAAATCAAATAGTCATCAAAAGAACACAGTAATTACCTTTCACCTGTTCCTGAAGTGGTCAAGGGGACTGTGACCACACTGTGATGTGTCTTTGCTTGGAGAGGGGGTCGTCATGGCATGTGGCTGCAGGGCAGATCATTCAGAAAACAAGACTCTCTCAGTGTTTTGTGCCAGATTCTCACTCACCATGCCCAAATGAGTGGTGAGGCGCATTACTCAGGCGATTAGTGGAGGAAAACACTGTAAACAAACAAAATAATGAGGCCTACTGTTTGCTTTTCTGCAACTCTCTCTGAATGCAACTTGTGTTTATTATTCTTCCTCTTTTATTCGTTCTCTCAGGGTGAACTGGGAGCTCCTGGCCCGTGTGGAGTCCCTGGTCTTATTGTGAGTGTTGTATCTGTCTCCGTCTACCTCCTTAAGTCTCTCTTTGTGTGTTTTTTTTTCCCTCCAGCTCAAGACAAATGTTTTAAAAGTACTTTATGAAAGAAAGTATGAACCCTCTCTGGCTATTCAAAGCCTCTCTTTCACATTTTTCTGTTGAGACTTTGAGCTCGGAAAGTTTTGTTGAGTATCATGAGCTAACTTCAGTACTTTTTCCTCACAGACTAAAATGTGTCAGAAGCACTGAGTATCAGAAACTCTGAGGAGCCTGAGGCTGCCGTTTCATGTCAAGTCTTCTTAGTTTTTATTTTATTCTGTTCTTCATTTGCATCTAAATGTTGTCAGTTTCTAAGTATATGTTTGGAAAAAAGACTAAATTTGACATTTAAAAAAAAAACTCAGCTCTTTATTCAGAATATAAAACTGTATATTTCTTTAAGTAAGCTGTTTAAGATGACGGTAACAGAAGCATGCAGGTGTGCCTGGGTAATCTGTTCTGCTTATAAGGAATAAAAGAAACTTTTCTTTTTCTTAGTGCTATTAAGCGTGTGTGGTTTGATTTGCAGGGGGACATGGGCCCTGTTGGCATCATGGGCTTACCGGGGCCACCAGGATTCAAGGTAAATCACGTGACTCTGTCTTGGTTTGATAAGAAAACAATATCCTACAATGTAAACTTAAAGTATGTCCATGTCTTATGCAGTCTATTAACGTGACCAGAATGTCTCCGAATAGATGTTCCCAGACAAGCCATCAATATTCAGACTTATTTTATTGAGCACGTAAACATGCATGTAAACTTTCCCTTCTCTCTTCCCAACTTTTGTTTCCAAGGGAGTTCCAGGAAACCAAGGGGAACCAGGACTGAAAGGTGATAAGGTGATCTGCATATGTCTTTACCAGACTACTAATCTTACCCACAGTGAAAAAAACAGCCTAACTGCAAGAATCAGGAGCTGTGGCCTGTTGCACCTGCTCTGTTGGAGTTGTGACTCAAATTAGGATGTTACGTCCACGTAAACCGTTTGTTCAAACTTGTTTGCTTGTAACTCAGGTTGTTTTATTGCTTGGTTTCATTGTGCAGATTCATCTTTACTTGTAAGACATCCAAAATCTTCCACATATCATCACAGAAATGATGTTTTCACTCTGTTTAGTCAGTCGTGGCAGGGTATTAGCTGCAGTGCTGACTCTCATGCCTGATTGCCTCGGGCTCAAGTCTGCCACTTTTTCAAGAAATCAAGTTTGAATGAAGATCAAACATGACACGCTGATGTCCAAATGTATTCCTTCTCCACTGCTGCCCCTCAGATTCTTCACATTGGCTGTATATCACTTCATTTCATGGTTTTATTAGCAGCAGTACAACACAACAAAAATGCCAACCCAATAAGTGGACTCATTCACAGAGAGTCCTTTGTCTTTTATCTTGCTAACTTTGGTGAAAAAAACAAAATACTCCCATGAGGTGCTGCTCAGATGTCTTGATGTCTTTGCTGTCCACTCATGATGGCTTCATTTGCAGCACATGTCCACAGTTATTGTAGACATATAGGGCTCTATTTTCGTGCGCGCCGGTGAGGCGGCGGAGGGCGGCGAGCCCCGCGCAGTTGTATTTTGGTCTGGCGGAGCCCAGCGTAAGGCCAATTTGGTATTTTCGTGGCATGAGCCGCACGGAGGCGAGCCGAGATCCGCCAAGCTGGGCGTGGTGGTGTGGCAGGGGGAGGTGTCGACAGAATCAGCAGGCGCAGTGACATTTTCGTGCTCGCCACCGGCGTGTAAAGTGCGCTGAAAGCTCGCCGATTCAAACCTGATCAGCTTTCAGCGCAAGGCGGAACGCAGCTGGTCTAGTAGTATTTTGGTAGACCGGCGGCGTATCGACATACGTCACTGATGCCTCACCGGCAGGTTTCCACAGTGTCAGGCAGATTTCAGTGCAATAAATAATCATCATCAACTATTAATCTGAGTCAGCACATACATTTAGATCCATATCGATATATTCTGATCTATATCTGATCTGATGAGCGCGTTTGGCACGCGTTTGGACACACAACCTGACCGAATCAACACAGCTGAAACCGCATCAAATTAAATTAAATATCTAGTAAATAAACACACATGATGAAGTTAACAAGATATGTAATTCGTCTCCCTCCTTTTCTTTCTTCCTCTTCCTCTTATTTCTCGCACAGCTTGACCTGGACACGTCTCCGTGCCCTCTGTCCGTCTTGCTGCTGCTGCAGCTGAACAGATGATTTGTTTCAGTGCTCAGATGCGTTATCTACTTTAAGCCGACATACGGATATTATCATATTCAGTTTTGTGAGCCAAATTAATTTTATATGCCAACATCTATGAAAGAAAGAGCCAGGCCACGGAGCGCGATGCGTCATTTACGCACAGATGGTTCCGATTTTTATGCCATTTTTGGAGTTTATGTTGTGATCTGTGCGCTCAACCGAACTTTGTCACGTGAGGTTTGAATATGAGCAACTTTATGTGAGTGTCTTTATTTGTGGAAAAGGGTGTTTGTCTTACCACTGGGTCCAACATTACGCACACTAAATCCATCTGTGCTCATATGAGAGAGTGTGGAGGACACTTGTTGAGGAGCTGCCCTCTGTCGCCATCTTGTGGCATTACTGTCTTAAGACATCTCTTGATCTCCTTGACTACTTCATGAAAATAGTAATACACCTCGCCTGTGGCGGATTTAAAGGCAAGGAGAGGAGCTTATTTGATTGGTGAAAACAGGTCTCGGCTGTGTTAAACCCACTAACCGCCCTTTCTCCTCCCCGTCTACGACTTATGGTGCTGGGAGGAGCTGAGTTAGGGAGGGGGGATACTTACGCCGGGCTGCGCGGCTCACCAAAATACCAAAATGTGCTTGGGAACGCCTTGTCAGCGCGGCGGATCTGACTGACGCTGCGCTTGCGGCAGATCTCCGGCGAGGCACCAAAATAGAGCCCTCAGTGTGTTAATTCCCTGAGGTCAAGAGTGCTATTCAATGGTCAGGTAGCAGTGAAGGTGTCCTCTGCTAGATTGAACTCCCAGCTACTCCAGATGCCCTAAAAACTGAATATTTGAACAAACTTTTGAACATATACTTAAACTCTAGATAAAAAGTGATAGCCCTGATCAAACTGCCTGAACATGTATGATCCCAGCCAGAATTTTAAGGTGGTACTCAGAGTTCTTGTAGGATTGAAGTCTTATCCTTATGTACGCTGCGGTACACTGTAACCTTTATCCCACATTGGAAATGACATCCTAACTTGGCTACATTTAAACTTCTGCACAGCTGGTGCAACCCAGAGCAGGAAATAACAAAGTCGAGCCTTCTTATTGTCAGAAAACGAACAAAGCTACAGATGCATACCTTGTGTCACCACGCACTGCTGTGAGTCATTTTTCTTCTATAAGTTTTGCAAACATTTTGATTATTTTTCATGTCTCTTTCTTTGTGTTGTCTCAGGGGGATGTTGGCTTACCGGGAGAGCCAGGGCCGTGTGGGTTCCAAGGTGATAAGGTAGGTGTATGTTTGTTTGTATGTCTACCCATGAATAACAAGATGGATTATTTGATGCATAGCTTTTTCTCTCTGCATGTCAAAGTGCCAGCAAGAAAATCACTGAACTCCAGATTGCCTGTGGTGATAGAAAAGGGTCTTTCAGTACATCTCTGCCAACATCTGTGTGTCTGTGTGCACAGACTATGATGACAAGGCCTTCATTCTGTTAACTGAAAGAAACAAATTACAGTCTTTTTACTACTTCAGCTTGTTCATGCATGGTTTTTCTGTTTTTGTATTTATTTTTTATTTTTATTTTTTACAATCAATCTTCATCTTTGTCCTGCTGATTTGATAATTACTAAAGTGGTGTTGTGTTTCAGGGTGTCCGTGGCTCACCTGGGCTGCCTGGTCCATGTGGAAAACCTGGTCTGCAGGTATTTTTGACTTGACTCATATGAAAACAAACAAAACACTGGTTAAAAAACAAGAAAAACAAAACAAGAAATGCATCCATTGACGACACACACACAGGCTTTCTGCTCAAGCATGCAGGTATATCCTATCGTTACTGCAACATGACTGACTCTGAATGCAGGTAACACCCAAGAGGAGCTCACGGAAGCATCTGGTTTGACCTGTGCATGGTTGGCATCTTTTTAATTTTATTGCAAGCTAATCTGTGATCAGTAACGGCACCCTTTACCTCTGGTTTTCCTTTTGCATGTATGTTCCTCTTCTGTGAAACACTGTTGAGATTTTCCTGAGTGATTCATAAATGGATAGATAAAATGCTGTCAACCCAAAAGGGCACAGGGTAGGCTGAGTGTGCACTGTATTTGTTGTGAGCTATTTCTCCATTTTTCCTCTTGGCTGACTCCGAATTGAATTGAATTGAATTGTTTTCTGAATGCATGGCGGTGCGCTGGAAGTATGAAGTAAGCCCTGGGATGCTCTAAGGGAAAAACATGCGGGTGCTCTTTGGGAAAAATGGATGGAAACCTTTAAATGTACACAAAAGTAAACATCAGGCACTCATACATGTAGGAAAATGTCAGTCATATATGCTAATCAAGCTCTGGCATAAACAGCCTCCTTTAAATTATCCCAGTGCAGAAGCTGCGTCAGCTTGCAGACTGATCTACTAAAGTTGGCACTCGGACCGTCTGAGTTGTCCCAAATATTTTCAGCGCCCCATGATCTGATTTGAGATTGTTTCTGGAAGTGGCTACTCTCTATTTTTGCTTGACCTGCTACATGATTTGGCAGCTTCTCTGACAGGCCTGACTCTTTCCCCAGACAGACTCTTACCTCAGATACAGCAGCTGACTTACTTTTCAGGCTGAAACAGAGCAAAGCCGCACAGCTTACTGTATTTTGTGATGTGTATTCCAGCTATAACAACTATCAGGCCTTAACCTAGATGCACCATCAAAAAAACACTGAGGCCTTGTCCACATTTAGCTGGGTGTTTGCTAAAACAAATATATTTTTTTTACGTTTTGGCCTGCCATCCACATGAAACTGCATGAATATGTCATTAAAAAGTGTGCTTTGAGAAAACTCCAGCTAAAGTTAAGATTTTGGAAAACTCCGGTCTGCGTTTGTGTGTGGACATTAGATAACCAGAGTTTTAAATTTCAAAACGCCATTGTCCTTGACAACTAATAGATAAACGTCATATACTATGCGCCCTTGTTTAGGTCAGGCAGTGGACGGCACAGGTATATGCAGAATATACATTTTTGTGAGGAGCAAAGGAGAAGGAGTGCTTTGCAGTTGTTTATTCTACACTAAATAACCTTCCTCCACTCTTCTTGTGTCTTGTTGACGTTATACTCCTAAATGCTGCTTAAAAGCAATTCCACCTTTTTGTCGGTCCACACGAGCGAACTACACGGCACCATGTTTCATGTTTGGAGAAGTGACAACTAGAAAGAGAAGCTTGCTCTGATTGGATAAAATGGGTCTAACTTTTCAGCAAATACTACTAACTCCAGTTCTGGCATACTTATAACCGCGGTCGATGGTACATTTATGCAGTTTTGTGTGGATGAAACACCAGCGCCATAACTTAAATTTGTGTGCATGCAGCTAAAAGTCTTTTGTTTACACTGTTGTTTGAATGTTTATTTCCCCTGTTACCCACCATGGTTTAAAATCCTCTAGATTTCCTCCTGATCAACCAGTGGGACACTAAAAACCTGTTGACTGAAATCACTTAAAGCAGCATGCACCATCCCCTTCATTCTGTTTAATAACACATATACCAATAGATCAGTCGACTTAGGTTTGGACCTTAGAGACACCTGTACTTCTTTCTTTTTCTGGTGGCTATTTGCCCGCTCCACCAAAAATCCTCCTGTACTGCATGAAGTCACTTAAACAACAGAGAAACAAAGAGAGTCCCAAATAAAGGTCACAGCAACAAGCTCATTCATAAAAGGTTTAACAACAGCTGAAGCTACAGATGCTTTTAACCTACAGGGTGCAGAGTAAGTGCATATTTTATCAGTCATAGATGACAATTACAGACAGATAAAAATAAAAAGAAGAAAGTGAAAAAATGGTTGGCAATGTACTTGGAGGACTTAATAAACTTGGGCGTCATAGTTATACTTGGGTAGCATAGATATACTTGGGTGACATAGATATACCTAAGCAGACATAGTTAGGCAGCATAGACAAACTTGAGCGGCATAAATAAATTTGAGCAGCATAGATATACTCAGGCGGCATAGACGTACTTGGTTGGCATAGATATACTTAGACAGCATAGATATACTAAGGGGGCATAGATGTATTTGGGCGATATAAATGTATGCAGGCAGTATAAATATACTTTGGCAGACTTGGTTGGATTGGACAAACAAATAAAGGTTTAATGCTGAAACACCCCAAATCTTTTAGGGTCTGTCATATTAATGCTGTGACTTTAAAAAGCATTATAATGGTTAAAACGGAAAGAACAAGACAATTTTCCTTTATGTTTTTTATGATAACCTGTATCCATATCCAAAGAACATCTTCAAATAATCCACCATCAGTCACAGGGATTAAGTCCAAACACTGTGTTGTTTTGTGGAAGTACTCTAATTTAAAGGTGTCTGTAATGACAGTGGCATTATTTCTGACACTTTTCAGGGTAAACCTGGTGAAAAGGGCCCTGTTGGTCCACCTGGTCCCCCTGGCCCCGAGGTACGACAGCTTCTGTTCACTAAATAGTCTTTAAGATGCGTTACTCGCATGATGTTAAAGCATTCATGACAATTACAGTGCTGTGTGTATGAAATACTTTGAAGTTTGTGAACAAATCTGCGATTCATTCTCACAGGGCTTCCCAGGAGACATCGGCCTACCAGGACAAAATGGCCCTGAAGGACCCAAGGTTAGTGACAGGACTCAAAGGGAGAGGAATCACTCATCCATAAAATTTGGTTCCATTTTTGGTTTCTTTGAAGCTGATCAATGTGTCTGCAAAGAGTGCAAAAAATGCAAGCACTGAAAACTATCTCAGATGGGTGAACACTTAACCTTAGGTCAGTGCTTGGGTTGAAGTTTCTTAAAATTAGTTAAATTATGAAGCAGACTTAACCCTGTCTGGAGAAAGCTGTGGCCTGGCTTGCATGTTTCTACTTAAAGAGACGGAGCTGACCATCATCTATTAAACTCTTACTAGTGGCATGTAACTTCTACAACCTCACTTCAAAATTTCTGAAATATCCCTTTAAAGATTAAATGTTAAGAGAAATGAGTCAGAGTTCACATTCAGTTTTTCTCCTGCAGGGTAAGCAGGGGATCAGAGGTCTGCCAGGTCCAAGTGGAGCACCCGGACTCCAGGTGGGGCTCTCTGTATTTTGAAATTGAGTAAAACAAACAAACAAAACATCTGTTCACCTCTGACCTCACATTAAATGTTCTTCATAGGGTGATGAGGGACCTATTGGACCAGCTGGACCTCCTGGACCCGAGGTGAGTGCTGCTGGATCAGCCTCGTCACTTAAGAGCAGTCAGAAAACACTACACTGTTATCTTTTCAGATCCAACCACAAAGCCACAAATCCTACTACGCAGCACCGCGCCACGAGTGTCTCTGCCTAAATTACGCCTTGGAGATGAAACCATGGCTGCTTCTTTGGCTGCCTAATGTCTCCATTGTTCTGAAGCTGTTTTGAAAGACTTCCTATTGGACACCGAATTCCCATATCACCAGATTGGTTAGCAAATTGCCGACCCAAAACGCTCACAATCATATACAAAAGTCTCTAAATGTGAAACCAAAATGTCTGGTCGTAACAGATGATTGAAAGGATTGTTTTAAAAATGTAGAAGAAAAACAATATTTGGCCTTCAGGAGGTCAAACGTGCGATTGAAGTCGACTCAAGTGAGGATGAAATAACTCAGAGTTGCTTTTGTGGATGTTCTGTGCTCGGCAGCTTCTGAACGTCCAGGATAAGGAAGCTTTGCCGGACAAACTAATAACTTTATAAGAGACAAATGGGAGGACTTTGAAGTATTCTGTAGCGTAAATTAAAGTCAACAGTCTCAGTGCAAAGAGAAAGTGTTTGTTTGGAGTCATCCCGGGCTGAACAACACAAAAAGAACTCCACTGAAAGTCTATTTTTACAAAGCTTGACTCCAGTCTGCCATCTCCCAACCGTGCAACCCACAAGTGATAGCTGCAAACAAACATAAATGACCCGATGACTTGTGAGAGTAATAAGCAGGCTTTGATGCTGCACACAGCTCTTTCTTTTATGGATCATTAAGTTTCTTAAAGGGATGTTTTTTCTTTTGGCATCACTTGCTGGTTTGTTTTGTGCGCCGGCTCCTCGTGGGACGGCAGACACACTGACTGTACCTTTCACAGGAGTTTGTTGTTTGTTGTGTGGCGCTGCAGTGCACTTCTCCGTGTCATTCTTGCTTTCTGTTCAGGGCAGGCCTGGGAGGCAAGGATTCCCTGGACTGACAGGCCCAGATGGACTCAAGGTCAGGCCTAACAGACACACATACAACATGGAAACACTGTCATCCTGAACTGAACATTTTATAACCAGCTCTCTTTTATGATAATGTATCATCTGAATAAGTGTAAATTAGATGTTAATTCTCTCTTACCACAGGGGAGCCTGTCTCCCAGCACATTTCAGCTGATCTGAACTTAAAAAAGAAAGGCTTGAACAAGTTTGTGATATGCTAATTGTCTGCTGTTGCTGTAGGGCGAGACCGGGATAACTGGCGAGGTCGGAAAGCTTGGCGAGAGGGTAAAGACTTTTCTCCCTCTCTTTGCCGTTTGATGCTCACTATGTGTCTCCGTGTGTGTCTCCTTTTTCGGAGTCCCAGAAGCTGTGCAGCCTAGTATGAGAAAGCTAACTTCAATAGAGCAGAGAGGAATAAGAGACAGTTAAGACAGCTTGTTTTTTCTCTCCTTCAGGGGATGCTTGGTTTTGTAGGGCCTGTCGGAGAGGCCGGCATCGCTGGAGAAAAGGTTAGTAAGGTCTCAATTTGTCAAACTTTGTAAGTATCGCAGGTTGTTGTTGATGTTTCGTGTCTGAATTTAGGCTGTGTGGTTGCTCTTTGTTGTTGTGAACCAAAAACTGACCTGCAGCAGCTCCTCACATGCCCGGATTTTCTCTCCTCTGAGTTATGTAGTAGACCTTATGCCTGATCAGATGGTAAAACATTCAAAGGTGATTATCAAACCTGCTCGAGATGTTCCTCTAATCACAACCTTTTGGTCCACAGGGGGATCGAGGGAAAACTGGCTTCCCCGGGCCGCCAGGTGAATTGGGGCCGATGGTAAGGAGTAAGTCTGGACCTCGTCCATCATAACAGGGGGCATTCAACTCTGCAGATATGAGAAATTGGGGTGTGATAGACTGAGGAGAAAATATAAGCTCTCTTGCTAGTTTTGATGTGTTTTGATAGATTATGTTGATATCATTTGAGTAATGTTTTGTCCTTCAGGGTCACACAGGAATACCAGGAGAACCAGGGCTACCTGGACTGCAAGGAGTCCCAGTGAGTTTACTTTACCATCGTCTGAGCTTCATCTGGACTACATGCAGATCAGAGACAACACTGACTTGTTGTCTGGATAGTTATTGGCTGGAGAGCTCTTCGCTCTGGTTGAAAGTCACATGAAACAAAGAGATATTTAGCCGAGCAGGAAGTGGCTTATCTTAAGCCTCTGCTGAGATAATATTTGAATATCGCTAATTAAAAAACAACAAATTGACATACAAAATCATATTTAATGAGAAACATAAACACAGAGATATGTTAAACTAATATTTGAGAATATTAAACCAGTTACAACAACAACTAAACCAAATGCAGCTGGACTAAATACAAGGTTTATGAATGCCTGTATATGAGTGTGTAGGCTACTGTGCATTGACACCATGTTACATCCCCTGCAGGGGTGGTACAAACCATGTTACCTAGTGTGTCTAACAAGACAGTGATAGAGTGAATGTGTCAGAACTCAAAAGACTCAAACAACATGAACAGAGGAGACTGGAGGACCTAGAGTTGGAAAATGGGCAATCTACCAGATCATCAGAGAGAGAGAGAGAGAGCGAGAGAGAGGGTATAGGGTTTTCTCTGTAATATCACTGCTAAGAGTTACAAGTGATTATAACTGAAACTTTAATGCATACATAACAGGACAAAATTAGTATGGTTGTAAAACAGCAATTAAAGTTTTTCAGGCCTTCTTTTTTATATTCTGCAGACAAACAGTTTTTTCCAGGTATGAAAGATCCTAAATCAAACCAAAAATAACTTCTGCAAGTAAAACCAATAAAACAACACAATCAGTCAAGCTGAGGAAAGGCAGGCCAACACCAGCTCCAACACCAGCTTTATGACTGAAACTTTTGTGGAGGAGACTCTGCCTCATAAAATGACTGTTTGTCATGCTTTTGTTTTGATATTTTCTGTGCCCTACATGTTTCCTGCATTATAAAATTTGGGTTTTATTTTTAAATAAATGCTACTTCCAGTGGATGATAAGTTTTAGGACTGGATGAAAACAGTTCAAAGCATAGCTAGAAAGTTGAAGTGAATTTATAAAAGTTTTAGTCAAAATCACTTCTTCTTTTATTCATGTTCAGGGTCCTCCTGGTTCACGGGGACACGCCGGCGTCAGAGGCCCCAAAGGAATTAGGGTGAGTAACTGAGAGTCGCCTTAACATTTGAAAATCCTGTCACTGCTGGCAGTTAATAAATAACATGACGTGAAATATAGGACAAACAATATATTCATATGCTGCTTACAAACATAAAGAAACATGTATTGTGCAGTCATTTTGGACACAGCAGGTCGAGTCTGATTCTGTACAAGCTGACCTTAGATCCACCATGCTGAGCGGGAACACAACACATCTCCCCTCATTGATTTTATTGTACATGGTGACGCGTGTGTGCCGCCGTGTCTGACATGAACTCTGAATAATTTGCTTTTTTACATAAATGGAGTTTCTACTTTGGGAAAATAGCCTTTGGTTGCACAGCAGGATCATTGTGCTGCATGAATAATTGATCTAACATGAATAAGTGGTATAATTAAGGCTTTTAATTCTGTGGATTGGTTTTACACGGCTCCCTTGATATCACAAGCAGTCACAGATGTAATATTTAATAACTATAATAGCAGAAAATTACATCAAGGCTTCAGAAAATAGAATTAGGACCAGAGTGATTAAACAGCAGTCGCCCTAATATAACATCTGGAGTCAGTCCAAGTCAAAGAGGATGAAAACAAAAGAGTTCATGCAGCACATTTAATTTTTCAAATAGTAACAGCACCTTCAGAGAATAATAGCTTGTTGCTTGTATTTGCTCCTAAACTCAACATTATTACAAAGCACTTATCATTCATTCATTTATTCATACAAGCATGCAGCCCAAAGTGCTCCATAAAGGGACGGAGGGAAGGAAATTAACAACAATAATAATTAAAGGCGAAGGTGATTTAAAAAGATTCAAACGAGAATGAAGTTGATGGAAAAATATTTAGGAAATTAGATTCTAATTTTACTGTGGAGGATAGGTTGGGACTCTGGAGTTGTTTGTGGTGCATTGAGGTGAGGTTTTGCAGAGTATAGATGCAACCTATTGATTTAATATGACAATTTTACATACATCTGCCAAGTAGTCTGCGGATTCTTCTTGTTCATACGTTTTACACATTGATATAAAAATTAATTACTATTTTTAGATTTACTACTTTGTCAAACTTTGTAAGTATTGCAGATTTTTGTAGATGTTTAGGGCACTCTTTGTTGTTATAAACCAAAAAATTCAAAGTTTTGTAGTAGACCTTATGCCTGATCAGATACAAAGGTGATGATCAAATCTGTTGAAATGTTCCTCTAATCACAGCTCTTTATTTTAAAAGGAAGGTTATCATCAATACACGGATGCTGCAACAGTCCTACTACAAAAGATAAGAGATAAAACAAAGAGTAAAAGCCACATTTATGAAGTCTGGTCACCATCCTGTAACTTTTTGTTAGCTCTGCTGGTTTCTAACTCTACCTCCCAATAGTTTGATCTCATTTCACTCATTCCTAACCATTATTTCTGCCATTAACTATAGTTTAAAAAGTCCTCTATCCCCATCCAATCTGACTCCTCTTAATTTAAGCAACTTTTTTCCAGTTTTAACACCATCTATTCTCAGATGTGTGTTAGTCATTAACATAATTTCATCTCTGGGGTTTCATTTCACACGAAAGTAAAAAGCCCCAAAATTGATGCACTTAAAAGGAAAGCAAAAGTAAGTGGGTGAGCTCTCAGCTGATGTGCCAGTTTTAGTTAAATGGATGTTAAAAACTGATTATGGAGAGAGGGGTGAAGTGATGGGAAATGCATGCACTTCAAAATAAAATGCATCTCAATAGGTAATGCGTTAAAAAATAGCAGAAAAGCTAGAAGAGCTTGAAAATTTACAATGCAGTTTCAGCTATGATACATTTTTCCAAGGTTTAAAATAAGCTACAATCCCCTCACCCTTTACTTAGTCATTTTTGTTGAATGCATTGACCCTGTTTCAACCACTTTGGTAGCAGTAGCCTTCTTGAAAAACCAGTACAAGACATAGTGAGTCTTTTAATATTTCATGACAGTGACTAGTTTAGTTCCATATTAATAGGGAGGATGAATCAGCGACAGGATTCGTGACCTTTTCCCAAAGCTTCTTTACAATGACCCCAGTGTGCAGGCAGCACCGCTGTGTGTGAGTGTGGGGACAAAGTCTACCCAGTACGGATTGGGCATCCTTCAGAGCTAATTCACGGATGCCAAGTATTTGCAAAATAGCCGCAATCTTTGATGGTGTCCCTTCGAAGTGGGCCAAGCCACAGTTCACAATTAAACCCAGAGTGCTGCCTCCCAGGCTCAGCATAATAAGGATGACAAAAATGGAGATTGAGTGCCCTAATTTATTGACTTAATATGTCAAACATCATACGCCTGAGGACTGTTCAAGGCCAAGGTTTCCAAAACTGATCATCACTGACAATTTGTATTTGTTTGAACAGGGTCCATGGGGTCCTGATGGCCTGGTGGGGGAGAAAGGCTCCACTGGGGTAAAGGTAAGACAGTGAAGGTTGATTAACATTTCAGGAGTGTCTTGTATCAAGTTTTGTGCTCAGTATTGATAAAACTTCCTTTAAATGCCTCAGAGCAGCGTCTGGCCTTCACTGGCCTAATTGGGAATCTGTCTCGTTGAAATCAAGGATAAACTAAATGGACCCAATTTCTGTGGCAGAGAAAAAAGAAAATCAAGAGAACTTTTATAAGCTGCTTTGTTGGGCAGACTGTGATTATCAGATATTTTTAACTTCTAAAGGATCTTGGGAGGACATTCTTTGTTAACTACAAATCTAACAACAGAACCTTAAATCAAAGACTCTTTAAATATTGATGGTGCTGGCTATGCTTGGCAGTCGGGAACATTTTAACTCTGGGGGATTTCAGAATGCTAAGTTAACTGAGTTGGATGTTTTTCTTTGCAGGGCCCTGATGGTCCACCAGGAAAATTGGGCCTCCCTGGGGAGATGGTAAGGAAAAATTGGTCTTCTTTAATTTCCTCTTGTTGCAGAGGCAGAATTTCAATAATTTACCACAAGTGTAAAAGTCCAGCACGAGTGAAAGCCCTACATTCTGCAGTATTGTAAACCAAATGGACTGAACGCATATGTAAGATATTCTTGTTTTAGAGGTGGGTGTGTTATATCGCTATGTTTTCAGACATGCACTCCTGAAAGTTTTTAGATATATCCTCACAGTAGAATTCTTTCCTGTTGGCTGGCTGTGTGAGGGAGGGTCTCAGGAGGCTGATCGCGATGATATATAGACGCTGCAGTAGTCTGACTATAACATTTTACAATATTATCCTAGTTTGAAACCACTGATCCTTTAGTTTTACTCTTCCTCGTGTTTCATTCACTTTATGTCTTCCTCTGTTTGACTTTTGTTTCTCTTAGCACATGTATCTGTGCATCAATTCAGTGCTGTACTATTGTCAGTGATTGCAATTAAATTTTATTCTTAGAAAAGGTAACATACCAAGGCAGATACGTCTGAATTTACATCTGTTTTAGCCTCAATATTTATGTGATGAGTGATTGAATCCATCTACAGCACAACAAATAAATGAAAAATAATCAAACTGGACAAGAGAAGTGAGTTTTGGGCCACCTTACTGCTTTTGGGGATTTTTTTATCCAACCACAGTCCTAACTTCTCCTGTAGATTTGCTGGGTTCTCACATGAGCTCCACTTCACACATGCAAATCCCCTTGGTAAATCCTGGGAATTTTCAGGCACTTTTACTTTCAATAAGTAGTTTTAATAAAGAAAAGTGCTCCTCCATATAATAATGGATAATACTGATGAGAGCTTGACCCAGACTCGTGTAATGAAGACTGCCACTTGGACTTGACTCAAATACTGAGAGCTACAGACTTGACTCAGACTTGGGGTTTCTACTTCAACTGTGTCTGCTTCTTAAAGGTTTGGATTTCAATTTAGTGTCACTTTTTGATCAGCTGATTTCTGATTGATGACCAGTTGCTTAACAAAAACGATGCTATTAACTGTTATCTCTAAAATGTGTCCATGGTTAAAAAAAAAGTCATTTCACTTCTGGACCTGAGAGTATGAAGTTTTTTAAAACAGTAATAACTCTAGTGGAGTAAAAGTATCTTGCGTCTCTCTTGAATAAAGGAGTTGGGATCATAAATTCAGCCACTTTTCCCTTTTTAAGTCATGTTTAAAGGAGGAGGACCCAAACTTTCACTCCCCCAAGAGGCTCCAGTTCTGTTCCCTTAAATCTGATTTGCAGTTTTTCTCTGATTCATATGACTGTAAATGAAATATATTTGGTTCAAGGTGTGTTATTTGGAAATTAGAGAAAGAACAGTTGGCTTGTCCAACTTATGATTGTTATTTTTTACCACTTTCCAACATTTGAAAAAGATTACAGAATCAGACAAATGATAAAGAGGATTTCTTCTTTCCTGGCTCATTTGATAAAGGAACTTGAAAACATCATTGTATAACTGTTAAGGGGAGAAAGAGAACTGAACCCTGGCTCCATCAATGTGCTTATTTAACCATCTTTGTGTTAAACACTTAATACACAAACAACATACTAGAAAATAACTGTTCACTTTTTAATTTGTGGATTCATTTTTTATCTTTATCTTTTGTGTGATTTTGCTGCAGGGAAAACTGGGTGAACCAGGTGAAGCTGGGCCCAAGGGATTTCCAGTAAGTGATTGGGGCTAACAGAGGCCTCTTTTAGGTCAGTCTTGATTCTGTGGGGGAACAGTGTTCAATAAAAGAGGCTTGTGTTGCACCCTGTTACTAGGGCTGCACGATTTTGGCCAAAAATCAAATACAGATTTTGTTCTCCGAAAAACTTGATTTCTAATTTTGATTTTGTTTTTTTTTTAATTCAGTGACAACGTCACCAAACTTCACTTTGATAATAAATTTTTCTACCATCTCTCAAAACAAAACCACTGAAAATTATTCAGTGCATATGCCAAGCCAGTAAGTGGCGCTGTAACGTTGTTGAGGAAATGCACAGAAGACAGAAGAAGAGTACAGAGCATATGTATAAAGGTTATTTTGGCCGGACACGTGCAGCCGCCATAAAAGAGTTACGCCGTGTGTCACATAATCGTTTCGAGAGATTTAAATAGGCATCAACATGGAGATAAAATGGTAGTCATTTATGGATTTATGCACTCTCTGACCCATTTTCAAAAAGAAACGCTGTTTCTGTGTGGAACACCGATACGACAAAAACCTTTTGCGTTTACTCCTGAATTTGTTTCCGTGTAGACAGGTTGATACCGCCTTCAGACAGACTTTGCAGCGGGGAGTGGTTTGCTCTCCATTTGAAACTGCGATGCCATACCAATTCCACACAACTGACTTGCTCTTGTCCAAACGCCATGTTTGTTTACACTGGTGTGTGTGGAAACTGGGGAGCACTCCCGCAGAAAGGGGGAGCCTACGATGGCCTGGAGGCGCAAGACATGATAGAGAGGAAAATCTATTTGATGATTTTTAATTTTTTTAACATTGTCATAATTAAATAATCTGTTTGCGATTTAAAACCGATTAATCGTGCAGCCCTTCCTTTTACTGTAGTGGGCGTTATGGCATTTCAGCATGTGAATTAATACTTTTAGTGTTTTTTAATTGACAGTGTCTTACTACTTTTCAGGGTATCCAAGGACCCTCTGGACCTCCAGGGGCCAAAGGAATCACAGGAGAGCCTGTAAGTTTCTGGCTTTGCATGAACTTGGGATGCATGTTTGATAATAAAGGCTTTTTCCTGTATAGTAATATCTTCTCTCTCTGTCTTCTCCTCCATCTGGTTTAATTCTGTAAAAGTTGGAAAAATCTTCAAAAGAACATGGAGTCCAAACCCTCTAGTGCCTCATTATCTAAAATAACCTGTGGCTCTCCATCACCCACTGGCCACCCTTCCACTTGCCCTTGCATATCAACTCTAAATTTCCACTTTGACACCTTTTATTCAGCGCCTCCCTGAAACCCCTGTCCCGGTCAAAAAGCCCGCAACAGCCTAAGTCTCTTCCTCTCATTCTGCCCAAAACTCACAGACACGAGCCAAGAAGAAGTGAGCCCGAGACAATTTGATTTACACCACCTCCTTCCTGGAGAGGCAGCTTTATTGTAGCCTGAATGTGTCTCTATAACAGCAGGCCTGTTTCCATCACTTGCAGAAGCTTTGGCTCAGTGTTTTGAAGGCTCCTAGCCCTGCAGATTAACTTATCTCCACAAATCCATACTCTCTGCCTGGTTCTTATTTCTTTTCACTTTTTTTCCCCTCCTTTACTGTCACTTTCAGAAGTGTTTGTCCAAGATTAGAGAGTGCTCTCACCCCTTTTTATTGATGCCTCTGACTCTCCCTGCAGGGACCAGCAGGGCCACTGGGAACGATTGGGCCACTGGGGGAGATGGGACCAATGGTGGGTTTGATCACACAGCTGGTGTTAGAGCCCCCGCTGACTTTTGTATTAGCGCTGGACGCTAAAGGCTATTATTGTTTTCACAGGGGCCAACGGGGAAGGCTGGAGAAAGAGGACTGCCTGGTGAACTTGGAGCGAAGGTAGAATGACGATAGGCTGAGGAGCTCTTCATTGACTGTGGTGGGACAGGGGTAAAAATATAAAAGTGCACCTCCTGTTTGCCATGGGCCTCCAGCACACAGATGTTGTTATTGATGAAGAGCTGCCTCACCTTGGTGTTCTGTGATCAGAAGGTACTTGCACAACAGACCAGGTTCTGCCAGTCTAAAGTAAGGGCAGGCCTTTTGGGGGGTTTGAGGGGTCTTGCCTCAGGAAACGTTGGACATCTGACACTTGATTTCCTGTATTCTGGTGAATATTTGTGGAGTGGCTGAATTTAAAAGATATAAAAGAAAAACACAGAAATTCACATGGTGATTTTGAAACACAGTAGTCTAATTCTAATATAAATTAAATGATAAAATAAACCAAATTATGCTTCAATGCTGGAAAGGCATCCAGAGGGCATTATTTTCAGTTGTGTGTAAATAAATCATAGACTGTATATAGAATGAACGCCATCTGCCTCCTCGCTGGATGAAGCCACCTCAAGAACAGCACCCTCTGGTGACAGGCTGTAGTATAGGTCACAGATCCCGTCTCCTCCAGCAATCCCTAGGGAGCTGTGGACAAACTTCAGAAATTTATTACACAGAATATAAAATTCCCCCCGCTTGCAATGTTGACATGTAGTTACTGTAAGACTGGTTTGTGCTCAAGTTCTCTTTTTCTGTGCAGCTCCATTTTTAAAAGTTATTAGGGGGTTCATGTTTTCTATGATTGACACCTGATACGGCCTATGAGTGTGCGCAGATTACGTAACTCACCAGGAGGATACACTGTTTGAGCCGAGCGTCATCACAGTGACTCTCCCGCCAAATGTGTACAACGCTACTGTGCAAGTGGTGGTTCCAGGAAGTGGAGAAAATCCCGGAAATACAGAGAGCAATTCAGCTTCAAATTCATATAATGACGGGAGGTGGAGCCAAGTTTTCCATAGTACATACATTCTATGATATAAATACTGATAGGGCATCCAGAGGGCACTTTTCTCATGTTTTATATACTGGGAGGGCCTACCAAGTGTCCTGTCATAGATTTAATCTACTGGAAGGCACCAGAAGGCACGAAGTCACTTTGAATCCTTTGTTAGAGCAGCTACTAAAAGAGATTTACACATGTTTTCCACAGAGAGAGCTTTTCATAACATACTTTTACTGTGCATCCAAGAAGGCTCTTTGCAGCATTTCTATCTAACATGAGGGCCATAACATGTGTGGCACAATTTCAGCTAGCTAGAACACTGGAGAAGATACTCCCTATTTGGTGGTTGTGTCTCCAGTTAGACTGTTTGTAGGATTATCCATTTCTAATGAAGCTTGGAGTGCAGGGTCAATAAATGAATAAAATGGATCAATAAACCATCACATCTGGTCTTTGACAGGGTCCCATTGGCTCGCCTGGAAACATCGGAGAGATGGGTTTAGTTGGCCAGAGAGTGAGTATAATGTTTTCTTGATTTGTCATAAAAAAAAAAGCTTGCTCTGTTTTATTTTGGTAACCCCTCCAACATGCAGTTGCCGGGTAATAAATGTGTCAAAAGATATATTCATGTTTGGCCCTCTGCACATCTGCTTTTACTCATGTGTTGTGATTCCTGTCCTTGTTAAGCTGCAACAAATGACCTTGTTTGATTTGTCTGTCAGGGGGAGCCAGGCATTGATGGGGAGGCTGGAACAAGTGGACCTGATGGAGCCAAGGCGAGTTAAAAAGATAAAGGACACATTTTGACTCTAACCTTGATTTATCCGTCGCTCCAGAGAAGTGAGATATTCTTCCAGTGAATGGTAAAAAGTTGCCTCGAGCCTTTGGCAGGCCAGCAAATTCAATAAGTTGAATAACTTCAGCGTGGATGAACTCATTTTTGAAGCTTCATGTCTGTGAACTTGGTGAACTACCAAGTTTACTGTAGCATCTTATTGCAATTAGAGGAAGTCTAGAATTGTTTGTCAGACGCTGGCCTTTGTACAGTTGAAGCTGCATTGTTTTGACATTTAGTGAAAACAGATAGCAGGGCTATTTTAAGAGCTCGTAAGTCTGGCAAGAGCTGTGACAGTCAGACAAAAAAAAAAAAAGATCCAAAGCACAGGGAGGCTGCCTATTCAGCAGAGCTGCGCTCCTGGAAGTGTGGCTGACAGACCAACAAACAGCTCCTGGCTCAGCCACGGCAGTAAAACGTGAACACTCAGGATTAGAATAGAGTCGACCTGAGCGTGGCAAGCTCGCTCTGTACAGGACGTTTTCTGTTAGTCAGGAGAGTAAACTGTGCTGAGTGCTTCTTGGCTACTGTGCAGCTCCTGGATGGGGAGGAAAAACGGCAGCTCAACAAGGATTTTGTTCTGTTAACTGCGAGGAATTGAAATTAAAGTGTTGTCATGCTTCATCAGGATTGCCTGGTGAAATTTAGAGTGGAAATTCAGCAAATAATCAGAGGACTCAAGGATAATATCTTGGCTTCCTCTTACCCGTGGTCTGGAGCAAATTAAAAACTGGTTCCTTTTTCCGGGGATTGTAGGAATGTCGAGTGAGTCTGAACAGATAACAAAAGCCTGTTGTACTTTTGTGATGTGATATACTGTACTATTATTATATTTAACCAGGGGGACAAAGAGGAAGAAAATATCTCCAAAACAAGGTGCAAATAATTACCAGTTGAAAGGTTCACCATTTACACCAAAATAAGAGGCGGTTTTTTTTAGGACCTATTTTGTTGCCACCAGGGGGAGCTCTTAAAGTTGGTTGTCAGTGATTGTATGCTCAAACCAGAGACCGTCAAGCTGCTAGAAGAAAAAGTCAGTGTATTGAAGTTGTTGTGGAGGTACAAGGATAAGAAAGCAAATAATTTGGGATAAAAGGCAGATTTTATTTTCAAGCACTGCAATGTTTAATTGGCAGGGCAAAGAGTCACTTCTCACTGACAGGTGTTTCACAGTTTCTGTAAGAAATCAAAGTCCTCTCTCCTTTGTTTATGTGCTCTTGATTTTGCGTCACAATTTTAACAGCAGCTTTTTAAGTTGGGTTTCTAACTCTTGTCACGAGGCCAAGCAGTGCTTCTCCCTTGAATAACTCCGGGTCACGTTGACATGTCGGCTGCTGCTGTCAAGAGTTGGTTTAACAACAGTTTTATCCAGTAAAATTGCCACCAAACTGAAGCCCTTATAATCAGCTCTGAAAAAGTGGCACCAGTTGAACAGCTCGGCCCACTTTTGGGTGGAAAGTGAAGCTCTGAATAACAACATGTCAGGTCACTGTGACATCTTCTTGTCCATCTGACAAACATTTCAAAATCACAGCCTGTGTGTCTCCTTATTAAATACTTTTGTGCTATTAGGACTAAACTACTTCAACTCTGCTCACATGCCTCAGTGGCCACTGTCAAGATGCATTCAGAGCCACTTTAAAGGGACATTTTGGTACTTTTGAAGTGAGGCTGTAGGAGCTATGTGTTATGAGTTAGTCTAATAGCCACATGAATGCAGCTCAGCTCAGCCTCTTAAATGAAGGTTGCAGAAGGAACCGGCAGGCAAACTAGGCTACAGTTTTCAATGCTTTACTATATGCAGATGCAACACACATATGTGCTCTTCTGCCCACTGACTGATCGACTAATCAGATACACGTAAAGCACCAAATGCCTAAATTTTATGTTTTTTTTTAGTCCTCCGTCTTCACTTCAGGTCTTCTTTACCTTTTGACGTCCAAGGACTCGTCTTTGGTCTTCACAGGCTTTGCGATTTACCTCAAGGTGTCAAAATCCTAGCCAAGGTCTCCTTGACTTGCACACATCCAGTCCAGTGTGTTGAACTTCATTGTGTGACCCCCTTTTTATTGGACATATTTTGTCCTCCTCAGGGTGAAAAGGGGGAACCTGGTCCAGAGGGTCCTCAAGGAGACAGGGGGGAAATTGGTCTGAAAGGAAAGGAAGGACCTCTTGGTCTGCCTGGACTTGTGGGTGTAAGGGTGAGTATCTTTGCAGTCTACTCCAAATTTCATTTAGCTCCCAAGAAAGCAAAGCTCTTTCTGCTCGCTTACAACCCTGTTCGATTTCCTTTCACAGGGTCAGGAGGGGAAGCCTGGGAAAATTGGTGAGAGAGGAAAACCTGGAGAAAAGGTTTGTCAGTTCTTTTGCTTGGGGCCAAAATACACTTTCACTTTAGAAGGTGTGTCAATTTGCTCTCTTGTACACGGGGTTGAATAGTACTGTGTGATGGTGGTAAACAAGCTGTAAGGCCAATAACTCCCCGAGCATGACAGCTGAAGAGCTTGTCAAATACACTTGTCAGAGTTAAATGTTTGAACTGTCAAAATGAAACCGACATGAAGCCTGTTACTCTCTCTGCATGCCTGCTCATTTATGGTCTCTCTCCAGGGAAGCAAGGGTCACCAAGGCAACCTGGGTGAGAGTGGGCCCATGGGCGATCAAGGGGACATGGGGTTTGTCGGGCAGAAAGGTGCGAGAGGAACCATCGGGCCGGTGGTGAGACATCCTCAGGTGGTTTTAGAGGTTTGCTCAGTCTTTGGTGGGTGCAGGTGTAATGTATCTTTTCCCTCCAGGGTGCTCCTGGGAGAATGGGCCAACAGGGGGAACCAGGACTATCAGGTTATGAGGTGGGTCATTATTAATAAATGGTGCTGGGATGATTTAAAAGAGAAGAGTCTGCAGGGCTGCCAAAGCATGAGCTAAATCTTTAATCTGCCGTCAATTCATAATTCATAACACAAAGAGTGTAAAGACTCTGAGGTTATTTTTAAAGACATTTTTTGTTCATGTTTGATTGAAAAGAAAATCTTTAGTTCTTAAATTTCATTGACCTAAGCTCCTTTCACACATGTACTACACTCCTGAAAACTTTCTGGCTGCCTGTGTGTAAACTAGGGCTGAGTGATTTGTCATTTGAACATTGCAATAGTGTTGTATGCATGCACAGACACCACACCACAGGACATGTAATATCAGTCACATGACCTCTGACTCTGTCACTACTCCCTACTACTGGGACAATAATAATAATAAGAAGAATGTACTTTTCAATTTCTTGAAATAAGACATTTACTTATTTTGAGAAACGTAATTTTTGGCGTTTAATATCTTTATAAAAACATTTTTCTGGAGTTATCTGGTGAATATGACTTAAGTCAGGCCTAATTTTTTTTTTTTTCAGAAATAAGACAAAAACACCAAGATTTGAGTTTTTTTGCAGTGCAAGTCTTGAAAATCAGGATTTGATCTGGACTGTCGCACGAGTCCCCGATTTCTGGTGGTTGAAGAGACAGCATTTATGATGTGAACACTGTTGTTTGTGAAGCTGACACCTTTATAAATGTTGCAGTGATGTAAACACAGCAAAATATTTTCAGGCATGAGGGCACCATAAGGGCAATCCCAGCCCCCTCAGTCCACAGTCCTCAGGGCACAGTGGTGCCCTACCAAACTATGCTCGAAGCCTGAAACCAAGTGAAATATTTAGAGCTGTGGGAGGAAGTCTGACACAATGATCTTCAGCTTTGAGGTCCATGTTTGAAGAGCAGGTTCCTGAAAATCTCTAGAGTCTAAATGATCTGGTTTAACAAAGTAAGAAACAAAAAGATAGAGAGGAATTAAGTGTGAAAGAGGCTTGACTAGATTCTGAATAGTACTCAGATAAATAGTCAAAAACAATCAGGTAAGCACACAAACAGGTCAGTTACCTGTTCAGAACTTCAAGGCTGTGTAAATCAGCGGGGGGTCTGATGTATGTTTAGCCTAATTTTTCCTCACAATTATATCAGAATTTCTGTCGAAACATGCTAATAAGGGAAATAACTCTGATTGATTTTATTTGTGCCAAACAGACCTCATTGAAAATCAATATTGACTCCTGTGTAAAATCAGCTTGTATTGTATCCGTCACAAACAGGTGATTTGCACTTCCTCATCTTTCCACAAAAGGGTGGGTCTGTCCTGACAGCTAGTTCCAGTTAGCTCCAACGTCAAGTCTCACTGATTTGTTTAAAGCCAATGACTGCGCTCTCAGGAGCTGTACTGTACGTTGTTTGAAATCATGGTGACATTTTGGCTGAATTCCAGTTAAAGGTAGAAGCGGGCTTATAGAATCATGCTGTGTTAAAAGTGACCACTAGAGGGCAGACTGGAGACAGCAAAATTACTTCATTAAAAAGGGAACAAGTATTGCAACGCAGGGAGATATGTTGTTTCACATGTATCTAATTGCCTGACTTTATTGATGAAGACAACACTCAACAGATTAAATAATTATAGTTGTTAAACTTTCATTGCACTAGATTCTGCATCCAAACATCGTATTTTCTGCTGTAAAAAAATAAAACTGTTTACCTCAGTTGATGCACATGCACACTTCCGATTCAGGATGATGGTGAGAAATTGATCATAAGATGACAGCAGAATCAATTTCCTCCCACATGTTTGTAAACTTGAATGATGAATCACAAACTGCACTACAAAGAGATGATTGAGGACGCTGCTGTATTTTCAAGTTAAGCTAATTTATCCTTCTGCATCTCTGCTGTGATTGCTCTTCTGCCTCCAAGCTGTGAACACTGTAGATCACTCAGTCAGTTACAAAGAAAGCAGGCAGGTTGTAGTCTTAGATTGAAACTTTCTGTCTTGTCACAGGGTCACATGGGGCCGCAAGGACCTCTGGGACCACCTGGGCCAAAAGGTGAAAAGGTACTTTGACACTGTAATCTTGTTCTGCCTCTGTGTCTAATGAGCTCATCTGACATGTACCTCACTAACAGTCCCAAAGCTTATTGTCACTGAGGGCACAGCCGCTCTTTTGGAGGCACTAGAATTTAAGTTGTGTTCCTAATTAGTGTTTTCTTTTTCTGTCTTATTGTCCTCACAATATCCTTCAAGTCATCCCTTAATTTCTGTATTGATTTGAACTCAGACATGTCCAATTAACTTGGTGCTGTTAAATGTATATAATTAGCCAAACACCTGGACTCTTCTGCTCCTGATTTTGAGGATATTAGCACTATAATTTGTGTTTATCTGACAGGAGCTGCACACAATGGAGCTCATGCACCAGAGTTTAGAGAGATGCTAATTTGCACGTTTTAGTCCCTGGGTAGAAGCCATCTGGATGTGGATATTTTCTGTTTTCTCTTTGCCAGTTAACGACAGAAAAATGCTGCGTTTGCTCTCTAATTAAATCAGCATTATGCTATCACACGGTTGGCTGCAAAATGTATTATTGTCAATTGAGAGAGTCAGGTAACTCTGGCACTGGACCACGCTGCAGATGAAAAGCGCTCTGTTGTTTTAAAAGCCCTGATGCTGCAATATCCATGTAGGTTTCCGCTTGTTTGGCCTCTGACCGTGGTTAATCACACTCCGGCTTTTAAAGGCCTGTCAGGCGCCTGGTTTTATAATTTCATTTGACACGTGCTCAGCACATGACTATTAAAATTATACACACATCCGTGGTTATTGTTTAATGAATGCCATCAAGACCCTGAAACAGACACTGGCTCTATTTATGTGAAATGGGATCATTGCGGTTAATAGCGCATGTAACGATTTGCAGTTTGTATGGAGGGTGCAGGAAATGTGTTTCCATTGTTGTCCTCTTGAAAACAAAGCATGCATTGATTTAGCACAGACTTTGGGGTTTTAGGGAAATATCATTGATTACTATTGTTTGTCTCCTTCTGTGTTTCTTCTCCAGGGTGAGCAGGGCGACGACAGCAAGACAGAAGGTCCTGCAGGCCCCCAAGGTGACAGAGTGAGTTTTTTACATGTACCTGTTTGACTGTTGTTCATTTGCGGTCATCTGAAGCGTTGAATTAAACTACTCTTACTCAAACTCAGGGTCCTCTTGGTGACAGAGGAGAGAGAGGAGACCCTGGAGAGCCAGGATACATTGTGAGTTCAATGAAAAACAGATTTATTGTTTGCTTTAGAGCTCTGGGTACATTTGAAGAACTCAAAATCATGTCCTCCAGGGTCAAATTGGAGTCGACGGGATGAGAGGGGATGCTGGTGCAACAGGGCTTCCTGTAAGTATCTCATTTATGTCTCTGAAAAAGTCAAATGAAGATACTGTGACACTGTAGAAAAGTCAAATCTGTGTAATTCAAATCAAACAGTGATGATTGTTTTAGGGACATCCAGGACTAAAGGGACAACCGGGACTGAGAGGCTCCAAAGGTGATCAAGTAAGTACACAAATAAACATGATGTGAAGTCTTTTGATGTGAGAAAACTCGACATGCTCCAGCTGTAACCATGTCAGAAATGTGAAACGTGTATGTTGTCTGCTGCAGTGTCAGAAAGGAAAATCAGGGGCAAGAGGAGCATCGGGGACTAAAGGACCACCAGTGAGTTTGAGGCATTTTAACCACAGAGTGAAAATTCTGAGTGTAGTTCTGTCATTAAAAAACGAAGTGTGGCTGTCTTTTTTAAGGGTCCAGAGGGTCCTCCTGGCCCTCGGGGAGTTGTAGGCAGAGAGGGACTTGAGGGCCCACCTGGTTTGGATGGACTGCATGGTACAGATGGAAGTAAAGGAGTTACGGTGAGGACTTGTGCTTTCCTTTTCATTTGTAGAAGAAAGAGCGGACTAGCTCTCATTTTCTTTACGGCTTATGTGTTCAGGGGGAGCAAGGAGACGATGGAGAGGTGGGGCCTCCTGGCAAACCTGGGCTGCAGGGTACGCCTGGTGTGATAGGACTACCTGGAAGTCAAGGCTCTTTTGGACCAAAGGTGAAGAGGATGCATCAACAACCTTGAAGTTTTTTGTCTTAATGAGCAAGAACCCTGATGGGAGAGCTTTTTCATTCATTACAGAGCAGCCAGTTTTACTGATACTCAGCGTTGGCACTTCTCATTGGTGCCATAATACTGCTTTCATATTTGGTGTCTCAGAGGCCAAATTCTGCAGGAGGCTGTAAAAACACTTCACTAAAAACCTCTTATTAGCAGAATCATTTCTGGTAGTTAGTCCTGCAAATATTGATGTCCTGGCTTCGGCCCGATTTGTATGGTTTGCCAGTACCACATGAAATTTGCAGAGCTGTGACTTTGAGAAGTGTTGTGGGGCATCATCAGTGGACCTCTTCTAACCTATCACACTCATTTCTGTACATCTATAGAGTAGTTGTCAAGAGCCTGCTGTAAAATGCTGGTTTAGGTTTTAGCTAAGGTTTTCCGTCATGGTCTATAACCCCATTTCATTCAGCAGAGCTACCAGTAAGGGGTGATGTGCTCCTCTCTGCACTTATGTTTTATACTGGCAGCCTTGGTGCCTGTTCAGAGTTGTTAAGTGGGGTATGTGGAAGAGATGTACATGTATTTATGTGTTTGTTCATTTCCTTCAGGGTGAGAGGGGCCTCCCAGGTCAGACTGGTTCATCGGGAAAAAGAGGCTCTGTTGGTGGGATGGGACTACCAGGAAAACAAGGAGACCCTGGACCCAAGGGGCAACCAGTGAGGCAGATATTTTCACACAGTTTGATTGAAATTCTTTCAGATGACAACCTCTGATCAAGATGTCCATGCTGTCTGTTCTCTGTTTTAGGGAGACACTGGTGAACAAGGATTTCCAGGGGTGTGGGGCATGTTTGGACCAAAGGTATGTGCTGAATTGAAGCTCCATTCATAAACAAAACAATAATCTTGTCAATAAAACCAGTCAATAAGACTGGTCCAGTTTTCTAGTCTGAATAAAGTTCTTAACTCATGGGTTGCACTCACACTACAAAGTACAACCATAGCCTCTCCCTCTGTTCCCTGCTGACCTGTACTTCCTCTTCACTGGCTTTTTTGGCAGAGTCTAAGGTAGATTTTTTTTCTGCTGGTCATCGATAATATCTCAGAATTCATTAGAACACTCAGTCATTAAAATCAAACCAGTAAATAGAGCTTTGGAGTTTCTTTTTATTGTACTGTATCATGTCTTTTTTCGTTAAAGTGCTTGTGTCAATCCGTCAAATATCCTGAGGTATGGAGAAAAGGCATTCGTTTTTAGTGTTGTTTTGACGTTGGTGATCATGTCTTCCTTGTGATTCAATCTCAGACTTGATTGGTAATTCCCTGCCTCTGCCAGCACAAGAGTCACCTTTTTTTACCGTCTTTCCTTTTTAAGTTTTTTTTTTTAAGCCAGGGAATTTATTTTTTAGCTGCTGTTGTCGGGCAAACTTACCCAACAACATTCAGGTCCGACTGTTTTCTCCTCACCTCTATGTGGATGTGAAATCTGGATCTTCACAGCCCTATGCTTGTGCACATGCATGACTAATCATACTGGACTTCTTGGGTAAACGTGCCTGAGTATGGGACAGATTGCCTAGTGTAAGTGCACCTTTAGAGGACTAGCGTAAACTAGCAGGTGAATTGATGTCTTTCTGCAAAACTAAAGGTCTTCTCTCGCACAGGTCACTGGTTTGTCCTTTTTGCAGAACTGGAGAAACACAACAGAATCTATTCTGTGCTTGTTCTGAGGATACAAACCATAATTCCTGTTTACATATGATGATACACTCACAAAATTCATATATAATTCTATTATTGACTCTCTGACAGCGGATGTCCCTAAATCCTGCACACCGGCCCTTAAAGACATACTAATAATGTGGCTCTGAGACAGTAAAACGACCCAAAAAGTTATTTCTGGGTTTAACTATCTTTCTTATGGAAGTACTTGGTGCAGTTAAGAGTCTGAAACAGCTCGGAGGTCCATTATATTGTATTGTGTTCAGTAAAAATGGATATGAAAAGTTGAAGTTATTACTGTAACATGCCTCAGGATGACATCTGCTGCAGCATAAGTCTGTTTAACTTCCAGTCCTGCTTCACTATTGATCATTACCAGCTGAAGGAACACAACAGACTCCAACAGAGTCGAACTCTTTAGTTTGAAAGAAGGTGCAATGTCTAGTGTCTCACTGCTGTGGGAGTGAAAACAGATGATCTTAGTGATTTTATTCAGTGGGGTTTAATTATTCTAAATCATTAACAGGTTATTAGACTAATTTGAGAAGAATTACTGATAAAATGGCAGAATGAAAAAGCAGAGATCTTAACAGGATTGGTATCAGCAAATATCACTGATATCAGTACATTGACGTTGTATCATTCAGTAATGTCAATAGTTGATGTTTATGTGTTTACTGCAGCATCTTCTCTTTATCTTCATCACGTCGATGGGAATCTGGAAAGCTGTTACATTTTACTGCCAATTTAGAGCCGTTTTTATTGGGCAGAAGAAACCCTCTGCTGCACTAACTGATTTATATTCATGATCAAACAGGAGAGAAAATGTGGGCAGTGTGGGAATATTACCCAGCCTGTGAGAAAAATCAAAGAGAGGACCTGTAACTGTTTAAATACATCAATTCTCTTAACTTATTTAACAATCAGACCTAGTTTATACTCTTCATTTCTTATGATCTGAGGAGTTCCCCCTGGCTCTGTTCTGGACCGATGTATGTTTGAAAGAATGGCTTTGAAGGTTTCTATGCCCCCAAAAAACAGCCAATCAGTGTGAAACATCATCAAGCTAAACTATAGCTGGTCATATTGTGTGTTGCCACAACAGGTGTAAAGGTCCTTACCAGTGGCGGCTGCTGGTCTTTCAAGGAGGGGAAGCTCATTTTTCTGGCCTACATCATAATTGTATTTGTTTATTAGTATGTAACAGAACAGAGTCGCCAAACACAACGGCAGTCGTTTTTAACAAAGACAAAAGTCGCTGAGGATCGGTAAAGTCTCTGGAGCAGTTAAGAACAACGGAATGAATAACTTGGAAAATGCTCTGGTAGATGTTTTATTCTTCAAGATCGCTGATTCGCTTGTTTAGCTGTCAATCAAAAAAGGATTTCGCCTCAGACAGCTCATCCAATCATGAATGCAGAAGCTTGGAGTCCGGGAGAAAGTCGGGACCGCCCTCTCGCCATAGAACTCCAGTGAAGCTGGGCTTCCATTGGGCGGGACAAAGCCCAGCATTTATCCAATGAGCGTCTAGTTTCGCTGCTGGAACAACCCACTCTGAGCTTCCACATTGAAGTCAGCAGAAGCTGGGCGTCCGACTGTTTGAAGCACTGAGGCGCTGCGAGGATGAATGAGAACGAAGTTATGCCGGTTACCTGTAATTATCAGCTTCTTATCACAGTGTCTGAACAAAAGATGAAGGCTTTCTAGCGTGTATTTAGTTAATGAAATGTACACACAGCAGTACGTATTTCACCACTTTTTCTTTTTTTGGGGGGGTGACATTTTAAGGGAAGCCGAGCTTCCCTTGCAGTCTTAGAGCAATCGCCACTGGTCCTTACACACCGGCGAATTTGCGGAGCGAAGCAAAAAAGCAAGACGAAAATGCGGATATTCGCCGGTCCGAAAAATCGCTTTCGCCTATACACACTGGGCGTGAAGTGAATATGCGTATAAATTTTGCAAAGCGAATTAATAAATATATATTGTCTTTGGCGCGAGTTCTTTCGTACGACAGAGGAGAGGAGAACAAAGAAATGGAGTTAACAACATCCTCAAGCGATGATGAGCTTGTTGTGATGCTTTTGGCAAAAAAAAAGAAGACAGAAGAATAAACAAAGGAGTGTTTGGGTACATCCCATATTGACTTTGAGGAAGGAGATGGGCGAGTTCCACACCACCATCCAGTGGTCCTGTATCGCAATTACCAGCCTCTCTCCCATCGTTGCTCTTGGTGCCAGTGGTGGTGTGTGTCGTGTGAACTGCAGCTGCATGGGTCTGTGACGTCATCAACAACATGACTTTTGATTGGCCAGAGGTTTAGCAGGTCCAGATATTCACCTGCGAATATCCGAAAAATTCGACACGAGTGAAAAAATAAAAGATGCTTTTCGCCCCCCAGAAAAATCGCCGCCGGTGTGGAAGCTTGCATTGACTTTATGCTGTTTTAAAAAAAGGCGAATAATACGCCTGGCGAATTCGCGCCTGGTGTGTAAGGACCTTAAGACCCTGAGCTGATCTGACTACCCAAGCAAAAGTCTGCTTTCATTTTCCAGAAAGAAAAGATTGTTTTCCTGTCTTGAGAGAGCAGAGTGAGATTTTTATTAAAATAAAGACACTACTTAAACATCTGAAGGAAAAAAAAGCACACAGTTTGTCCACAAACCAACTCAGAGTTCCCTACAGGAGCTTTAATACCAAAAGAAGTCACCATAAGCTTCCACGACTTCATAGTGGTTTAATCTTGAAGTGCACTCTACCTTATCCAATCTCATTGCTAATAAATTGTTTCTGTCTCTCTAGGGCCCCCTGGGAGACATTGGCCCTGCAGGGATACAGGGACCCAGAGGACCTCGTGGTTTGAGGGTAGGATTAAGATTGATAGCAGTTTGACAACTTAGTGCAGCGCTGCGGCTAATGGAAGTGCACTGAACTCTCACAAAGTGAACACTTCGCATGAAAAATAAGCAGCCCTCCATCAGATACTCCATCGTATGTGTCCTCAGTCACTAACATACCTCCACTTCCCAGGGAATGGAGGGAGCTCCGGGCCCCTTCGGCATCATCGGCCCCAGCGGTCACTCAGTATGTACCTCATATCTCATCCTATCTGCTGAGTTTTATGTGACTCTTCAGTGCTTTCTGGCAGTGATGGAGTGATCCTTTGTCTCCTTTCTCTCCATCAGGGACCCCAGGGTGACAAAGGAAGTCGAGGGGAGATGGTGCGTGGCACTGTTTTTGATGAATCCTTCTCTGTCTGTACTGTGAGCACAGAATAGGATACTTAGTATGGAGACAGCACACCACTCAGCCTCCTTTGCCCTCAGCGCTTTTCATTTCCTATTGTGCTCCGCTGTTTGTTGTTACACTCACAGTGACACTTCGCTACTGTGGAATTCCTGTCAGGGTGATAAATGCTGGCTGTATGCTCATCTCGAGCGTTTTAAGGGGTTTGCTGAGCCTTCGTACGCAGGCATAACTCACAGTTCTGTCGCAAAACATTCATGTATAGGTGTGTGGTATAGAAATAGGACTGGCTGTGAAGGTGTGAAAGCTTAAAAAGGAAGCAGGAGGACACATGCAGTGGATAAAGCATGCCTATTGAATTGTCACACAAAGGTGGTGTTGCTGAGCTCTAATGGAATAATATCTTGTCTGTTCGTGAATGCATGCTTTCGTTGTTGGATTGTCCACTTATGAATATTGATTTCTTTTCCTTTTGTCTCCAATAGGGGTTGCAAGGACCCAGAGTAAGTAATTACTCACTTCTGTAGCTTAATCATTATTCTTTGTGCAAGCCTGTGGTCTGCTCAGTACTGGAAGGGATGAATTAACTACTTTATCATCTTCAAAAAAGGCCAAGCTTTAAATAATGTGAAGCCTAATGTGGCTCTGAATTTTTCCAGGGCTCTCCAGGCCCTCGTGGACCACCTGGACCACCAGTAAGTGCTTCATTCTTTATATCAAACATATGAAAAATTGACAAATTGTCTTTTGAAATGTATCCTACTGCAGATGGTGCCTTCACAGTCAAAAAAAAAAACCTGTAAGAGTAACCCTTGGTTAAAAAAAGGTTTCCATGCACTTCACAAAAAGTGTTATGATTTGGACACACTCTGTCTCTTTGTGTAGATTAAAACGCACTAATGCAAAAAGCAACACAACAAAGGTGGAAATCAGTGTACCCAGTTATGAGCTTTAACTGATCCAGAAACCTCTGTTTCTTTAAAAATGAACTTAATATCTCTTTAAAAGGTTTGTCCAGGGGCGTGTCCCAAGGGGTAGCTAAGGGGCCCCTATCCACATTCACAATCATATTCATCCAAGTGTGTTTGCACATCTTTAATTCCAACCTTAAATACGTCATTCCTCCAGTTGGAATGAGTTACAAAGTCAGGACATGCCACTACCCACTTAGTTTAGAAGAAAAAACAGACAAAACTGGCGACTACAGAGTTAATCCTGCAAAATTAGTCTGAAGCAGTAACTTCCTGTTGCCAGCAGGTGGTGCTGTGATTTAAAAAAAAAAGTTTCTTAAGGTTTTTTAAATCTTGCCCCTGAGTCACATCAAAAATAACTGCCTGTTGAGGCTTGAAAATCATTCAAAGAACTAATTAGATTTTATCTCCATCTCAGCTAAACCGCCAGCATACAGTGTGTGTTACTAAGAGAATGATCCAACTTGTAATGAACGGGCTTGTTTTCCACCCTGATCTGATTCAATAAGCTGTTAGCCAGGGGCTCTTCTTCTCTACATTTGACATGCCTCATTTCCTGTGCGTTTACGCCTCATTTCCTGTGCATTCATTATTGTTTCTGTGCATATCTGCATATTGAGTGACTATGGGAGGAACCCACCTCCAAACAGGGTGATTAGGATTTACAGAGCTCTTCCTGAACACAAACACTGGGTGGTTGCAGCTGTAAATGTGCAGATAAGAAAAATTAAGAGTCAGTGTACAAACAGTGCTCTGAATCACAGGTGGGTTTCTTTTTTCAGGGTCTGGCCAGCACACTGTCACTTGTAAGTATGTTTCTCTTTATTATTGATCAGTTATAGTTTAGAAAAATGAAAAATACCAAAGTAAAGAATAAAAATAATAATGGCTGTTTTTAATTGCGATTCTTTCCTTTTCTGTAGCAAAATGAGGCTCTTGGTGTCGCCTTTCAAGTCATCATTGACTCCCATGCAGCGCTGAGACCAGGGGTTAGTCAGTGTCTGTGGTTTGGATTCTAAAAGAGCCAAAACTACCTAGAGAACTGTCTCAAGTTTGTCGAATAGTTTGATATATTTTAAGAAAAATAATCCTCGTTGTGCGGATTCCTCATGTGTTGTGGTTGTGTCTGTCCAAACCAGAACCATCAGAATATGGACCTTCCTATGTTGGATCAAGGCACAGAGATCTTCAAGACTTTACAGCATCTCAGCACTTTGATCCAGAGTCTAAAGAACCCGTTGGGGACCCGAGACAACCCTGCACGAATCTGCCGAGACCTCTACAACTGTGAACAGAGGTTACATGATGGTGAGAGAAAAATCTAAGTGCTTCGTGATGTTTGAAGGGCGGCAGTAATCAACTATTTTAGTAACCAGATTTCCCCGCTAGAGATCAATAAAGTATTATCTTAATCAAGTAACTTATTGATCATTCAGGGGATAATCTAATGCCAAATAATGCATGCCAGCATACAGTGCCTCAGTTTTTGGCATCAAATGTATTTTGTCTTTACTGCTGTAACAACGCCATTTTTCATTTTGTAGGATCTTTTCTTTTCTAACTACTACACCTTAAAAAACATTTACTTGATTTAAATTGTTATACTAAAAATGATACAAAGGAAAATTAACTCTCTACGACACTTGAATAATTGTTTTTAAAGTACATAGTGAAGCTTTAGAGAGGGTAAAAGATAGTAACCTGGTGCACACATTGGCCACCCTTATGTCAGTGCCACCCCAGTCAAAAAGTCTAGATGCGGCCCTGCAGTGCAGCACAGTGCAACACTGGGATCTCAGTGATAACAGGCTGTCGAATTTGCTTAACAAAAGTGACAAGAGAACACTTAATACAAGAGGAGCTGTAGCTGAGCTTGAATTTCTGTCCCACAAAGGCAGTGAAAAGGTGGCTCTTGTACTGGCAAGAGGAGGACTGTCTGTCGGCCCAGCTGAATTATCCCCACAAGGACAGCACTGCTCTGCATTTCAGTCTCTCACAGGTTGAGCAGAATAAACTCCAGACACATTTGTACCACAGGATTTTTAATTGTGCTGGTTTTAGGTGGAAATAAATGTTGAGACAACAACATCAAAGCATATGTGCTTTATCCATCATCTAGAGCATATTATAAATTTACCACATAAACATATAAGAACAAATCAAACAGACAGTAAACAGAACAGACAGCTAAATAAGCTGTGTGTGTGTAAACCCTGGTATCCTGAATAATATCTACAGGACTCTCCTCCGTTCTCAGTCACAGTTCAGTACTTGATAGTGCATGATCATGCTGATTAGATGAATTCATTTAAAGATGTAGCATGATTGAAATAGTGAGGTTAAGTGTTTTATTGCTGATAAATGTTGGTTAGAGATGGAGGACTATCCAGAGCTTTTGTCAGGTTGTTATTCTTACAGGAATTTTGTGCCCATGAATATACAAACAATTTGCCTCGAGGCTTTTAACTCAATTTATTCAAGGACTGTTTTTAGCTGTAGATGTTTTTGCAGTTAGCCTTGTTCTTGTAATTTGAGAGCTTTTTTCTTCTTGTCAGGTACTTACTGGATCGACCCGAACCTCGGCTGTGCTGCTGACACCATCGAGGTGACGTGTAACTTCACTGGTGGAGGGCAGACATGCCTGAAACCCATCACAGTATCCAAGGTACGTAGACAAGACCACCTCAGGAGCTTGTTATGCTTGTGCGTGTCAGATCTCCTCATGTTGTCTGAAGACCAAAGAATGAATCAAAACGCTTTGGTGTAATCCTGTTGATTTAATTAATAAGGACTCAAATCTGGACCTTTCCTCGATTTACTCTAATCTGGAGCTTTTTTGATGAATAGATTTTGTTATTAATTCTGAGATGTCCCATTTCTTTCAGTTAGGGAAGTCACATTTAAGAGCTCTCTCTGGAAACTCTTTAAACACTACATAAAATAAGGACTGTCTTTTCTGGAGGGACAATGTGGGATGCAGATGGAGATAATGACTAACAAATGAGAGTCTGTTATCAGCTCCTGTAATCAATTATCAGGTTTAAGAGTTTGTTTTCGCCAACATCTGAGTTTCATTTCTCTGTGATCAAGTTTCAATTGTTCTCAAAGATTTGCAACACACGCCAACACCGGCCGTGTGAGGCAGGTGAAATAAAAGGTGACATCTCAACCCACCCAGCAGATCTCTGCAAGGTCACATCAGAGATCAGATGAGCACTGATCATTAAAATGAACTGAAAATAATGATAAACAAATAATATATAATGACATGAATAAATGAAATGACAAACAAGGCAAACACAAGCGAGCAAACGTCTTTCATCAGAGTGGACTGAGATAAGTTAATATTCATGCCAGTTCTGACCAAGCTGAGTCATTATTTAGTCCTTTATGTGACCTACATTTCTGCAACTACCTGTTTACCCTCCATCACCCTGCCGATAATCCATCTACTGACCTTAAATGTCAAAATAATCACCCTGAATGATTTCAAGAGGATTTCATTGGTTAAAGTTTAAAATCTGTACAGATTAAGAAATAAGGTGTTTTAGGATCAAACAGGTCTTAGGACTTTTTGAAGAGGAACTTTAATCTAAGGAGTTTCTCATCAAGGCAACATAACTCACCCATCTAAAAAGGTTCCAGGAGCTAAAACAGTTTCTACTTTGGATCTTTGGCTGGAATATCAGAGTTGACTTTTCTCCTCCTTCTCCTCTAAGTACAAATGCACGTGTTCTGAATGTTGGTGAAGGATCTGTCATTGAAGCTGTTTTTGTTGTTATCCTGATCCTTTAAAAAAACATCTCTCACTCTACAGTTGGAGATAGGAGTGGGCCGTATCCAGATGAACTTCATCCACCTCTTGAGCACAGAAGCCGTGCAGCACATCACAATTCACTGCCTCAACACCCCTGTGTGGGCAGCAGGACCTTCCCTGCAACTTTCACCAACAGCTGTGGGCTTCAAGGCCTGGAGTGGGGAGAAGATTCAGGCCGGGGACCTCCTGGAGCCGCTTATACCCAGGGACGACTGCTGGGTATGTACTGTCACTGCTCTGGCATGGATTTAAAAGAGCACTCAGATTTTGGAGACTTTTGGCTTTCCTTGTGTAAATATTTCAGCTGAGTTGCAGGAGATTTGTTTGAAGGTAATCTTTAAAAGTAACAAGCTGTTGCTTTGCAGGATGTTCATGCTCTTTGGTATGGAGACATTAAGGAGTCTTTCTTCTAATTCTCCCAAACCTCTGAATCTTTAATATGTCTATTTGTGGACTGATTACAAAAGTGTAAATAAACTTCAAATAGCTGCTGTTTTTTGTTTCTCCTCCAATCCAGCTCTAACTCCAAACTTCAGCCCACAACGTTTACAACGTTTGTCCTTGCTTACCTCTTGTGGGATCTGGCCATGAAGATCCTTTCGGTTTGATTTCACCAGTTTAAAAAAAAGACATCTGTTAGTGATCTCTATCTGCCCACAACCCAATACACTGTCAGTTAATGCAACCTAGTTTGACATGCACATGGCAGCATCCCTGCTCTTTTGACTAATCCACAGACTTCACTGTCCACATTTCTTGGCAGAAAGTTGCTCCAAAAAACTGCGAAGACGGAGAAAAAGTCTGGATTATTCAGAGAACTGGGGCTTTGTTTTAAAAAGAGTCTGTGCACTTTCTTAGAGAACATTGAGTCTCCTGAATCATCTCATGTCCCACTTTCACTTTCAGATCAAAGATGGTCGCTGGCACAAGACCCACTTCATCTTCCAGACCCAGGATCCAAACTTACTCCCCATCGTGGACGTATACAACCTCCCGACCACAGAACCCGGGGCCAGCTTTCACCTGGAGGTCGGACCTGTGTGCTTCTTATAGCCCCACCTCGCTAAGGGGTCAGGATCCTTTCTCAAAGGAAGTGACTGCATGAAGGAGCGCAGATGCCGGCCTTTCCTTCAAATATGCTCGGACTGCAGAATCAGGAGGGGGGCACCAGAGACAGAGGTCCTGGTGATGAGTGCAGAAGAGACTTGCAGCACTAACCAGCCTATGGAAAACAATAATAAGCTTCTTTTTCAGAGACTTGTTTGTGTCATACAAGACCTGAAGCACCCGAGCGGGAGTGATCTGAAGCTGTCGGTGTGTCATCTCTTGGACCTTGTTGTACCATATTTTGTTCATAGTGAAGTCAGATTTTTTAAAAGTGCTTCTCTGAAAAGTTCTGTACAGAAACATGGAGCAGTCCCACCTGCAAATGCAATGGTTCCTATTTTAATGTGTATTATTTATACCTGTATATGTGCTGTATATTGTAATATAAAGGGCAATGGTTATTGCTCCGCAGCCTGTAGGCGTATAAGAAAAAATCACATCACTTCACTCATTCAGGTTTACAGTGTGCCTCAGACACACAGGTGCACTGTCTCATGTCCAGGTAAGTCTTTTTGAGCCTCTGACAGCCACACAGTGCTGATAGTTCAGTTCATATCTTCACAAGGACGTCTGCTGTGCGGTGATTTCCACCTCAGAGTGGATCGAAGCTTTTCCACAGTGAGACAGAGAGAAGTGTGAAGATGCTACCTCATCTTACAGCGAAAAAAGACGTTACCTGGTGTAACCCTGGCTGATGCAGAGGTCACACCTGGTGCTCGAACAGCTCTTAGCTACTTTTATTCTTGACAGAAAAAGGGAAGATTGTAACATATATGATCTACACGCAGGCCAAATCTGTTAAGTTATATTGTCATGCTAGTATTTTCAGTCATCTTTGTAACACCTGACAGAGTCTGAAACTATAAGTGAAGTTTTGTATGTTCATATTAATGCAGACTTTATTATCTATGGGGTTTCTATTTAAAGTTTATTTAATTTCTCATTAGCTTTCTACTTTAAAAGCAGGTATCAACTAGAGTTTGATGACACTTAGAGCTTTCAAGATTCTCCAGTCCGTCTGTCTTGGTTTATTTACTGTTTTAAAACAATCAACTGTACTTTAGGACACGACCATCCTTTTATTTACTGTCTCTTGATTGTTATTCAAAGGTGCAGCAATGATGGTTGGTTCCACCAATCAGTAAACTCAGAGGATTTCTTACAATACGCAACAATAAACTACCGTGGTACATGTAGTCACAGGTGTTTGGTCTGTACAGAGGTATGATGTGGAGTGAATGGAGTCGATCGGCTCTTCAGGTAATTCAATAAAAGTCTAAAACCTTTTGTTGATGAGCAACTCTCTCCTTCTTTACATTACAAGTACGTGTTGAAGTGGGTAAACAAACCATCTACTTGTGATTTAACTTGGACAACAGCTCCAGTAACAAAGAGACTCTAATAATGAGACACAGGCATAGACTTTGACTTTAAAATCATTATATTGACCGACTGCTGCATCCTCACATACATCAACCTATCTAGGGCACATGGCGTGACGGCCCCCGTCGACAGGAAGATTCACTCCTGTGATGAAGCTGGCGGCATCCGAAGCCAAGAAAGCGATGCTGTGGGCTACTTCATCCACCTCCCCAGGTCGACCGAGGGCATGGGTCTGCTTAGACTTCTCAAGAAACTGATGAAGGATTCAAAAACAAAAGGATGTAACTGTTGGAGCTGTAGTGAATGATAATGACTGGTGTTCCACATGTTTCGGCCCCCAAATGTTTTCTTAATGAGGTGGCCAAAACATTAGGAACACCTTTATTTTATAACACACTTCAGTACACCATCACCGCTCTGTATGTCTTTAATAATGGCCACATCACTCATGAGGTGAAAATCTGGTATTGAGTCACCCCCACTGCACACAATATTTCTATTTGCAAGACATGCTTCATAGTGTTGCTTCAATGCGGTTGCTACAAATGATTTTCCGTGCAATCAGCTGCAAAAGTAGAAGCAAGACAGTATCTAAAGTGATGACAAAGTTTGAGACATTTTTGCAGGGTGTTACCTGTGTATACTGTACATCATCCAGTCCTGCTCTCTTGTGGACTTCTGTGATGATCACACCAGGACTGAGGAGAAGCAGCAGAATCAGGGACACATCACACAGCACAACATAAACGAACAACCGCTTTCTGCACTTTTTTGCATGTCTGTACTGACCAACTGTGACCATATTGGTTACTGGAGTTGAAATGCTTACCAGACAGAGTTCACTCTGACCTGCTTACATGCAAGCTCTGCAGGAAACAGAAAAATTAATTGTGTTTTTTCTTCTGGGGACTTTTGCTACATTGAACAGACAGTATGAGAGGAGAAAAAAAAAACACTCACCAAGTGCTATACAACATGTGAACTGATCAATGGCAGACTTAGACATGCAGTATGCCAGCACACCAGGGAACTGCAGAGAAGAAAACCACAGTGATGACAGCATCATGATGACACTTGAAACAGAAACAAATCTGAGTCCATCTGCTCCACACTCACTGATCTCTGTCCGTTCACACTGGACACGTTGACGATGGAGCCTTTGGTCTTGATCAGGTGAGGAACACAGAGGTGAGTCAGGTGGTATACAGATCTGGAACAGGGAGCAAAAGTTAGTGGACTGGACATGCCCACAGCATAACTCCCACTTTACAATGACTATTTCTCAGTTTTACAAAGATGCTCTCTCGATTAAAAGCAGACCTATCTATTATCTCACTTATAAGGAACACTATGTATCACATGCTTCTGTTTGAATCCCACCTGACGTTGACGTTCATGACCTTGTCGTACTGAGCCAGGTCTGTGGTCTCGATGCTGCCCATGGCCAGGATACCAGCACTGTTCACCAGGACATCCAGCCGGCCATAGTGAGCGATAGTTTGCTCCACTGTCTTCTTCACCGTCTCCTCATCAGTGAGGTCTCCGGGGACAAGCAGAGGCTACACACAGAAGAGTAACTTTTTTGTCTACTTTTGCTTTTTGGAGTTGTATATTTAATGCTTAACTACATTTAATATTAGGGCCAGACTGGTTATCAGCCTTTGATAATAATTGGTGATGATAATTGATCATATTTAAGAAGCAAAAGAACTTTATTAATCCCCAAAGGGAAATTCAATTGTCTGTTGTCTCCCTTGACACGTCTCTGTATATATACAGTGGATATAAAAAAGTCTACACACCCCTGTTCAACTGCCAGGTTTTTTTCATGTAAAAAAAATTAAATCAAGATAAATAATTTCACAACTTTTTCCACTTTTAATGTGACCTATAACCTGTACAACACAATTGAAAAACAAACAGAAATCTTTCAGGGAGGAGAAGTAAAAATAAACAACTGAGATCATGTGGTTGCATAAGTTTGCACACCCTTTAATAACTGGGGATGTGGCTGTGTTCAGATTTAACCAATAACATTCAAACTCAGGTTAAATTGGAGTCAGCACACACCTGTCACCAATTAAAGTGCCTCTAATCAACCCCAAATTAAGTTCAGCTGTTCTAGTAGCTTTTCCTGATATTTCTGTAGCCACATCTTCCAGCACAAACCATGGTCCTCAGAGAGCTTCCAAAGCATCAGAGGGATCTCATTATTCAAAGATATCAGTCAGGTGAGGGCTACAAAAGAATTTCCAACAAATTAAATATACCATGGAACACAGTAAAGACCGTCATCATCAAGTGGAGAAGATATGGCACAACAGTGACATTACCAAGAACAGGACGTCTGTCCAAAATTGATGATAAGACGAGAAGAAAACAGGTCAGGGAGGCTATTAAGAGGTCAACAGCAACACTGAAGGAGCTGCAGGAATTTCTAGTAAGTACTGGCTGTGAAGTACATGTGACAACAATCTCCCGCTGTCTTCATATGTCTGGGCTATGGGGTAGGGTGGCAAGATGGAGGCCTTATCTTACAAAGAAAAACATCAAAGCCCGGCTTAATTTTGCAAAAAGACATCTGAAATCTGTCTGAAATCAACTTTTTGGGCATCATTGCAAAAGGTATATTTGGCACAAAATCAACACTGCTCATCACCAAAAGAACACCATACCTACAGTGAAGCATGGTCGTGGCAGCATCATGCTTCGGGGCGTTTTTTTCTTTAGCTGGACCTGGGGCTTTAGTCAGGGTGGAGGGAATTATGAATAGTTACAAATACCGGTCAGTGTTGGCACAAAACCTTCAGCCTTCTGCTAGAAAGATGAAGATGAAGAGGAACTTCATCTTTCAGCACAACAATGACCCAAAGCACACATCTAAATCAACAAAAGAATGGCTTCACCGGAATAAGATTGAGACTTTGGAATGGCCCAGCCAGAGCCCAGACCTGAATCTAACCCATCGAACATTTGTGGGGTGATCTGAAGAAGGCTGTGCATAGGAGATGCCCTTGCAATCTGTCAGATTTGAAGCGGTTTTGCAAAGAAGAGTGGGCAAATATTTCCACATCAAGATGTGCCACGCTGATAGACTCCTACCCAAAAAGACCGAGTGCTGTAATAAAAGCCAAAGGTGCTGCAACAAAGTATTAGTTTAAGGGTGTGCATATTTATGCAACCAGGTTATTTTAACTTTTCTATTTTTTATTTTTCTCCTTAAGGGTTTCTGTTTGTTTTTCAATTGCATCATACAGGTTACAGGTCACATCAAAGGTGAAAAAAGTTGTGAAAATATTTATCTTGCTGTCATTTTCTTACATCACGAAAACCTGGCAGTTAAACAGGGGTGTGTAGACTTTTTATATCCACTGTATAAATACACACACGCACACACGCGCACACACACACACACACACACACACACACACACACACACACACACACACACACACACACACACACACATATATATATATATATATAACTTACTAGTTTTGTTTGGTTTCATCGACTTTGAGATTTTTGTGCATCACGTCACATATCAAGTCCTCTTAGTGTCTGTGCTGCTTAGTGTCACACACATGAATGCTGATGGTTATATTACATGTATTTGTTTAGGGAGGTATATTTTTAACCCCTGGGCACAGTTATGCTGTGCCAGACTTTACCTAGAACAGGCTGTACTGCTAACAGGGTACAGTCATAGCCTGTATACAGCCTATGGGTACAGTCCTTATATTAATGCCCTGTGTCAGAGTCAAACTCTGGACTTCACTCAGCCCCTCAGTCTTCTCGTCCTCTCTCAGTCCCACTGTGTCCTGTTACCTCAGCTCCTCCACACTCGGTACACTGTTGGGCCACTTTTTGCAGGTTTTCCACGTCCCGCCCGTTCAGGGCCAACAGAGCCCCGAGTTTAGCGAACAGGACGCTCGTGCCAGCTCCTATACCTGAGCTCGCGCCTGTTATCAGAGCCACTTTCCCCTTAAGGGAGGACACCTGGAAAACAAAAAACAGTTACCAAACCGCGTGATAGTGTCATACGGACTACAGTTTAGACCAAACTTGTATAGCAACTGAACAATAATACGAATATGACGAAATAACCGTAAATGGCTGTAAACTTACTTTAAAAGCATCGTCCGAGGACATGATTTAACGGAGGGTTGTTTGCAGTTTGTATGAACTTGCTATAGACAGCGGGACATGCTTCATCCGCTGGCGATGACGTATGAGTGACGATGATTTGTAGTTCAACAGACTACAACTCTGCTTCCGTGGAAAACCTGCAGCCACGTTTTAAACTGACCCTTCATAAGTGGAAACGTTGATATAAACGCAAAAGAACAATTATCTTATTGAGTAAAAATGATTATTAAAAAGTTAAAACTAAAAAATTACAATGTATTTTTTAAGAATTGATTATAATAATAAATCATAATACACAACAACAGCAGCAACAACAACAACCACAATAACAATAATGATAATAATAATAATTAGAATAATAATAATAAATAGAGTAATGGTATAAAAAATTAGATTTCAATTATATTTGATCAACTTTAATGGCAATGGCCTTTAATGTGATAACCTGTCATAACCTAAAGTAACAAAACCTGCATAGCAATTTTTTTACTGACCGTTGAAGTGCAGCTCACACTGCAATGCTTTACATTTGACACAAGTTTTCTCTCACTCGCTAGCCGATTGTCTTCACTGGTGCTGTATTGCTTAGGTTTTCAGGATGTCATTTAACATTAGCAGAATTAAAAATAACATAAGAAAAATTACTAAAATAATGGTAATAAATTTACAATTCTTGATAACCAACATAAATTATTCTTAAATAACTTTTATTATCACAGTACCATCATTTTTTTTAAATTATGTAAATCTATAACAAAAATGTCTGGATAATTATCATTCTAATGGATTTGATACTCTGAAATAATGAGTTTAACCATATTTAAGCCTTGCATAACACTAACTGGACACTAATTTTAAATAAATTATCTTTAATAACCCATGGTAATTATAGCTGTAATTACTATAATAAAATGATAATTACATACGTATACAATTTTATTAAAAGTTTTATTTAGTAAAAAACAAACAAACAAACAAAAAAAAACCCCACTGATAGTATTTACACAAACTTTTCTGAAGAACATCAGAATTAGTTTCACATTTTTACACAGAGAAAATCATAGCCAGAAAAGTTTTTCTTTTTACTAAATAGTGAATGTATAAACAGTAAAAAGAAAATAACTTGTTCACAAAGTATTCATCAAATCAAGGGAAGTGAAAATCAAATGTAAGCCTTTTGTTGAAATTAATAATCATGCTGCAGAGAGCATACTGGTGTTTTTCTCCATGATTCATAATCTCACACTGTTTTATGGACGATGACAGTTACACAATCTGTCATAATAAGCTGATGGAGGAGTATAACTCTAAAGATGACTCTGTGTTTTATAGTTTCATGGTCAGCATTCTGTTGGTTACACTGTTCAAAATTTCCACTGGTTTTTCCACACCGTAAGCATTGAGATGTTGGAGATATCCACAACAGCATGTGTCAAACCCTTCTCTGCGTTTGTGTAGGGGGAGCTGTTTATCCAGCAAAGGGGTTGGCATGAATCGTCACGTCTTTTATCCTGGTTTCAGTCAGCGGTCTGAAGGTCTTTTCATTGACGGGGAGTTTCTCCAGCTCATCCAAAGTTTCCAGGCCATCAATAATCCTAAATATCAAACAGATTTAAATGTCAGCAGCAATCACAAATCCATTAAACAGCAGAGTATCCTTTGTTACACCCCCCAGAACAGCTTCTATCTAAAAAGTTCCCATTTGAGGACACAAAGGTTGCATACTTTCCAAACACAGTGTACTTCATGTCCAGATGAGGCTGTTTGCCATATGTGAAGAAAAACTGGGAGCCGTTTGTGTTGGGGCCGTTGTTTGCCATTGAAACTACTCCTCTGACGTTATGCTGCAGGGAGAAGAAGGTGAAATTAGAGATGACGTCAATGACATTTGTGAAAGTGATTAAATAAACAGGCCAGATTCTGCAGGTACTAACTTTCAAGTGTTCACTGAACTCATCTTCAAATTTGCGACCCCAAATACTCGTCCCTCCTTTGCCTGTACCTGAAACAGAGGAACGGAGAGTGAGCACAGTAAATCTGATACTTCAGGACAGACACAGCAGGTACCGAAACTTTAATAACTCACCAGTAGGATCTCCAGTTTGTACAATGAAACCTTTAATGTTTCTGAGGAAAACACAACCATTGTAGAAGCCACTGGCACACAGAGCGAGAAAGTTCTGCATATGGACAGATAAAAATGTACAAAAGTTAAATATTTCTGCTGAGAGTAGTGGAGAAACGGGACCGACTATAACTGATGGTAATAATTATTCTCCTAAACTCACCTCACAGGCTTTTGGAGTCCGTTCACAAAACAACTCAATTTTAATATCTCCCAATTCTGAGTGAAGAGTTACAGCCTATAGAAATGACAAATAAGGGAGGAAACATCATTGTCATTGAACTATATTACTTCATTCATTCTTTGGTACCGAGTTTAGCTTGGCCTGATACCCTGACTGCGAATATAAAGCTTTTAGAAAGAAGTTAAAGCGAATATTCACACACTTATCGTCGTCAAACCACCTTATATTATTAAACATTCTTAGTCTTATTTGTGTTTTTCATATTATCGGCTGATTACGGGAAATATATGTAAACATGAGTTACCATTTCAAACGTTGCGGCCACGAAACGGTGCGTCGGAGAAACATGTCCGTCTTGATGCAGCGAACCAGCAAGGAAAGGTTCCGCTGTGACTGACAAACGCCTCAAAGCGTTTCACATGAAAGAAAGGAAAACTACTATAACTAATAATAAAGCTCATTACCATTTTAACTATTAGTATAATCAATATCATCATTGTTTATTTTTATTGTCATTGTTATCAGTTTTTATTATTATCATGTTTGCAGTCTTAGGTTATTATAGGTTTTTGCATTTCTAAATGCTTTTGTTACAAAAGTAAATTAAAAAACTATTAAGATCTAATCATTTGTTCTATAGCTTTATCTTTTATTATTACAATAAAATCAACAATAATCATTATAATAGATAGGAAAAATAAATAGGCACCGGGTGAGTATAGACTTTCTACTACACTGACGCATTGAGGAAAAATAAAAAAGGTTGCATCAACAGCATTCAGCAACCAGTTCCTAGTGGTAAAGGCTGACCTTGACACAGACTTTTAAAGGAGTGTCCAGGCATGATTTACTGTGGCTTACCTCAAACCTTGGAGGGTTATCTTCATTTCACATCCACTTTAATTTCTAATATTAAAGAATCTGAAAGGTCTTACATTTTTTTGCATTCAATGTTTAACTTTAGTAACTCACTAGAGAGGAAACATAAACTAGTCAAAATTCAAAAAGATATCCACCTAGACACATCATTTTGGTTAATGTGCTTCAAAGGACAGTGGATAGGAATGGTACATATCCTGGACTGAAATGCTCCCTTGCTAACCCTTACCATTTGTGAGGCAATGGAGACCTTGGAGGACAAGATATTTCTGCCATTTCCGTTCAGATTCTGTAAATGCCTGAACTTACCGCATACTCTACCATTACTTATGAGTGCACACACAAGTAAAATGACAGAAAACGACACATTTGGTCAACCGAGTTTATTCTGTGTTATCTCTAGAGGACAGTGTGCAGGAGAGGCTGGGACACATGTTCAAACATAATACTGTCACATGGTTCATTTTAATACAGACGAGTTCCTTATTAATAGGAAAAATATTGGAACTAAATAATTTATGAGGTCAAATTAGTACATGATTGGGTTTGAGTTGGACACTGAATATCACCAGGAAACAAAGAAAATGTACCCAAAGATAATGACTTAAAACACCAGGGTGAAAACGTCTCAAAGTCAACACACAGACCCACACACACACACATAGATAAAACACTCACACTCTTTTCTGTTCTAATCACAATGAAGACAAAATATTCAGAATAATAATACAGTGTAACTCACATATGGTCACTGACAGAAATGCTGAATCAAAGTAAAACCCAGTGGTTTCTTTCGAGCACAAACACATTTGAGTTTGAAACCAGCAGCCAATATTAAATACACCAAACTAGAAAAGAATGTATAGAAATGCATATAAAACTGTAACTGTATAAAACGGTTTAAATTAATAAAAATACCAGATGTAATAAAAATAGGCAATAAACTCATTAAAGGAGTGAGTGCTAGCTGGTTGTCCTGAGAAATTTTGTTATATTTTAATCATAGTAATAGCTGTCAAATGAAAACAAAAACGAGGGAAAATGCAGGAAACACAAGGATTAAGGATAACTGGGAATTAGAGCTAATCATCTACTTCTTTCTACTTTTCTAGAAACCTATACAACACAAAGTGATGTACTGACCGTTGAAGTGCAGCGCACACTGCAATGCTTTACATTTGACACAAGTTTTCTCTCACTCTCTAGTTGATTGTCTTCACTGGCGCTGTATTGCTGAGGTTTTCAGGATGTCATTTAACATTAGCAGTTGAGTAAATAAAAGTGAAACAGCTTTTCTATCTTAAGTCTTCAAATAAAACACATTTTAATTAATGAGGGCTTGACCGATTATCAGTGTTTCTTACAGCTGATATGAACAATTGAAGTTCCTGTGAGGAGTTTTTTTTATTATTGCATGAATAGACTGAAATTCATACTAATGCCCCTTTGTGATATTTAAAAGCAAACAAGAACATCAGCTACAAGATTAACAATTTTTATCTTAATGCCTAGAATCAGGGCGAGGGAGTTGGTGTCAGCCGAGCAGCAGTTTCTGTATCAAATATTGACGATAAATGATAAATGATTGATTTGACAGTCAACAGTCAGCAGGATGAGTTTTTCAGTCAGAGGATGAGAGTAGCAGAGGCTGCTTCGTCCACAAGGGGCGCCAAATAGATAGTTCCCCGCAGGTGCTTTACTTATAAAGTTCAATAATATTGATCTTACGTCCTGGTTTCAGCCCAAAACACCAATATCAGACGACACTTATTTTCAATCTCAAGGCTGGCAGTCATTTCGTATAACTTTCCATTGTTTCAAAACAAATACTTTTTTAAAGGACTTTTTGACTGATTATGAAATGGTCTGAGCCAGTGATTCGTGACTTTTTATGAACCATTTAAAGCAAATAAAACAATTAACATTATGACAGGTTATCTCTTTGTTGATTTTTTATAGAGTGAAACTGCTGCTGGGGGTTGGGAGTCAGGAGGAGAGATAAACTTTAAAAGAAACATTTTTGCTTTTAAATCAAAAGGGTAAAATCAGCTACAGAACTAGAGGTACTATTTTGTCTACAGGGGGTGCCAAATTGGATACAGTTTTGGAAATACCCTTACAGGTGCTTTGATACATAAAGTTGAGTCTAATTATTTAAATTTACCTAACTGTGTCTTGTTGGAGAGGAGCTATAGTGCAAAAGCATACTTTTTTGACCACTTCTCCATCATCTCAGTGGGACTTTAGTCTTGTCCGTGCAAGTGAGGGGACTAACTGAACTTTAACGTGGTTTAAATAAAGACGATATTGCACATTACAGCATAGTTTAACATGTGACTGAACAGATGTACATGGCTTTGGCTACTTCTATGCTTCCAGACGCAGTTATCTTAGTTTGTATTGCTACTGTTTTGTTTTTTTTATCTTGGTGATAACAAAATCTGTTTTTCTTTTTCAGGGGGGGAAACAAAAGGACCCCCATTGTGTTATTGTGCTGAATCAGAGCTGTGCATTGATCTCAAATATCAGATTTTCAGTAAGCACTGTGCTGCTTACTGTGGCAAAACAACAAGAGCAGGAAAAGTCACTCTCGGGCAAAAAGTATCCCACAAATTAGGCTTTGAAACCAGAGAAAAGGAGTTAGAAATTAGACGTCCTGGTGTGAAAAATAATAAAAGGAAAATATAAGACAAAAATCATCTTGTTTTTCTTACCATGATGTAAAATAGGTCAAATTTGACATAAAATATCACACAAAGAAAAATGTTTTCAAACACTTACATCGCCTTAAGTGTGTACATAAATTACTGTATATGAACCACCTCATTATCTCATATTTCAAGCTTTTCTTCCTATAGTATTTCCCAGTCAGGGGCTGGTTTCCTTAAGAGGTGAGTGTGTCCGACACAAACAAATGAAACTTTCTCTTATATTATAAACTTTTCACAAATACTCCCAAGTATTATTTCAATATCTAAGACAAATAAAACCCTCTGGATAGTTGAATTAATTATGAATGAGTCCTTCTGACTTTCCCACTCTCTGGGAGTTTTCAGCAGTTCAACACAGCATGGGTTAGGGGAGTTTAAAGGGATATTTCAGAGTTTTTAAAGGTTGTATTAGCCACAGTGGATGCGGGTCAGTGCAGCCCCTTTGCTGCCGAGAGAACCTGCATGCAAGCTAAGCAGTTTACAGTTTACAGCAGACGGATCAAGTCTGCCACGAATCAAACAGACTTTCTGATGGCAGAGTAAAGAGTTGGATCAAGTTCTGTCTACAGCATATATGTAGGGTCCTGTTTCTACCAGCAGTTTCTCATTAAAGCTGCTGGGCAAGATGTAATTCACAAAACCCCTGGTAAAAATACTGGAATATCCCTTTAAACTGCACCAGAGTATGTGTCTCTATAAAACAAAGTTAGCACAGGCAGCATCATAAGGTGAGGCTCTAACAGATAAGAAGGTCTCATTTGTCACCTCTGGGACACCGTATGCATCCGTCTTTATCTTCCCTAATAAATTACTGGTGTCAAGTATGGCCACTTGTGAAAAGTCAACAGAAAGAAAATAAATCTCTTATTAAATAGTAGAAGTCTAGTGCAGATTTACAGACAATTATAACAAATGTGTTGTGAACCCTCAAAATGCCACAATAATAATAGTAAACAAAAGAACAGACACAACATGGGAGGAGTGAATCCAAGTTAAGGCAACTGACCTGAAAGCTATGGCTCTGTTTATCTTTCTTCCAGTGACAACTTAATTACATTTCTTTCCATATGAGGAATGTTGCTTACTTTTTTCATAAAAGCTAAGATTAAATATTATACTAAAGTCTCAGAAACGGCCACTTTGGACCTTATTGCAATTGTCTTAATCTTATAAGAACTAAATCCATTTTAAACTTATTTTAAAGCTTCTGTGAGGAGTTTTTTGACGTTGATGAAATGGACTGAAGTTCACGATGAAAGATTTGTCAGTCAAAAGTCAGCAGAATGAGATTCTTTGTCAAAAGATGTGACTTAAACATGTAGAGGACAAGATAAGCAAAGACTGCTCTGTCCACAGGGGGGTGCAAAAGTTGACACAAGCATAAAATCTCTCACAGGAGCTTTAAGAATCTTATTTAGCAATTTCAATATCTTTAAATAAAAGTGTCTGTAATAATCCCACATTCTATCAAGGTAGATTTGTCACACTAATCTTAACCGAAAGTTACTTTGTTCGGAGGTTAAAAATGGATTTAAAATAAAAGACACATTAAAACTCAAAGATCAGGGCAAACAAGCCAACCAGTGCTTACTTATTTTTCTCCACAGCAAGTTAAACCTATCTAGAGTTTCAGGTGAGTGTTGTGTAAGTTTTAAACCTCTTACATACACATTGAGGCGCTAAAATAATGAGTTAAACAATGTCATTATCTTCTGTGTAAAGTTGTTCATTCATCTGACGCAGACATAATCAATAGATTTCAAAACCTGTCAGCATTATTTCCACATTTGTTCATTGTGTTTTGTGCAATTTAGTACAAACAAACCATGTGGATGCAGCATGGCCATAAAAAAAAGGTTGGACTCAGTCCTCCTGAGCAGCAGTGTACTGGCAGTAAGTGTCGGGTATCTTGGTGCTGATGACATGTTCCACTTCTGTATTTGTATTAAGGTGATGTTTTGTTATGCTTTTCCACTGGGAAGCATGTTGTGGAGTAATCGCTTCTCCTCAAGTCAAACACCCGAAGAACATTCCTCCCAGAAAGAGGCCAACGAGCCCGTCACTTTGCCAAACTCGCTCCATGTAAGGACCAAACTGTCTAGCCTGATTCCAAAGACAGTGGACACCCAAAGACAGATCAGCATCTTAGTGTTTACTCTTTTGACAGTCTACTGAATGATCGTAGATATGAAGACCATAAGACTAATTCATTTGAAGGTTGTCAAGCCTCAACAGCAGAAAGCCCACAGACCTCATTTACCAACGTCGTCTGATTTTTCTTTAATTTGTTCTTCAGAAAGTTTCTAAGTGGTGACACGCTCCCTTTCAGCTCATTATAATCGGGTCAAGTCCTGGTTGACCTATTTTGTATCACTCATTCAGAGGGGCAAGCATCAGAACCACTGCTTTGTCGTCAGGAAGAGATGAAGTAAAATATAAGTAATATACTCTTGTACTTATATTAGTTCAAAATCAAATTTCTTATGCTTATACCTGCCAAGATTTTCTTACATTTATACCAAAGTGTTAAGTTTAGACTTATTTTTAGAGCAAACAATGCATGATTAAAAAGGTTGAAAAAAATTAAAACACATATTTTAGAAGGTGCTAAATGAAGGTTAACACAGTATTCAATAATACTGCACGGACATATTAGCACACAGACTTAGTCAAGGGTGCTCTTGAGTATTTTCAGATTGTTTTGTAGTAACGTTGATTAATGCCGGTCATCTTAAAATTTCAAAAAGAACACATTTCTTTTCAAAGACGGTTAATGAATGAGGCCCAATGACAGCCAGAGTTAATGATCTTTATAAGGTGAGACCTGGACCACAGCTGAAGCTTCAAGACCACCTCTAGTCTGATCATACTTAAGAGGATTACTGAAGTACATGTGTAGCTTGCTTGTGGATGGTATCCTCATCCCATAAAAACAAATGTAACACACTGCATTTAAATGTAGTTAAAGAAATGAGCACATATTTGCATAATTATGTAACAAATGGAGAGCCAGACTTTGATCGTCAGGATTTTCAGGAATCTTAATCCTTCATGTGGAGTAAGGATTTGGGTCAAAACTCCACATAAGAGGAGTAAATGAGAATAAGGCAGGGAGAGCTCATCTGTCGGAGAACAACAGCAGACTGAGGGGTCGCTTTCTTCAAGGGTTTTTCTGTGCAAAAGAAAGTTTGCAAGAAGTTTTGCATATTTAAACTTCACCGTGAAAAGGCGTAACATGTAAACATGCCCTGGATCACATCGTCGCTGCATTATTGCTAAGAAGCGTCGCTCACTTGTATTGAGTAGGCTGGACTGCACAGAAAAAAAAATGAAGAGGCTGTCAGTATTTTGGTTTTGCTAATCTGTCCCTAGTTCTGGATACCCAACCTTACTGCCAGTACACTACAGCAGGTCCACCGCCTGATTCAACCATCCCTCTAGGACAGTTCAGGCGTTCCTCCAGTGTCAGGGCCCAGCCTGTCAGTATCTGTTCTCACTCACAGCCACAGACCGGGTCAAGCCTGCTCTTTCTCAACTTTCCACAACTGTTCCTTGACCTCTGTGGGCAGGGTGTTGAAAAGGTCCTCCTCCACCACAAGACCGGCTCTCTTTAGCTGTCTGCACTCGCCCAGCTCCACGGGCAGACACTCCAGACGGTTTCCTCTTAGTTCCAGCTGTGTCAGCGCGGTCAGCTCTCCAAACCGTGACGGCAGAGACTGCAGGCAGTTGTTGCCCAAGTTCAAAGTGCGGAGCTTCTTACACTGGAACAGCTCGTTGGGTAGGGTCTCGATCTATATTTCAGGGTGGGGAGGGCGTTGGGATGGGACAAAGAGACAGAAATCAATAATCTAACTGCAGACCAGCTGTTGTAAACATGGTTATTCTTGTCAATGAATATGAAAAAAACTAAAATGTCAAAAACTTTTTCATTGACTGAAATAAAAACAAAAACAAAGCTTTACAAAACACCCAAAAACTGTGGGGGGCTGCTGGCCCGGCAGTCTATGCTTGCATCCTCTGTACAGAGGTGATGCCCCTACAGGTTTACTTCCAGCCAACATGGCCCCACTCCCTTATGTCACTCCTCGCTCTCTTCCAGTTTCCTTCTCTGTCCACTGCCTTTCCTCTCCAAATAAAAGTAAAACAGCCCAAAAATAACTTGTGGATGAATGAACCAAACAGTGAAGAGGAAGATGAAAGAAAGCAAATGGGCAATCCACATTGGCTTAATTTGAGAGAGAGTGGCGCTCTACATGGACTTACACCCTCAACAAAGTGTCGAGAGGTTCTCTATTTCTTTGCTACAGTATGTCATTTAGTGATTTTATTCTATCCCAATTACGCTGTGATTGAAGGAGCCGGAAGTACTTTTTGATTATATTTTAGTAGTTTTTTATTCTGTAGTTTGTAGTTTGTTACGTTTGTTCTGTAGTTGAATTTCAAACTGGATGTCATTGGCTGGCTGCAAAACAAATAATGTAACCTGAGCCTGAACATAAACCTGTCTTTGACTGTAGTCCCCTCAGATCCATCAGCTGAGTCCCAAATCATGGACTCAAGGTGAAGTACATGAACAAGCAGGGGTGTGAGTCCAGACCTCTTGGACTGGGGTGACCAACACCAATAAATAACATTTATTATTGCATCTGTGTTGTAACATCGGTCATATGGTTAATAGCCAACAAAGATGATGTTGTAAAGGGATATTCCGGCGTAAAATTTAGTGTCAAACACACCATAACATTGAGTTAGACACCCCCTCCAGAGATGAATGTTGCCGACCGGTTGCTTCTCTAGTTATACCAACTTTAGTAATGACCGCAGTATAGCAATACACAGCGGTCTGAGGAGCCATAAACAAACCTCAACCAAAACCACTCAAGCACTCTTTTTCTTCATGGAAATGCAATCAGACTGAGACGCTAAGGCATCATTAATGTTCTTCCTTGAGCTGCGTCACCCTGCAGCAGTCCGTAATGGACTGGCCTGAGGTCTCACTACAAACAAGCGGCTGCTGGAAGAGAGTGGGTGAGTTGTGTTAAGTCTCTTTGCTAAAGAAATCAGGCAAAGCTAAAAAGATGTATAGTGGCTAACTAGTGCTATGGCTAGGACCCTATATGTACTGTTGATCAAGTTAGGCGCTGTTCTGAGCATTATTTGTGGTTATAGAGTGGCGTTTTGGTTAAGGCTTGTTTATGGCTCCTCAGACCGCTGTGTATTGCTATCCTGCGGTCGTTACTAAAGTTGGTATAAATAGAGAAGCAAGCGGTCGGCAACATTCATCTCTTAAGGGGGTGTCTAACTTGGTGTTACAGTGTGTTTGACCCTAAATTAATTTTACGCGGGAATATCCCTTTAGGATGTTTTTGTATCCCATATTACAGAAAACTTAAACTTGCACTAAAACCAAGAAAAAATAAAACCAAACATTTTCAAAAAAAAAAAAAAAAAGTAAAACTCCAGCCTTAAAAACGGCTCATGGCTAAACTGAAATCAAAAACAAGGAAGCCAAAATGAAATAAAAGCAGATGAAGAATACAGGACTGTTATAACCATAAAGGACTGACCGAGGTAGACAAGGGTAAAAAAGTGAAGGTCTTACCCTGTTGGCTGTCACTGCCAGGTACTGCAGGTTCTGCAGGAAGCCAATGTCTGTGGGGATGTAGATGAGATTGTTATGGCTCAGGTCCAGGAAGCGCAGCTTGCGGCAGTAGAACAACTGGCTGGGCATCTTCTCAATCTTGTTCCTGTTCAGGTACAGCTTCTCCAGGTTGGTCAGCGTGCCAATCTGGATGGGAATATAGGCGATCTGGTTGTACCAGAGCTTAAGGCAGACCAGCCGGTGGAGGTGCTGGAAGCTGATGATCTCCTCGATTGTTTTCAGATTGTTGTCCTTTAAATCAATCTCCTGCAAGTTGTGCAAGCTGAAGATCGAGTGTGGTATGCGCTCGAGATCACAGCGAATGAGCTCCAGTTCTGTCAGGTTCACCATCTTCTTCAGGCTGTTCAGAACCATCAGCTTGGTGCCTTCGTTGTTGATGGAGAGCTTCTGGAGGTGCATGCCCACATCGGTCACCACCTGAGGTAGCTTAGTGAGATTACTTTTCAGACGAAGAACTTTGAGGCTCTTGAGCTCTCGGAGTCCATCGATGACGATGTATCGGTTATTCTCCGCGCTGAGGTTCCCTGTCAGATGAAGTTCACAGAGGTTCTTCAAACTATAAATCCACAAAGGGATTTCTTTGATATCTGTGAACTTGACGTGCAGAGACCTCAAGTTCTCACGCAGAAAAGCCAAGGCAGGAGCTTCGATTTTTGCCGGCGTGTGGTAGAGCCACATCTCTCGAAGGTTGACCAGCTGGGCGATGATGGGGGGTATGGTAACATCAGGAATTAGCTCCAGTTTGAGGACCTCCAGCTCCATCAGGTCAAACACTGTATCTGGAATACCACTCAGCATAAAAAGGTGCAGCTCCAACTTCTCCTGAGAGTTCTTGGTGATCCTCTGCCTCAGCTTGTCTAGCGTCCACTCGTTGTTGAGGTTGAGTTGCCTCAGTTTGTTCTCGCTTACTTCGGAGAGGAACACCGCAAAGCGCTTGGAGTACAGAGGGTCATACTGATCTATCATGTGCATCATGAACGCAAAGTCATTCTTCACGTCTGGTATGTCACTGTAGCTGCTCTCCTCTCGAATCGACTCAAAGGAGTACTTCTTCAGAGAGCGCCGGAGCATCCAGCAAAGAGTGTACATGCAGATCAAACCATACACCACCACTAAACTAATGTAGAAACAGGCCAAGATTTTAAAAAGTGTAGCCAAGGGGTGGGCACAGCGATACACGCTGTAACCTGTGAGGCTCTCTATATTCACCGAACAGTCAACGCTGAATTTGATATCATGCACATAATACCCTGTGTAGCAGATGATCAAAATGAACTTGATGACTTTGATGATAGTCTGACGGATGTACAGTCTGTACACAATGTCTCCCTCTTCCACATGGATACGAAACTTCTTCACTTTCTCAAACAGGGCTTTGGCCTGTTCGCCCTCTTTCTTGTCCAGAACTCCCGTTTCTGTCCTGTCCACAATGCCCTGCTCAAAGCGTGTCTTTGTCCTCTGCAGCATGGGCACGCTCGCTTCAACATCCTCACTGATCACAGACTCTTTGTGGTCCATTGAGCCGTTCATTTTCATTGGCTTCGGGTCACTCTCTTCTACCACTGTCTCAGACAGGGCTCTTGTTGTCCACGGGGAGTCGAAGCATTTCAGCAGGATGGATACAAAATGCTCTAGCTTGGAACTAGTCCGTGGGAATTTGAACCAAAAGTTGCTGCAAGCGAGGAAAATTAGGGTGTGGAGTAATACTAGGTAAGGAAAATACTTGGCAAACCAGTGCAATCTATTCTCATAACATACAGCATCCACATAGTTATACTGGTGGCGATCCAGATTGTACTGGATCCCTTTGGGTTCAAAGAATAATGAATTGGTGGGGGTTGCACTGAAGTTCTTCTTGCAGGTCTGATTGACGACCCATTTGCAGGGCAGGCAGATCATCTTGTCCTGGGTGACCTGCAGTGTCCCCCCAAACACGGAGATCATTAGCATGACGATGGAGATGTAGTCGGTGAATACGTCCCACCATGGTTTCAGGATGCGGTAGGCTGGTTGTGTATCCACAAAGTACCGCAGCTCAGTGATGGGGATCATGATTTAACTGTGGGGAAAAAAAAAACGACATCTGATTAAAGTCATACACTCAAATCTAAAGCCCTGGCAATCATTAAAAACTACAGCCTAGCTACATGAAAAGCTCACCCTGCCTTCTGCATGAACAGCCTGTACCTGAACCACAACACAACCACAAATCAATACTACACTGCTAACTAACAAGGTCATCCATCAGAGCATTGCAGACGCTTAATTTGAAGGCTGCCAGGAGTAATGAAATAGCGATTCCTGCGTGTTGTGACAAAGAATTGCCTGATTGACTTAACTGAGTGGGCTAGCATGTTATTGATTTAACAATTGTTCAACAGGCACGATTAATCTTGCTTCCAAAAGGAGGCCGTCAAACTGAAAACAGCATTTCAAATGTTTTGGCAAGATGACAAACCAGCCATCAATAGAGTATTAATAATGCTCATTTGTCGGCTGTTTAATTTGGTCTCAGGAAAAACGAGAAGGATAAATGGCTTGTCATTAGGACGCAGAAATTCAAACATCATACAGGCAAGGAGACGGCTGCTCTGGAAGTGCAGGCCAGCCATAAACATAACAAATGAGTGCATTAATAAAACAATCATTTCAGATCGGCTTAATCAAGAAAAATCCATGTGCTGATTGTTATCTGGAGGGCGTCCTAATTATCAGGGTACAATGATTCAACTTTTCCTCTTCTGGTGCTAATAATCCAACAAAAACAGAGAAATTCAAAGAGTAGGATAAGTGCTGGGATTAGATAAAATTATTTGTCTTTAAACTGGTGTTATATCTACAGTGATAAAGATACATATCAATACTAAATACTACATCAGCGGATTCTGTGTTCAGTTTCAGATGTAACTCTTATCTGTCTACATCAGATCAGCTCCACGCAGTGAAACGGATGAATAAAAGCAGCTGCTGATAATCTTCCATGCAGGCAGTCAGACATTTCTGCATTTAACTCAACAGGCAAAATGGCAACAAGCAGACATGAGAGTGATATTTGGTTGGTGTCTGGGGTACAGTCCTGTTGGTTTCTGAGGCAGAGTCACCACTGCAGCAGAAAATCAGAGAGGTGAGTGTGTTCGCAGGAAAAAGCACATCCTGGTTCTCGGCCTTGTTCTGGTTTTGATCATTTTCAGGATAAGGTTTTTATTTTCACATGCAGCAGTATGGGTTTTCATATTCCTGCATACATGATAAATATTTGTATCCCAGTTTCTTATCTGTGCAGATGTCTGCTATGTTTATGCTTTACAACACAAACTGAAGCAATGTGAAATCTGAGAAAAATGAGACCACTGTAGCCAGTCACAGGCTTTGCACTTTTAAACGCCAACATCAAGTTGCAGAAGCGGCACATCCACCTCATTTCAACTTCCAGCAGAGGAGAGCGACAGCAAATTGTGAGACCTGAGCAGGTCAGCATTCTCCGATCTAAACTCTCACTTATTCTTTCATTGGTGAAAGACCAAGTCAAGACCAAGTTTTTATCACTCAAGTCAGACGCTCTTTTTGCCACTATGTTTATTTGCTGATGCGTCACTTGGCTGAGGCTGTGCCTACTCAAGTGGTCTGCTGCTGTCAGAAACGGGTCCTGCTTTCTTACTGAGCTCTCCAGGTTACAAAATGGGTTTTTCTGAAATGGTTACTGTGGTTTCTATAATATGATGTGATATATAGGAGCACAAACACAAAAGTTATAAAATCTGGGGTTCCTCCAGTCTGTATAAATGCACCCAGTGAAAATGACAGAGATGACAGCTAACACTAACAAAGTTTGAGTATTTCTTTTGAGATATATTGTAACTACACAACTAAATATCCTAGTTGTTTAAAATGCAGCTACAGTTAGCACGGATAGCACCACCAGCCTACATGCTTCTCATTGTTCTGGTCAACTTGTTACATAACACTGAAACCAGACACAGCCTCAATACATATTTATCACTTTTTTTCTAGAAACTGCTAAACTGCGCTGAGGTTGAAGGATGTCTGTGCAGGTTTACATCCAGGTCGTACACTATTATGACACATTGGCATTACCGTCATTGGCTAGTAATTGTGGTGCCAAGTGCCAACCACTGAGGGTTATGAGGTTTAATCGCCTGGCAATCATCACTTGTCATATCACTCTTACAATTCAAGACCACGGTCCAAATAAGCAGTGATGACAGGGACACTGCAGGGAGCACAACTGCCTGTGTCAATGACTTGTAATTCATGGCAGTAAGCAAGAACCTTCTTTTACTTCAGTTTTGGGCAAATACTTCAATATAGAAATGCGTCAAATGGAGCTGTAATAATCTGCAGAAATACACACAGATGCATTGCTCTAAAGAGCTCAAGCTGTGTGATATTATTCTACACACTCTGACATAATAAACCTGACCACCAAAGACAGATTGCAGGCAGTCTGAATCACAGCAGCTCAGTACATTAGGCCATTATAAGTACTGATGCAAATCAATAAGCCGGGCTATGAAACTGATATTGCAAAATAAAATTACATACACTGTGATGTAGGGTTTTATGAGTATTGACCAACCCTAATTGAGAATAAATCACATGAATCTAAACAAAACTCCTCTCTGCACACAGGCAGCAAAATACATATATATTACTCATCCAAGCTGAGGGTGATATTCTGTAATTATATGCAATTTCTGCGTCCTGGTAATTAAAAGAACACATAGAAGGTAAGGTAGGAAGTAGTCTTACTTACAAATCCAAACTGTGATGCACCACAACTCCATGTATAAAACATCCAAGAGCAATCCACAGCTTCTCCTTTGTCACTGTTAGACATCAGAGCTTGATAAAACCCTCCAAGCCAACCTCTAGCCTTTAGTGAGTGCGACACACCCAGCATGCAAGCCTGAGGAGTCCCTCTTCTAAAGATGATGTTCCGTTTTGGCTTGTTTAACCCAAACAACACAAGCTCCAGAGGAGCCACCTTGCTCCCCTCCTCTCTATTCTTAGCTGTTTCCGTTAATAATACCCAGAGTATTGTCTGTGGGGGCCTTGAGAAGCACCTCCCGTGACCTTCAGGAGGAGATCCTGTTTACCTTACAGGGGCTGCTGTCTCCAGCTACTGTCTCTCTGGAATACCCGACTGTCACCTTTTGCAACCCCACCGCTCCCAACCACACACACCTACACACACACAACAACAACAACAGCCAGGAGTTGGCATTCATCACAGCTTGTACTTTGTTAGGAAACTATAAAGGCGAGGAGACGAGACGCCTAGTCTGATCCCCAGCCAAATGAGCACATTTAGGCTGGCTCCTCTTCAGAGGAAATTTTGCAAACACCACTATTCCAAAGCAGTTACATGGAGTGGGTAGCAACCAGTAAATACAGACAGTCATGGATAACATATCGAGAGCTTGTTATAGTGGAATCAGTCAGAATCATGACGGGGGAGCGGGACTCCAATGATGGGGGGTTTAGTTTATTTGACAGGGAACATCCAGACTGCTGAGCCAGAGTTAGCTATAAAGCTGATTTACATCTGTGGTCCCTGAAATAATAGTCCAAACCACTTGTCCCAACAGCTTAAAACAACACAAAATTTATAAGTAAAGGTTTAATCAGTGATCACATGATTGCTTTGAGCCGTGTTTTAGTTTTGTTTTACAAATACTGAAGTTTGTATAGTCCTTGGCGATAGTTGGAACTGGGTTCCACTTTCTGCTGCTCTAAAATAAAAAGCAGATTTGCCTAAAGCAATTCATTTAAATGTATCTGAAAAGTGACCTCTTGCAGATGCCCTGGTCTCCCTAGTACTGTGCTAGCTGAGTGACATACATTGTCTAAGTGGTGATGGCGCCTGATCATGAATTATTTTACACATTTGACACATACCTGCAAAACCACGAAAACTTTCAGATGTAAGTGATCTTAACTCCTCAATTTTTTAAATTAAGACAGATGGTTGAAAATGGTATAAAAGAGATTACGCCAACCTGGGACCAGTTCAAGCACAATTGGTTGAAAGTGAGTCTGTGAGCACTAACTGTACAGTTTAAAATCACAAATCACTTACAAACATATGCATCCCCTGTGTGTACTTTAATATATGTGAACAGTTTCACTATTTCCTGTTTTGTGTCATACAATTGTTTCAAATTATATGATTTTAGTTGCCATAGAGCTAATAAGAGATAATGGTGTACTATCCACTGTAGACCACTGCTATGGAGTACTGATCAATCAGGATAGAGTATTTAATACTGTAGTGTACCAACAGAAGATACTGACTAGTTTGGAGGGGTTATCTGTGCTCCAGAACTTGATGATGTCCTTGGTGGACAAGCCACTCTACGTGTATCCAAAACCCCTCAGGTACCATTGCCTCCGTCATTGCCATGGAGTTGAAGAGAAAACCTAGAAGAGACATTAAAGGGTCGAAATGAGGTTTTAGATGTTTCCAGAATACTGAGGTTGACCTACTTCACCAAAAACAGTCAAGGGAGTAACAAAAATGCTCATTATCAACCTATTACAAAGGTTACAAACACATGCTTAAATAGGCTGTTTCTCTGTGGGTTATTCCGCGTTATAAATGACAAGGGAGTTATCTGACACTCGTGTTTTTTCCACGGACGTGCCGATGCGGCTGTCGCTAACCTGGGATGTCTTTGTCATCTGGCTAAGTATCCGAGCACGCATAAAAAGTTAGAATAGTGGATTTATATCTACTGTAAGAAAATCTAAAGCGGCACATTACTTCTGGGTTGGCGCAATGGTTTCTAACTACACGGTGTTCACCCGAATAGTCGACAAAAAGCACACATTTAGAGTTGGAAACACGTTAGCAAACCGAGCTAGGCTAGTCTTAGCTTAAGCAGGTACATTTACTATCGGCTTTCTCCTGAAGTTTACATCCTCATAACACTGAAGTTAACAAGATTGTTAAGCACCTCTTGTGTGTATCTCAAGTGTTAACAGGTCGAACTTACTTATTCTGGCGTGCTTCGATTAAATCCAGCGCTGTTTGACTATAAATACTTGGTCAAAAAATATGTTCACCGTAGCTAGCTGTTTTCTCGCGTCACTCTAACCTCCAAACCGAAAGGTGGCGGTGTGACTCTATCAGAAAACGCAGAAGAAGAAAGCTCTTCCGGTCTCTCTTTCTGGGAGAGGCATGTGTATGTTATGAGTGTAAAGGGAAAGATTATGCTCTGACTGATTACACAACAGTATCAAATAGTGATTTCTATTTTAATTTCGGACATGTTGGCGTTAAACTCTTGGCGGATTTCGAGATCATCCCGGGCTTTACTGAAGCTGAGGACAGGGAGACAGGCTGTTTCCAAAGCTGTTACATGTTCAGGACACTGTATGTCTACCAGCTTCACCATGAAGGACACATGGCAAGGTAGCATGGACTTCACAACACGGGGGAGGGATAGACTGCACAGTTACAACAGTCTTCCCGTAAAATCACATAGGAGTTACTGTATAGGTCAAGCTAAACTGAGCTGCTGGAGCTGCAAACAGCCTCTGGAGGAAACACCAGCCTTCTTCTGTCTGTCATGCAACATGGTGCAGCCTCCTGAAGCAGAGACATCCTACTTTCAGATCATGGACTGGTGAGTCCCTCTTATCTTATAAACTCTTGTTTCCATGTCATTTTAACCATGTGTTCCCTTTTTATAGTGACTACACATTCACACTGGACACACACAAGCTGCAGAGAAGATACTTGCAGCTGCAGCGCTCTCTCCATCCAGACAACTTCAGCCAGAAATCTGCGGTAAGCAGAGGGATGAGAGGATGAAAGGGGAATCTAACTAGAGATCAGTTAAGTAACAGGGTTTATGAGTCAGCTGAGGCTGCCCTGCCTATTAGCAGGAAAAAGGAAATTAGGTTTGACTCTGTGTCCCTATCATGCCACTTGACTGTGCATTGTTTGATTTCTGAGTGTGACTCATCATTGTTTGGCAAAGAAAGGGACCCCAGGCATGGTTCAAAGATATGTTTCTTTTTAAAAAAACCTAAATGAGTGTGTGCCTTCATGAAGAAGATTTATCAACTTGCTCACTATAAAGGTGAGCAAGTTCCAAGAATCAATGCTGAATAAATGCACAAAGAAATGAAAGAGCATTTCTGAGAAAGGAGGAAGGATGACTCAAGAAAGGGCTGCAGTATTTTGTAACCAAGTAGCTCAGGAGCACCTCAGGTCCATTAGGCATCCCGGGTGGTTGTATTAGAGCCAGCTTGCATGATGCTAAGATATAATTAATCACACCAGTGCTTAAGTGCTATGAGATGACCATGTATATTTGATTTTAATGTGAGTGAAATAATAGATTGTATCATTAGGATCTAAAAACAATCACGATAATGCGAAATTACCATAATATATTAGCCATTGGTCACTCCCAGGGTGGTAAAAGTGTACTTACTCATGTGAATTTTTACATTATTTCAGGTAAAAAGTTGTATAAATTTTGATAATGTGACTAATCGCGGAATTTCACAGCTCACTGATTGATAAGTAACTACATGGATTATAAATAAAGATAAGGTTTAACAACATACTCATTAGCTAAAATGAGAACACTGCAAACAATAGCATACATTTCCTCCCAGTAAGGCTAACAGTTAAGTTTAAAAGTCACAAATAAAGAAAGAATAATGATTATTTAATAGATAAATACTTTGGGAATGTTTATGTTGGTGTCTATGTTAACATGGCGTTACATGGCTTTGTAACAAAACTATGTTACGGCCGTCAGTGTAACGCTTAAAATATGACCCTGTAAACCAGAGACTTTCGCCCTGTTACTATGACAACCAGATACTCATTCAATCGGAAGTTGCTGCCGGTTGCTCCTCAAACCGTAACACTGGTCACCTTTTTGCTCTTCAATCCAGGAGCAGGATGAAAAATTTCACTTGTGTACCTGCGATTTCATTTGAATTGATCTATAAATGGCAAAATGATGAGAAGAAGATTGAGAAAAGAGTGTTAGAAAAATCACAACAATTAGGGGTGTCCACTGTGCAACTTTTTAACTTTCGATACAATACTGATAATGTAGCCCTCAGTATTGGCTGATATCGATATTAATCCGATATTAGCATAAACTTGTGCATGACAAGTTTTGCACTCATCTGCAATGCCTTTTTCTGACTTTAGCAAAAAATACTGTCACACGGCGGACGTCACTTCGTACACACTGTTGTTGTGATCATGTGGGCTCTGCATTCTGGATTTGAGTGCTGCTGGATAGAAGTGCTGGAGCGGAGTCTGGAATGGACTGCTCACATCTAAGATTTTAGATTCAGGCTGATATAATCCGATATTTGTATTGTTTTTGCTGATATTGGACTGATATCCGTTATCAATGTCGTATGGGGACATCCCTAACAGCAACTTGATTGAAGATATCCCTGATGTTGGCAGTGGGACACCTGTACAGTATTGTCAGTAGCTATTTTGTTGTTAGTTAATTATATGGTGTAAAAATAGACTCCAACATAAATATTAAATCTTCCAAAGTAGTCATCTATAACATGATCATAATGCTTGTGCTGTTTTTTGAACTGTCTTTTGAAAGCATCAGCATCAACCTGCTGAAAAAAAATGATATATACAGTATGAATAGCAATTGGGTTTATTTTAAAAAATATTGATATTTATATTTATATTTCACCGCCTATCAATTATGGTGCAAACTAGCAAGGGTGTTACTCAGTTGGGGAATCATGTGCATCCCAACCCAAATGTGGGGATGTGCTGCATCCTAACTGTATTATCATATTATTAAGCTGCAGTTCCAAAATATTTCACAAGCTGTCTATAAATGATTCTCATGAAATATGATTTTCAATGGAAGTAAATGAGCAGGTAAGTGGGCATATGAAAACCTGCTTGATCCATTTTTATGACTCAACATTGAATAAAACCATAAAAGAACACTTCAGCAACAAAAAATTACTTCTGTCTCACTTAATGACAAACACAGTGGCATTGAGGTACCTGAGGGACCTGTTGCCACAACGACAAGTGTACTCAATCCTTTTGAATAAGAAAATTAATTATGAGCAAACAGGGCTGTTGAGGTAATTGGCTGAACTTAAAACAAAATTGTTCACCTTAACCTTAACTGGATTAACCCCCTTAATCCATGTCCCCTGCCTTCCCTGGGACAGGGTTGAAGCTCTTCCAGAGGTAGGAGTTAAAGCTTTCTCTACTGAGAGACCCTGCCAGAATTTCCCAGCAGACCCATACAATGCATAGGGTATACTCTTAGCTGCTGTTATGGGGGCACAAACAACAGTCAGAATCTGTCCCCCCACCCTAAGGCGAAGGGAAGCTAGCTACCCTCTCTTCTTCTGGGGTGAACCCCAACATACACGCACCAAGCTGGGGAGATATAAGTATTGCTGACCCCGGCCTGGTGCCTCTCATTAGTGGAAACACCAGAGTGAAAGGGAGTCCAACCCCTCTGGAGAGGGCTGGTTCCCGAGGCCCCTACATGTGTTGAGGTGAGTCCAACTAAATCTAGCTGGAAGTTCTCCACCTCACACACCAGCTGAGGCTCTTCCCCCGCCATTCCACATCCCTAGAGCTAGACTCTGCAGCCGAGGATCGGACAGCCAAGGTCCCCCCCTTCGGCTCCTGCCCAACTTTGGTCTCAGGGGTTGGGTGGGGATGTGAGTAAAACTCAGTGTAAAGTAAATATACTACCCATCATAAAATTATATTTATTCATATATATATATATATATATATATATATATATATATATATATATATATATATATATATATTAATATAAATGATATGTTATAATATATTCGTATTATTACAGTATCAATATTTATTATTTTCAATGTATATTCCTTATACATTTAAAAAATACATTCGCAATTTATGTGCAATATTTTTATTAATTATTTATAAAAAATTATTTGCAATTTTTTGCAGCTTTTTAAAAATATTTCAAATATTTTTTCAATCAAAGAGAAAGAGGTTGGTTATAGGTTGTAAGAAAGGTGAAAGTTTGTTAACAGAATGGGAAAAGGGGGTTAGAGGGGTTTAAAGGAAAGGAAAGGGGGATAGGTGAGGGGGATAAGAAATGCCAATGGGCTAAAAAATGTCAGAGGGTAGGGTAAAAGAGGAAAGGATTGATGTGATTTTCCTGTCAAACACGTTACATAAATGATCACAAGGGGGTTGGAGAGATTGTTGATAAACTGATTTCAAAGTTGAACCCAATTTAAAGATTCCATAAATCAAAGATTCAGAAAAAGACTCAGAGAGAAATCTTGTACAAGTGACTTTAAGGGTCTTGGAAGAACGAAAGATCTTTTATATCACATATTGAGCCAAAGGGAAAGAGAGAGAGAGAGAGAGAGACCTGCAACTGTTGTCAGCTGCTTCCACTTGCCTCCTCCCTGTTGATTTCAGTGATTTTTATTTATCATGCAAATAAATAGCTTTGTTCGAATTACAGTTACATACATAATCACAGTGTCCTTTCTGGTTTTTAAAACAAGTGTCATCGCTGGTCACACTAAGCCTTCCCAAACCTCAGCCTCACCCACCGCCTATGACTGTCACACTCACACTTTTATGCACTGATGGCTGAAGTTGCAACAGGAAGTTCTCAATGGCCCATCAGTACTGTACAACTACATAAGGACACTTTAGCAGGAACTGTGGGAGGTGGGGATTGAACCCTATGAATTGGAGACAGCCAACTTAACCGCTGGGCCACAGCTGCACAGCTCCACAGTTGCTGCACAACAACTCGACACAGTATATGATGAGCAATTAGATGTACAGTTATGGAAAAAATGATTAGACCACCCTTGTTATCTTCAATTTCTTGTTCATTTTAATGCCTGATACCACTAAAAATACATTACCTGAAGAATATGATGAATGTAACTAAAATGCAGCTGATTCCATAATATTTCATGTCTGATTTGACATGCTTAAGCTACATTGTATTCCTATTGTATATAAGAGGCTATTTCATGTCATTAGCAGCACTGCACATGCAAAGGCCTAGAGCTGTTTACTGCTTACATTCAAGCCATAGCACAACACAGAAGTTGTTAGCTCTAAAATATTGCGTAAAACAAAAGAACTGAGTGAAGCCACAAAGGCAGCCATCTTGGCAATGCTGGAAAATGGCATGAGTGAGAAACAGGTAGACAAAAAACTGAAGATCTCCAAGACCAGCTGTTCATCACTCCACGAAAAAGCAGCTAAACATGGTACTACCAAATTGCTGGCTGGTCGAGGCAGGAAACGTCTTTCTAACCCACGAGAGGACAGTGTACTCATCTGCTCATGTGTCAGGAACCGTCATCAGACCTCCAGGGACCTTAAAAATGAGCAGGCGCTGTCAAGAAATGTGACTTGTTCAGCATGGACAGTTCGAAATTGACTTCTTGAAGCTAGTCTGAAGTCACACAGGGCATGGAAAAAGCCCTTCATCAACGAAAGGCAGAGGAAGTCTTGGTTTCCCCTTGCTAGGGATCACAAGGATTGGACTGTTGATGATTGGGCTATGGTTCTCTTCAGTGATGAATCCAGTTTTGAGTTGATGGTCAATTAAAGCGTGGATGGAGAACCAAAACATTTGAACCATGCTTTGGCCTGCTCAATCACCAGATCTAAATCCAATTGAAAACCTGTAGAACATCATCAAACTCAAAATGGAGAACCACAAGCCCAAAAACAAAACAGGTTTGACAGAAATTTTGCAAGAGGAATGGGCTGCTGTGCAATGTCAGAAGCTGGTGGAGAATATGCCAAGAAGCATGGCTGCAGTCATCAGAAACAATGGTTATACAAACAAGTACTAACTCCTGTGTGTATCATGTGACAAAGAGACAGAAGAGAAAACATGGCTTGTGCAGCTTGAAAAATGTCACATTAAGAAATAAGACTTAGAGTCCTCGTTCTCCTGAGCAGTTAAAAGTGTAACATCTTTGTGGATTATTTTGCAAACAGTTAAGCAGTTGACTAAATTTCCACATTATCCTGGTTTCCCCTTTGGATCATTTACAAAACTGCATGGCAGTTAAGGAGAGTAAGCATTCAGAGAACAAATAGGAGGAGAAATGTGATGCCATGAATCTAATTTACTCTGTACGCTCAGGTGGAAAAGAACAACGCAGACTGTTTCCACAACGGGACACCATTGAAGCTGAACTCATTCAGTAGAGAGTGAGAGAAGAGAGGAAGTCTAAATGATTTCTTCACCAATATTGTACTGACACTGTTTTATTTATCAGCACCTCTGGCCATTTGTTCTTAATTAGACATCCTCTCGCCCCAGGGGTCTTCATCATATATAGAAAACTCATTACTTATACAAGGCAACAAGGCAGCCACCTACAGCTACAGTGTTATTACAGAGGCAGCTCCACATGAGGGGCCCATGGACCAGGACTAAAACTATCGATTTCCGCAAGAGCTGACAGACCTGATAGCTGCAAAATGTACTCGGATCTGCCAACCATTTCCAGCATATTTTCCTCCCCAGCTTGTTTCCACACATCTGTTGTGTCAAACTTACACCTGCAGCCCTTGAAGGAACCCAAACTGCTTGACTACAAAAAGATTTGTTGTATGTCATGCGTCTAATTGTCAGGATCTCAGAGGATTTATTGTTAAAAGATGACAGTTGTGTAGATTGGGTTGCCAAAGTGTAAAATATCTCTGATCCTACTCCTTTTAGTGACAGCTTAATGTGTGACTCTGTGGTGTGAATATTTGTGGCTCCAAATTCACAGCATGTGAGCTAAAAATCAAAATAATGCATGTTCTCTTTCCCTCTTTTAACAAGTCTATGTGGACCCAAATTTCCATAAATAGTATCAAACTTAACAAACCCTCTTTTGCAGAAAGAACAGGAGTATTCAGAAAGCCAGTCAGCTCTTGTGAACAAAGCATACAAGACTCTGCTTAAGCCTTTGAGTCGCGGTCTTTATATGGTAAGTTTGAAATCCCTGACTCAACTTCCAATGAATAGTTTATTTTTGTAACTGAAGTCTTGTCTGTCTGATCGCTTATTCCAGGAAAACATCTTCTCATCTGACAGTCAAGAGAAGTGACGTGCATATAAAAGAGCTGCTGATTTCATGAACTCTGTCCTGTGTTTCAGCTGGAGCTGCAGGGGATGCGAATAGAAGAGGGCACGGACTCTGGGGCTGATTCAGAGTTTCTGATGGAGCTGATGGAGATCAATGAGGCCCTTGATGAAGCGCAGAGTCCAGAACAAGCTGAGAGGATCGGTCGAGACATGAAAGGTAAACAAATTAGTATGTGACAGTTATTTAGCATGGTAAATTTTGTGCAACTTTTGCATGAGTTCAGTCTGGATTGGAAAAAAGTGTGTGTCTTGGCTTGTAGCCTTCATCAAGGTCACCATAAGACATGCAACGAGCAAAAAAAGATTGAAATAGAGTAGGTTTAAACAGATGAAATACAAAAACAGTCAATCAAATTCACCTGCATTCATGTCAGCCAATGGGGTCACTCCAAAGGTAGGTTTGGCAGGGTCAGGTAAACCCATGCAGTTGAGTAAAAAAGACTTGCTAGGTTTACAAATTTCCTTCTGATTGATCAGAATTGAAAAAATGGTTCAATCTGAATAAAAAGGACTAACCTAAACACGTTTAACAGAATTTAACTGCTAAAGAGAGGGTTCATGTATTCCTTTTTGTCTCTGGAAAAACCGCCACATATCCACTGACTGACTGTCTGACTGTATTCTGATGGCAGACTTTTCGTGTATCCTTCTCTCAAGATTTGAGATTGCATAGCTGTACTTTACAGCAACATGGCAGCACAAGACCGGCATGGTCAGAGAAAGAAACAAGGATGACAATAAAAGAAAAAAACTGATCCACACAACAGATGCCCAACCTCAAATCTCCTTTATTGTGTCACGCTCTTAGACTATATGTTCTATGGACAACTTGGCTCCGCCTTCCGCCAGTATACGAATTCAAAGCTCAGTAATTCTGCATTTTTTTCTCTACCTCCTGAAAACAACATTGCGCAGTAGCATTGTACGCATTCGGCAGGAGAGCCGCTATGATGACGCTCTATTCAAACAGTGTATCCCCCGGGTGAGCCACGCAATCTTTGTACGCCCATAGGCTCTATCAAGTGTCAATCACAGAAAACTTAAATCCCCTAATAACTTTTAAAAATAGAGCTGCACAGAAAAAAAGATGACTTGAGCACAACCAGTAACTTACAGTAATCCAACAGTGGAAGAAAGGTAGCAGATACAAGGTATTTTCGAGCACTGAGGGAGAAGCAGGATTTATTCCTCTAATAGAAACCAAGTTTTAGTCTGAGTTTAGTGACCAAACTAGCAATATGTGTTTTGAAGGAAAGCTTGCGATCAACAAGAAAACACAGATATTTATACATAGATACAAGCTCAATGGGTACACCCTGTGAAGTTAGGATAGAGGGAATGTTCCCAGGTAACTCACTCTTGCTCGAAAATACCATGATTTTGGTTTTATTTGCATTCAAGACCAATTTGTGTTTCTGCAGTCGAGACTGAACAATATCAAAAGCAGATTGCAAAAACTCAAAAGCCTGGTTAATTGATGATAAACAACAATTAATGACAGTGTCATCTGCATAAAAGTGATAAGAGGCATTTGACAAATTAATACACAAGTTATTGATATAAATAGAGAATAAAATAGGTTCCAAGATTGAACCTTGGGGTACACCTTGAGGAACCTTGAGTTGTTAAAATTAGGGCCATGGAGCATTTGAAGGAACTGTGCTTTAGTATGGGTTTTACAAACAAGGAGATACTTAAACCTTTGGCACATCAGCCTTACATTGTCACAAGTATAAGGACTTTAAAAAGAATTTACAAGAAATGCATCTTTTCCACAGAAAAAAAACAGGTGGACTTGAAGGAAATTGTTATTTTTATGGAGGCAGAAATGGATATGCAGAGGATGTATCCATCAATGCAGCCGTAAATAGCCATGAATGGCATTGGGCTTTAGTTTACGGTATGAATCCATATGCCATAAGGCATTGGTGTCTCTGCAGGTGTAGGTTATTGCCGGTGTCAGAAACATGGTGCTCCTCGGAGCCTGACTCCCTCTGGATCACAAATGTTGATCATCAGTTGGATTGTTTCTTCAGAAACCAAAAAGCTCTCTGAATGGCCTGCTGATACATCCACCGATAACCCTGCAGTTGACCAGTTCCAGCCATTTTCCCCTCTACAAAAGCAGCTTCATGGCTTTATTTACTTTATGAATTTATTATCCTAAATTTACTACTTTAATCTCAAAGGCTGTGTCACAAGGTCACACCATTGTAGACCAGAGATCAGTAGCAGACAGTGTTGCTAACTCCTCAGTAAGTAAAGAAGCTATTGGCTGTCCTAAAAGTCGCTAAATGACGTCATCGCCTAATTGGCCAAATTGTAATGGTTTTCCAGTGTGTGTGTGTGTGTGTGTGTGTGTGTGTGTGTGTGTGTGTGTGTGTGTCCGTTTACGTCTCACACACACACACACACACACACACACACACAGGCTTCTTTCAAAGAATACACGCACAAAAGTGTGTGTATTCTTGTACATAGTGATGTCATAGTGATGTCATGTAGTGATGTCATAGTGATGTCATATAGTGATGTCATAGTGATGTCATATAGTGATGTCATAAGATCAAAGGGCCTCTGAAGTTTATGAGACTAAACCGGAGTCGTTCTGTCTTTATCTCTTTATCGTTTTGATTACGACCTGCAGAAAGGAGCCCATCAGAGCTACAGCCCTGCTAAGGAAAACCAGCAGAGATTTCAGACATAGAGAAACAATCAGAAATCAAGATGGTTAACTCACCAGTCATCATCCGACCCGAATCCCTTCTTCCTTTTGTGGAAAAACATTTTCAAAATATAACTCCAGCACAATGGAGCATGGTGGTTGCAGGAAGATTTGATGCAAGCGTAGAGGACATTCTGGCCAGCATGTTCGCCGAAATCGTGCAGACTCTCTCTGCAGACGTTGTGAAGATTTTACTTCCCATGTTCATGGAGCGCTTCTGCAGAAAGGAGTCTGCTGAGGAGATTAATAAAGTTTTGGAGGAGTTCAGCACCAAACCATGTTTAGGTGACTCCCTTACAGACAGCTTTGCTGCAGCTCTTCATGTTCCAGCTGAAAAATGTGAGAGTGCAGAGAGGCTTACAGATTTAGTTGAGAATGAAGTTCAACAAAAGGTCTCCTCAGTTTTATCAGTGGTCGCCAACAGCGAAAGTTGGCCAGAGGATCCCGCCGTGTACATCCCTGGAGCCACATCATGCATTTCATCACTTCGCTGCATGTTGACTTATGCCATGGAGTTTTTAAAGAGGACTGTGACCAGAGCTAAGTGTTTCAGATGGAGATCCAATGTTGAGATCTTGTCTTCCAGAAATATGGAATCCGAGAAGGCTACAGAGGATGCAGAGAGATATGCATCATCTCACAGCAGATCATCAGCAGCCTCCATCTGCTCAGTGACCAAAACTGGGAGTGACATCCTTGAAAAAAGGTCAGACGAGAACCAAGAGATGACGGAAGAGGCTGAGAACAGCTCAGGGGGGGGATTTGATAGAGGTTCACCTTCTTTTTGTGACAAGTTCTTTGCATCAAGAATGGAAGACTGTTTTCTTGCTTGCCAGTTTGAAAAGATGAAGATTGGCCTGAAGGATATGTTCAGAAAAAAGGACAACAAACATGTAGTTAGCCTTTCAAGCTACTCAGGTATGCCATCATCAAGTTTACCAGATGATGAGTATATTTTACCAGGAGTCATGCCAGAGTCCAAACCCCAAAAGAAGGTAACCTTTCATCCTGATGTGACAACGTACATTATAAAGGAGCAGGGCTGTTCTTCACTGGAGTATGAGGACATTAAAAATGATGTGGACAACCTGTTTCAAATGGCGCCACCGTCCTCATTACAGGAATCCCAGATCAGTTTGGAGATAAAGAAGTTTTCAAGGGAGCTGACTGACAAAATGTATGTCCACTTGATGTCCACCAAGTACTACAAGCTCCCCCGGGCTCCACTGGGGAAGTGTTTGTCAGACACAGTCATTTCTCAGTCCCAGATGCGTACGAATGGCAGCTTACGTGAGACTTCTCCTGAGCTCCTCTATGTGTTGACAGAGGACGCAGTGACAAACTTCCTGCAAAAGACAGCACTCTGGTATGAGAAGGACCCATCAGTTGGTTCTCCGACCAGCAGAGGTTGCTCCCCAACTGCACTGCAGAACAACCATACAGACAGCCATATTTTGACCCAAAAGGATTCCTGTTTGCAGTCTTCATCTCAGACACCCCGTCCGATTCTTAAGAGCACATTACCATCAGGAACTGAGAGACAAGTTAAAAACCTTATGGTCTCTCTGCTCCTAGAACTCCAACTACGAGCTACCTGGAGAGACGAATTCACCATCACCTTCTCGGACCAGGATAGCATCAAGGACCGTCTGTATAACAGAGCAAGGCATGACGGCAGCTTTATTCAAGTCAAAGACATCAAGAACCGTAAGAAATTCTTGAAGGGCGTGTTAAAGGAGCTCAAAAAAGAGATTGGTCCTGTGGAACAGATTCTGAGGGTAGCGGTATCAAACCCAACAGCTTTTGATGTTGCTGTCCTCAGGTGTCTGAAAAACCAACTGGAAAAAACTCAGACGAAATCTAGAGTTGCTCGGTTCTTTCAGGTGCTGGGAAGACCTTTCAGACAGTTCTTTGGAACAAACAACGATGACAGCATCCGTGAATACTAAGTTAAGTACACGCAGCCCTTTAACCGCCCCACTACACTCAGATAGGATCTCCAGCCTGTCTGAAGTTTCAAACATCCTCATGTTGGGTTTTCTCTGGGACGCTCCAGTTTTCCCCAACCAGATTTATAGATTTAAATAAAATAAAAAAAACCTCAGTAACTCCGCCAAATTGTCTCAATTGGGTCATTTTTGCCGGTCCCAAGCCCGGATAAAGGAGGAGGGTTGGTATTGTGACATTTAAAAAAACAAGAATCGCCGGAAGAAAGTTCATTTGTAGTTCTAAACATATAGGGGGAAGGGGGGGGTCCTCACATTTTGTCTGTCCCACGAAACGTTGTTCCTCTCCTTTACAGCGTCCATTACAATTGGACAAACCAGGCAATGACGTCATTTAGCGACTTTTAGGACAGCCAATAGCTTCTTTCCTTACTGAGGAGTTAGCAACACTGTCTGCTACTGATCTCTGGTCTGCAATGGTGTGACCTTGTGATTTGTGCCCTGGAAGACATGCTGGTTCTTTAACCTGAAACTGACTGCAGTCACCAGAGAGAGGGCTGACCAGTTCTACTTCAATGTTTATATGCAGAAGTACCTTCCTGTGTCCAGAAGATCATAAAGGTCCCATATTGTGTGATACATACTGTAGTTCTTAAAAGCATTAAATGTTATAGAGAGGGGCTGTGTGCTATAAAAACATGAAATCTGTGTCAAATCTTCAGACAAGTGCTCACAATCTAAGTTTTTAAACTGTTAAACTGTTAAACCTGGAAATTGCTACCTCTGCTACTACAATCAAAAACATTAGAAATGAAAAAGCTGCCAAGACCACATTGCAGTATCAGGGCACATATTAAGATTTTTTTTTTTTAAAGACTTTGAGATTAAAATAGTAAATTTCGGAGAATAAATTCATGAAGTAAATAAAGCCATGAAGCCGCTTTTGTAGAGGGGAAAATGGCTGGAACTGGTCAACTGCAGGGTTATCGGTGGATGTATCAGCGGGCCATTGTATCTGTGTATAAATATCTGGGTTTTCTTGTTGATCGCGAGCTTTCTTTCAAAGCACATATTGCTAGTTTGGTCACTAAACTCAGACTAAAACTTGGTTTCTATTAGAGGAATAAATCCTGCTTCTCCCTCGGTGCTCGAAAATACCTTGTATCTGCTACCTTTCTTCCACTGTTGGATTATGGCAGTGGTTCTCAAACTTTTTTTGTCATTCCCCCCTTTGGAGGAAGAAAAAATTTCATTCCCCCCTACCCCAACAAAATTGTGACACAATGGGCCATGTATAACTTTGACATAACATTCCTTCTGCTGTATTTCTCAAAACTAGAAAACAAACGTGCATTCATGTTGCAAGAACAATAATAATCAAACAATATCAAGTTGAGTAAGTACAAAAAAATCCTGTGAATCCAAGAGCAAGATAGCGTCATCATATTTCCTTGACTTGGCTTTTTGTTGGTTTGGCCTACCGTCATCTAGGCATGCTGTATTGCTGGCTTCAGCTTTTCTTTTCATCCCTGTCAAATATCTCTCCATTCTGTACTTTTATATACAATTTATTATTCTGATCTGAACACAGTTGCTGGTTCTTACGGTGACAGGTGAAAGCGTGGGTTGTCCGCCGCTAAAAAAATTCAGGTGTTATGCCGTAGAATGCACCCCTGCCGTAGAATGCACCCCCTGCATCCCCTCCACTTGTTAGCTTCTTAAAGTGGAAGAAAATGATCTCATATTTTAAAAAATACGATTATTTGATCGTGACAACTTTCGTTCTGTTTTTGTGTGTCCCAAAAATGCACATACGGAGGTGTGCTTGGTAAACTGTACAGTAAGCTGTCAAGCTAGCGAACATTATATTTTTCGGGACAGCTATTTTTTCGGCTTATCTGAATAGCCTGAATGAAATTATTAAAGGCAGACGCTTTTGAATTCATCCAATGGTAAGGAAAACTTGAATTATTTTTGCCTTGTTAAGTACTTTCAACCGCGCTCCCGTCGGGGGGGCATTTTACGGCACAACACCTGGCAAGTATCTCGCCTTGAGTGTTCACTACAACAAACGCTGCTTCTTCGCGGTAAAATAAAGAAACAGGGTTAAGGGCGCTGGACTCCTACTACTGGTGTGGTGAGTTCAGTATGGCGCATGCGTGACGAGCGCGGTGCCTGCACAGGAGGTGCCGCGCTATCGCGGGTGCACACCAACCTATTTGTATCCGGGTGACTCGAGCCCCCTCAGGGATGGCTCCGCGCCCCCCACACACTTTGAGAAATGCTGCAGTAACCACTTGTTATCACCGCAAGCAGGGGGGAAAAAAATTTATGTTCTGTGTGATTAATTTCTAAAGTTTGTCTACAGCTCCATAGGGATGGCTGGTGGAGAGTGGAGACGGGATTTATGACCTATACTGCAGCCCATCACCAGAGGGTGCTGTTCTCGGGGTGGCTTCACCCAGCAAGGAGGCAGACACTGTCCATTCTATATACAGTCCATGGTCACGCTGCTATCATGTCTCTACATACAATTACATCAGCAATTTGATCATGTAAACACCAGATTGGGATAGATTATAACCCATAAAACACAGGATTTTCAGTTGGATAGGCTTGTGTAACATTTGTCATCATGTACTATATATGGACAGAATTTAGCTATGTCAGGATGAGAGTTCACTGCGCAGCGCTGTGCAGCAGGGCAGAGAAGCATCTCAAAACACAAAACTGGAGCCAACTGCTCAGAGCTTTGTGGACCAGGGTTTGGTTCATCCCTGAATATCATTAGCGCTCTTTGCTTTGTGAATTAGACCTTGAGGCAGTAGAGAGCAGGGGGTGGGATGATGTGCAATTCAATTCTTGTCACTTTTAGAGGCTGCGATCCATCCTCAGTGAACCAGACCCTGAGTCTTTGTGGGCGATTTGACCTGATTGTTTATCATGACTAAGCAGAGGGAGGAAGGGTGCATATACTTGGTTCATTCTTGCTGACACATGTAGGCAGTTCAGATTAATGTTGGACTTTATCCATCAATTCATAATCTGTACCGCATTTCCTGTCATGGGTCACAGAACTGGAGCCGATCCCAGCTGCCATTTGGCAAGAGGCAGGAAACTGGACTCTTTGCCAGTCAGTCACAATGCTAATATACAGTATATGCTCTGTATATAGAGGTGGGCAATTTAGAGTCATCAGCTGACCTAACAGGTTTGTCTTTGGACAGAGAGAGGAGATGCAAACTCCATGCAAAGAGCTTCCATTCAGAACCCCCTTGCTGTGAAGTGACAGCAGTGAATACTTCACCCCACTGTACAGCTCTGTCTAGACGTGCAACTAATTTGAATTCCCGAGTTTAAAAAAATATAAATTAAAAAAACACACAATTTGTCGGAATTCTTTGTCGGAATTTCTCCGTTCGATCTTTAAGTTTCGGTTAATATTTCAACACCTGCAGTTGCCACGGTAACAGGATCTACAGTTTGATTTTTGCAGCAGGCTTCTTTATGCAGCCACTTTGTGTAAGAACAGCAAACCACGGCAGCCACGGACTCACTTCATGAACATATTTCAAACCTCTTCAGGTGGTCAGTGATTATACAAATGCTTTGAAGAAAGGTTGATTCCTTTTGCAGTCTTTCTGGAGACCATAAGGAGTATCATAGCTGTGGAGGAGGGTGGATTTAATGAAGTTCTTAAGGATTACAGCTGCTGACTTAAGGAGGGGGCTTAACTTCTTGCTGTTAACATGCAGTGCACCACCAGGTTAAAAGCTTCATGCATACATGATGCATTTCTATGAATATAGTATCAGCGTGTCACTGTGTTTATGTGGTAGATGGTACCGCAACAAGTCGCCTCTTTGATTCAGTCTCTATCCAGGACAGTTACTCAGCGAGGCGAGCGCACTGCAGCGTTTGCCCGTGATTAAAAAACCTGCTGTTTGCCGTGTCTCGTTAACGTGTTGTAGAGGCTGAACTTTGTTGTCCTCTTCACTTGCAGAGAAACTGGCAGAGTTGACAGAGGAGATTGACGCTGCTCTCCTTAAAGGTATCGAAACACTCTCTCTTCCTCTAACCCGTTCCTTTGTTTGCTCTGTGATCCATGCTTAAGCTTCCCTTCAAGTCATCGAGTGCCTCATTGATTGAACTTCTTTCTGTTTTTATGTTTTGTTTTTTTTTTATCAGGAGAGCTTCAGGGTGCCAAAGCGTTGCTCGCCCAAATGAAATACTATGCAAACATTGAGGAGAAAGTGAAAGAAAAACTTTCTGGATTCATGTAATAGCTAATGAATAATAATAATCCAAGTTAGTGTCACTTTTTTGTCTATTTCAAGAACTTGTACAGAGTTTTGCACAGAAGAACAAATTACTTTTAATTTGTGTTTGAATTATGTAAATTTATTGTTTAAGAATAATAATAAAAGTCTCCTTGTAATACATTATACAACAGAATTGATTGTTATTTACACATAAGGTGACATTTTCTGATTAAAAGATGTATATTAATGAGGCTGTACAGTATCCCCTTTGTATTCCACCAATTAAACATCCCCAGTCGTACACACTTGTACCTAATGTATCATTAAAAATGACAAAGACCTTTAATAGACCCTGATTAAAATGCTGCTCAGAGTATTTATATGATTATCCTGCCTATCAGTTCAGCATTTGTCATGTGGGACTTGTTCACTTCCTCAGGTGACCTTTAGGTGGAGACATTACACCTCCACAGTCCTCATGCAGAGGAGCAGCACATGCTGTACAAACTGAGCGACGGAGCAGCAGGAAGTCCTTTATTGAGCTAGACAGCCTATTGAATAATTGATGGCGGCTTCATATGTTGCTTTTATGCTATGATAATGAGAAAAGCCTCTCTGAATGATGATTACTTGATGAGCCAAAGATCTGTGATCTGTGTAATTTTGAGCTCATAAATTGATGTACATTGACCCTGGACATCTCTGCCTGCAGCACACTGATAAGGGCATCAGATTGTTAATTCATTAGTTTCCCCTAGTTTGAATTTTAAACATTTTTCCAACACGATTCATAGAAAACTGCCATAATTTGTAATTACTTTGCAAATTGGAGCTCCAGTCACATGAAGGCATTAGATCAGAGAAACTGATACAGGTGTTTCAGACTGAAATATGGACTTTATCGCTTAATCTGATTGTAGGAAGTGAAAAATTTGATCACGAACTAGCATCATAAAAGCCACACAGTGCATAAGAGGTTACAATCTGGTGGTTTTATTCTACGCCATCCCAGAGTAATGCATCCTGACTGGTTGTTTATTAAGTCTGGAACAACAGTGTCGTGTGTCTGAGGCTGTTTTGGGTTTTTTATAGAGGAGAGGCAGCTTCCTTAATACACATGGATAGACAGTGAATTAAACAGGGCCTCTCCCCCCACAAGGAGACTAACAGACCTATTTATTATTCATGCTGTAATCGGGAGGCATCTACGGAGCCTTTAAATTAATGAGAAAATGTGATCGACCAACACTGAGGCCACTGCTGTCTCTCACGACTCTTTGAAATTGAATTTGAAAGACACGAAAGGGAAAAAAATCTCTCCACAGCCGGGCTGGGAAATTGACTTGGATGGGAAAGCTTGGCAAAGTGGACTAGGAAGCTCATATAGGACCACCACTAAGCCTTTGGGATGACTTTGGTCCGGGACACGAAACACCTCAGTGGTGCTGATGGTGTTTACTCTGGATTTCTGGTCATGGTGTAACTCAACTGCTTCCCACAAGCCTTCATCGACCCATAAATTTCCAATTGATCTACTATGTTATTATTTTTGTGAAGAAGCTCATCAAATATCTCAACTCTTCCAGAGCCAGCCTCAAGTGGACACTTAGGGAACTGCAGTTCAAGCATTTCCTCATCGGTAGTGTTGGGTATTGTTTGATTTTGAACGATTCTGGTTCCGATTTCGATTCCATGTTTCAATTCTGATTCCTATCGATTCTCTGTTTTGATTCCTCTAAAAAGGCAGGATATTAAAAAATATGCAGGGTTTAAATGAGGGTGTTAACCAGAGTTCTTCTTTTTGGATGAAATTTCTGAACTTCTCCATGAATTTTCAAATTATATCAACTTTTTAAGAACTTTACTATGAATTTCTTACATTTTCTCACAATATCAATTTTTGGTATCAGGCTGTTTGTCTACGAAAAAGTACAAGGGCTATTGTTAGTTGGATATTTAAGTTGACCCGCCCTACACAGTACAATTTGTTTTCTGCTTCAATGTTAGCAGAAGACAGAAGTAATTTATTGTTTCACTTATCTGATTCTGGCTAGTCAGCGGAAGACCGGCGAAGACCGGCGAAGTGCGTCAAACACGAGCACTCGGGTATTTCTCCTCCATGAATCCTGAGGTGTTTAATCATGTTGGTCATTCACCCTCCTTTGCATGATATAACTGTATTGCTAATGTTGCACTGAGATAAGAGTTCATTTTTCCCGCTAAAGTTAGCCAAACCTTTGACCACAGCCGCTGTGGGTTGCAATGCACTCTCTTTCTCTCTCTCTGTCTCTCTTCTCTTTCTCTGTGGCTTTGTCTCATATGCTTCCTCCTCGCTGGTGTTCGGCAGCTTCTTCTTCGCTGGTGTTTAGCGGCGTCTTCCTCGTTGGTGTTCGACGGCTATTTTTTCCGGTCGGCGGACTCTAGCATCAAAATTTGGAATCAAAATTTTAAAATTTGAACGATTCCGGGAGATTGGAATGTCAGTCCCGGTCCCCATCGATGCTCAAGACTCGATACCCAACCCTACTCATCGGCTTCATTTCATGACCACTTGGATCTAACTCATTTGTTGTTTGCACAAAACCAAAAGTTAAATAGTGACAATTTTTACTTTTGTGGTCATTTGTGTGCTATACTTATTACCAAAATATGGGATCACTTTTTATCAATGTAAAGGGCACTCAGAGGGCACGAGCTTGTGAAAAAAAATGTCACGGCATTTAATTTACTCAAAGAGCATCTAGAGGGCTTTTCTTAATTTAAAATTTGAATTCTGAAAGGAGAGAAGGCAACAATTTTTACACTAGAAAGGCACTTTTTACAAAACTGATCACAGATGTATATAGAGGACTACATTCGCCAGCGCGCTAAGGGATGGCCTACGTGGCAGTCATCTTGGTGGGGGCAACATTAAAGGCATAGCATTTACATTGAAAGTAACTCCTAACTTGCTCATCTCTTAACCCATTTTACTTCATTTTAAATGCAAAACATGTGCCGTTAATACAGAATATTTGATTAAAAATTTGTGTTTTTTTCTTTTTAATTTTTTTATTTCAAATCTTCTCTATCAATAGTGCATGTTTTGGTGCCGACAATAAAATAAATGGCATGAAAATTGGCTAAGAAATAAGCAAGATATGCTTTATTTTCAATGTTCATGCATTGCCTCCAATTGGAACAATGCCCCCTCTAGCTTAGACTCACTGTGAGCATGCAGCTCAAAGGGGCATGTCTCACTACATATTCATATCTATGAATCTTATGTCCTAGAAAGACATCCAGAGAACCCCTTAACATGTAATGGAGAGCAATCAGAAGACGATTTTTAGATACCCTGATGGCATTGATTGATGTTTGCTCTCCTGTAATGTTTGCTCTCCATTCACAGAGGGGAAAACCAGATGGCATGTCTTTTACATTTTGTATAGTGGAAGGGCATCCAAAGTAATTCCTCCCCATCATTTTATGTACATGAAAGTTGTCCCTAGGTAATGTTCTTTACATTTTATATACTGGAAGGGCACCCAGATTTTTCACTTCTTGGTTTTATATCCCAGTACACACAGCAGATTTTTATGTTTTTTCATACCGCAAAGACATTCAGAGAGCTTTCCCCCCACATTTCTTTCATTAGCCCTACTAGAGGCTTTTTTATGTTTTCTTTGGACGGGCACCATAGAATACTTTTTATGTTGTTTATTCATTTATTTCAGGAGCATCTTAAAGGGCACTTTCTCTGCTATACACCCCATTCCCCAACCTGCACCCCCAGCATACACCACTGATCGTAGGCATACTGCCATCACTGGAGAACACGCTCATCTGGATTAAGGTGCCTGAATAAGCCTCCATCAATGTAATAGTGCATGCCATAATTGCAGCATTAATCACTTTCATATGGTTGTAACTTAAATATCATAATAAGACTAATGTGCTGTTGTGACCCATGTCTTAATCATAATATTCCTAATCACATTAAGCCTGAAATGTTGGTGGGCCACTTAAAGACAATCTCAGCTCTCTTGACAGAATCCTAATGGAAAAATTCTTCATTATAGACCTCATTATACACTTTAAATGTGTATGCACGCAGTAACCAATGGAAGGTCTGATTGACAAAGGTCCATACTAGCCAAGGATGACTCACTGAGGCTGAACTCTTCCCTCCTCCCAGCTGAGCAGCAGCCTTTGTGATCCTTGCCCCTCCGCTCAGCTTCTTTGTGACTCAGCTGAGTGTCAGTGCTTTCATCCCACAGGCACCTCCAGCCTGCTGCGTGTGCTTGTGTCTCATCAGGTAGTAATGCCATTATAATTTATAGCCATTAAGCTCTCTCCCTGCCCTTAATCCTTGTTTTTATGTTTTATTCCTCATCTTTCTGCCAAGCTGTGTTGTGCCTCCTCTTAAAGCTGAAACTCCACAGCTGTGCTCTCTGAATTTTTGACATGGCCTTCAGTCTGAACCCAGCGGTGCAGCTTCTCGACACTGTGCAGACACCTTTCTTCACAGGACTTTGTCAGGCTTCAGAGAGATAAAGAAGAAACGCCTCTGTCGTATTACACAATGAACATATTGGAGAGCAGATAGCGCCGGCATAAAACAATGAGAACCATCATTATCTTTTTGCTTTTCAGACTCGCAGGTAGGTATTCATCCATTCTCTCAGAGATTGTCCCCATTCCTGCTCATTGTTAACACCATATCTGTAACTTTACTGCAGACAAGCTTCATTGAAATATGGATGCGATATCTCCAGTACTTCAGGTTGCTTTGTTCCCTCCTCATGGAGCGTAATTATGAGTCAAATCAGAACACACTTGGACAATAACCGCCTTTTTCTCTGCGACATGTTTACGGCGGTAATTCCCAGAGGTGTGAATCTCTCTGCAGCAGGCGAGCTGCTCCTCTAAGCTTTTGATATTGGCCCCGTTGAGTGATTTGTGGGGGGGGGGGATCTCTGCTCTCTTCAGCAATACGATTCAAAGGCCTGCGCGTTCACACACAGCATGTTGCTGTGTTTGCGCACACATGCTGGTGTTTGTTTGTTCAGAGCGGCTCTATCTTCAAATCCCTTTGACTTATGAGGATGGGTAATCGGCCACCGAGAAGCAGTTGTCAAATAATCCTATTGCCAATTGAATTTCCCAGAACTTCTTTTCACATGTTCCTCCAAATGTTATTGGATTTGATCTGGTTTACCTAGCCTATGAAGTGCATTTGCTCTTGTGTACCAATCACATCCTCTGGCTCTTTATTGTGTCACTGCATGTAATAGGATTTGCAAGAAATAACATTATTTCCCACTTTCCTCTTTTTTTCTTTATCTAAATTGCTGAGATCTTCCTCTTATGCCACACAGGGCTTTTGTAACGTACCAGTATTGAAAATAACCGTCTAAGTCATGATCTTAGGCAGGTCATCAAACAGGAAAGAGGAAGAGGAAGCAGTAGCTGCTGGCAAGCTAGCTTTAGCAGCCTCCAGATAGATGATCAGGTACTTTTAAAAACTGACATTCAACTAAAGATAATAATGTCATAACTGTGTTTATTCTATAGCCATGACAGTGTTAAAATCTGATATTGTGACGGCCCTAGTTCCTCAGTTTCCCTCTTGATCAAGCAGCTGAGAGAATCGAAGAAGTTGAGATAAAACTAACTTTGTCTTGGGAAACTTTTTTCAAAGAGTGTTTTGGTCTTCCAAATTTTCAGCGTCAGTTCTTTCACTGAGGCTAGACCGGGAGAAACAGGATATCAAGTTAAAAGAATTGGTATGCTGTTTACATTTATGAAGTCAAAGTGTCCAATTAAGACAAATATCAAATATTTTAAATGTTTGCAGCATATTCCCACTTCTGAGGAGTGTAATCCCCAAAGAAAAACCAGGGTCCGGTTTTAATTAAGAGTCTGTCAGAAGCAGCAGACTGCAGGTGGATCTGCAACTTTAGAAGGATTGCTTTTTTTTGGTGCTTGGCTGTCCTGTTGAAACACCAGGAGATATGGCTTCAAACGGCTCCTTTGTGGTTCCTGAGCTGGGAAAGCCTTTGAAGGAGAAGAACTGGGCTTTTAAACAAGCTGTATGCAAGTGGAAACATGCATCAGCCATTCACTTTCAGCTGAGATGAGTGCAAACTGCTAGCCTCTGGTGAGATTGCTCTCCTCACCTTATCTCCTCTGCTGTGCTGCAGATATTCCCCACCGCCTATCTCAAAGCGATCGCACCGACAACGGTTCAAATGAGGCCTGTTTGAGTCTCATCTTATCTGAATACCTTACTCAGACTTGAAACACTAGATTCTGCTCTGATTCCGATCTGATGTTGTGGGTCTCACATGGCTCAGGGCAAAACCCAACTAAACTGGCTTAAGTACTCATGACTTCTCAGAGCAGCTCGTCTGTCTGGATTGTTATCTGTCTGCCTAGTGAAAACCTTGACTTTAGAGGAACAGGGAAGACCTAGCTTTTTGATATTTGATGATTTATGTCACTCATAAGGACTCTGTATGTATAGGCTGGAACCCAGACTGAGGCAAACGGTAAAGGCAGGGCAAAATCCCGAGGGCACTAACAGCAGATGCAGAAGTCACAGTTCCTATTGAAAAGACAACATATAAAGTGCAGTGGCAGATCAAGATTTTTTTGGCTGGGGTGGCCAAACCGCTACAAGCCTGCTTTCTTTCAATTAGCCAGCTCTCAGGAAGCCTCCTCCACCGTTGTCCTGCCACAAATTCACATCATAGAACTGGGCCACGTCTTTTGAACCCTAAATCTGACCCAAAGACTTTGAAAAGGGAACAACAAGAAAATCCCATGGGACAAATGACAGAGTAGGACATTTCAGCTTTACATTAATTTTGACCTTTTAAGGAAAGCCACCAATTTGTGACATCACAAATTGATCTAATCTTTGGTTTTTCTTGTGTAGTTCCCCCAAGGCATCAAAGATATCCGCGCTGGGATTACTTCAACACCCGCTTACCTCCCAATTTGACACTTTTGCACATGTTGAGCATTAACTTCCAATATTTTAACTTCTCTTTGGTTTGTTATTATGAAGAAAAAAAACAAACTCATCACTACTTTAAACCTTCCTAATACGGTTGTTTTGACCACCCTGAGGTCACACCAGCATCAGTAGGATTTAATTGTGCTTTCACACATCCATGATAATGAGTAACAAAGATTTGTTGACGATATTCCTGCTCCTTGAATACACGCTTTGGCCGCCACCAACTCCAGAGAGAAGTTCTCGCCTCAGCAGCGGTGAAATGTTTCATTTTGTTCCCCAGTTTGTAGCTTCTCTACGTCTTACTACTGCCTGGTGCCTGACAGATGGTATGCATAGGGTTTTTAGAGCTGTTTTGCTGAGATCAGCTGCCTGCTTTGCTGAAAATGACGACGATAAGAGCTGTGAGATTGCACTGAAGCGATGAAATTGCAAGCTTTACGACAAAAACCCAAACTGGAGCCGAAGTAGAGACAAGACCTGGGGATGATTTTGATTTTGCGTCAAATAAAAGTGTCCTCCCTGTTGCACCAGGCAATAATGTGGTTTCCATGTGTGGAAACGACTCTACGTGTAGCAGCTATCTCTGACTGTCTCTCATGTCTTTGTGAGATTGAACTGATGCACAAACACTCGTTACAAACAGCCTATCGTCTTACAGATTGTAAGCAGTAGTGGGAGCGCTCAGGAAGCTCGAAGGTCTGTGTGAATACTAATGTGTTATCCTCAGGTACAGAGATATGAAACCATACCTCATACTGCAGGTGGGCCAGGCAGGATTCATTTCTGAAGAAATCCAGGGCAAGATGATTGCACAGTGGTGAACGTATAGACCAATTTCTGAGCTCTGAAAACAAAATTCTGTCATTGAGTTTTATTACTATGCAGAAATTCAGCCAAATCCCTGCACCTGTGGCTGCATATTGTCTTGACTCAGTCTTGCTCATGAGCCCCTCTGTATTTTCCTGCATTTTATTCAGACAGGGAGAGATTTAGAGTCAGCAGCGCACATTAATTTGTGAGGCTTTTCTTTTCAAGCAAACAAAAGAAGGAGTAACAGTCCCCCTCTCTGCTTGTGCTGCTGATATCTCCCGTAATGATGACTCTCATTACTCCATGCATCCTACCAAGTTCAACAACAAATCTAACCTTTTTCCACTGCAGCTGTTTCTATGACAACGCAGGCCCCCTTGCTGCAACTTTAAAGCATGATAAACACAAAAGCCAGAAAATGGATTTGATTGATCTCACTTCTCTCTCCTCGGGACTCGTATCAAGGCTGTTAGAGGTGTTTAGGTTAACAGGCAAAGATCAGAAGGTGATTATGTATTTTTGCTGCTTTTACAAATTTGCAGCAATGGTTTTAGTGTCTTAGGCTGTCTTAGGCTATCAGGCACCGTTTTCCATCTGGTTTTCGCAGGGTAGCTTCATCCAGGTGCGACTCTTTCTAGAAAAAAGATGCAGACCTGTTGTTATGGGTTATGAAAACAAATCTCCATTATTGCCTGTAGCCGGGTCTGTGTGTAATATGAGGCTCCGGTCGCGGAGAAGAAAACATTAGGTTTCTTTCAGCCTTGCTCTTCTTATTGCATTCGACAGGACAGGGCCCACATAACTCAATCCTGTCACCGGCTCAAATTGAGGCTATGCCACCGACCCTTGGGCTTCGCTCTGTGGCTCTCGGGCTGCAAAAACACCTGAGAGTATGTTGTCCACCTTGCAGCTGCCCCCCCTGCATGCTAAGTAATAGGATTGATGCTGTAATCCAGATTTGGAGATTTGCAAAAAAAAAAGCCAAAATGATGATGATGCATGGCACGATGATGATGCTCCAGCCTCAGTTGGAGTGTCTTGCCAATCACCAGAGTGGAGTGAAATTAATCACTCTGGGGGCTGTCAGCCGGCGTCAGCCAGGAGACATTTATCTTTGAACCCATGTCAGTAATTTGGCAATAACGCTTCCTTTGATTAATTCACTGCCTGAATCTGTGCCAGGAGAGCAGGAGTTCAGAGACAGTGACAGATTGATGATGCTTGTATCCTGTACTTCTGTGGCCGTCTCTCTTTACACTGATTAGGCCTGAGTGTAAAAATCAACAATGCAGATAACGACACACTTCGAAGTGAATCATTGTTTGGGTGCAGACTTGACTTTTGAGGTGTATTGTCAGCTCTGATTCCAGACTTCTCATGTCACAGCTCAGAGGGCTGTTTGCTAGCATTAGCCTGCTTTCTCCTTAGATCTGCTTCAGTCATGCTGCTTTGGCAAAACTGTTGACACATCCTTAGCTAACAGAGTTCATCACAGTGTGCATCTGAAACAATTCTCACAGGAGGAGGAGGAGGAGGATGCATGACTACAATTTGTCAAATCTGTAGCAGAAAAGCTCATTCATCAGAAAAATTGCCATCTCCCTTTGATTCATATTTCTGGACAAACTGGATGTTTACTCCGAGGCCTCTGGAGAGGTTTGACTGAGGCACAACATAGGATATCTTTTTCATGTGACAGCTCTGAATGCATCTGCTTTTCGGTGTTTTCTCAGGCACATGCACATTTCCATGAAGCACATTTTTACTTAACAGATTCATTTACACGTTTTCACCTTCCATTATGTTGGTTTGGGACACCTACAGAGTATCCCTGCATGATTTGCAGCTCACAAAACTCTATCATTTACTGACATTCCTGAAAAACTTGAACTTCAGCACTCTTGAGCACTCTTTCGCTGCTTTTCCTCTGATGCAAAATTAGACACAGTGTGCAGGTGTTACTTTTTACACAACCCGAAGTTATGCACTGACAGAAAACATCTGCAGCTCCATATTATACAATAGCTATTATTACTTTACCAAGTGTCATAACTGGACAATACAAAAAATTATTATGATATAAGACTTATTAAATATTAGAATAAACAGTCTACTGCAAAGTGGTCCAGTCTGCAGAGTAACATCTTTTTCCTTGAATATATCACCCTGGCTTTAAAAACTATAGGAAAGGTTGGCTACAGCAAACAGCAACTTTGAGAAAAACTTTGAAACACAGAATATATATTTGAACAATAACTTTTGGTATTTAAAGTAGTTTTTATATAACTTGCCCGTCTTTCTTTGTGCATCTTGGAAAAATATTAAAGTCTGAATTTTGATCTTAAAAGTGTACATGGACCTGATCCCTCCTGGGGGTTGACTCTTTGTGGAAAATTGTGAGTAAACATCTCCTTCTTAAGCATGGACATTTTCATTTGTTTTTATTTGCTGACTTAAAGCTCCGGTGAGGAACTTTTGGTTTGTATCAGTTTTAGCGCCTTCTGTGGACAAAGCAGATTTTACATGCATAAAAATGCAACCCTGCTGACTTATAACAGTCATGAATTTAATTTCATTTTGAATATTTAAGCTGTTTCTTCAGGTGCTTGGCTGACACCTACCCCTCTCACACTTCACTTTCAGGCTTTAAAACCTTAAAATAAAAGTCAACTAAGGCTACATTCATACTGCAGGTTATGATGCACAATTCGGATTTTTTTGTTTAATCTGATCTTTTGTGCGGTTGTTCACATTACAACAACGAATGCAGCATCTGATGTGAACGGAATGCATCCGTGAAGTGACCCGCATGCACACAACTGGCTGTTCTCCATACCCTCGTCCGCCATTGCGTTCCACGCCTGCTTGTGTTGTCGAACAATGGTGACGTTTGTCGCATATTAATGACGTATAGGTCGGATTAACGCAACCTGAGCGTCCACACTGCAGTCACATCGGATATATATTCGATTTATATCCACATACAAAAGAGGCCTGGGTCAGATTTGAAAAATAAAAATTGCACTGTTCACACTTACATGAAAAAATCTGATATGTGTCACATATGGTTAAAAAATCAAAATTCACCTGCAGTGTGAACATAGCCTAATAGTCTTGTTTGCTTTTGTATAATATGAGAAGGCATCAGTATAAGTTTGGGGGCTCTATTTTGGTGCTTCGCCGGAGACGTGCCGCAAGCGCAGAGTCAATCAGATCCGCCGCGCTGACAAGGCGTTCCCAAGCACATTTTGGTATTTTGGTGAGCCGCGCAGCCCGGCGTAAGTATCCCCCCTCCCTAACTCAGCTCCTCCCGGCAGCATAAATCATAGACGGGGAGGAGAGGGGGTTTAACACAGCCGAGACCTGTTTTCACCAATCACATTAGCTCCTCTCCTCGCCTTTAAATCCGCCACAGGCGAGGCGTATTACTATTTTCATGAAGTAGTCAAAGAGATCAAGAGATGTCTGAAGACAGTTATGTCACACGATGGCGACAGAAGGCAGCTGCTCAACAAGTGTCCTCCACACTCTCTCATCTGAGCACAGATGGATTTGGTGTGCGTAATGTTGGACCCACTGGTAAGACAAACACCCTTTTCCACAAATAAAGACACTCACATAAAGTTGCATATATTCAAACCTCACGTGACAAAGGTGGGTTGAGCGCACAGATCACAACATAAACTCCAAAAAGGCATTAAAATCGGAACCATCTGTGCGTAAATGACGCATCGCGCTCCGTGGCCTGGCTCTTTCTTTCATAGATGTTGGCATATAAAATAAATTTGGCTCACAAAACTGAATATTATAATATCCGTATGTCGGCTTAAAGTAGATCACGCATCTGAGCACTGAAACAAATCATCTGTTCAGCCGCAGCAGCAGCAGGAAGACGGACAGAGGACACGGAGACGTGTCCAGGTCGAGCTGTGCGAGAAATAAGAGGAAGAAAGAAAAGGAGGGAGACACATTACATATCTTGTTAACTTCATCATGTGCGTTTATTTACTAGATATTTAATTTAATTTGATGCAGTTTCAGCTGTATTGATTCGGTCAGGTTGTGTGTCCAAACGCGTGCCAAACGCGCTCATCAGATCAGATATAGATCAGAATATATCGATATAGATCTAAATGTATGTGCTGACTCAGATTAATAGTTGTTGATGATTATTTATTGCACTGAAATCTGCCTGACACTGTGGAAACCTGCCGGTGAGGCATCAGTGACGTATGTCGATACGCTGCCGGTCTACCAAAATACTACTGGACCAGCTGCGTTCCGCCTTGCGCTGAAAGCTGACCAGGTTTGAATCGGCGAGCTTTCAGCGCACGTTACACGCCAGTGGCGAGCACGAAAATGTCACTGCGCCAGCTGATTCTGTCAACACCTCCCCCTGCCACGCCACCACGCCCAGCTTGGCGGATCTCGGCTCGCCTCCGTGCGACTCAGTCCACGAAAATACCAAACTCGCCTTACACCGGGCTCCGCCAGACGAAAATACAACTGCGCGGGGCTCGCCGCCCTCCGCCGCCTCACCGGCGCGAACGAAAATAGAGCCCTAAGTCTTTATATCTATGTCAAAAAAATTCCTCACAGGAGCTCAAAGTGTCCGAATGTATCATTAAAGTTTCTGTTCTTGTGTTTTCGTTTTATCTTCTTGTTTTTGTTGAGAAAAATAACTGTCAGTAAACTAATGCTGCTTATCCTGCTTTTCCTTTACATGTTATTGATGTGTTACTGCTGTTGTTCTAATTTAATCCATGACAGTATGAATTGCCACTATTTCTGTGTTTGCTTGTTCTATTAAATTAATTTTGTGCTCATAAACGGGCCAAATTCCCCATCAAATCAATGTAATTATATAAAAACAGTCATATTTGCTCAGCGATTGCAAACCCTTTTAATGGTCTCATGGAGCTGTGGGGTAAGGATGGATTTGAGGCTGACTCTGACATGTCAAATTGTAAGAAATGAGGACAACATTAATCTGGTCTTGCATTGAAAACCTTTCGTGTCATGTTGCCCTTCATCTGCCTGGTTGTCGGTGTCTTTCCTGAAATCTCTGCTACATTACTGACAGCACCGGTCAGGAAAAAAACAAATGTTCCGCAGCAGATGGTCTCATCTGGCTAATCAGAGTTTCACATCTCAGTCTGAATTTTCTTCCTCTTCTTGCATCTCTTCCTCCTCCAGAATATCTCTGTAAAATCTGTGATTTTGTTCTTTAAACTTCCTCCTTGTTTGGACAAATATCTCTTGCACTTGTCTATCCGTTACATGAAGTCAGACTGTTTCTCTGCCTCACAAACATGGTTTAGTAGATAGGGGAAATATTTTGAAGTCTTGCAGCCTTGCAGTGTGCGTGGGAGTTATATTCCACTCTATTTTTCATGACCCCTCCCATGGTAATACCTTATTAAAGTGGAATTTTGTAATTTAATGTAATGGAATAGCTGTAATTGGATTAGTATATGATTACAGCTATTACACTTATCTGCAAAGCTGCTTCTGAAATCTCTTAAATGTTCCACTCACTAACACTGGTTGGTCCCCCGGCAGATCAAATGCAAAGGCTCTAGGAAGCATATCATTTTCACATTCCTGCACGGATATGTGATGACTTAAAAAAATCACTGATAGCTACCATTAATACATTACAGCTCAGCACAGAAAGCACGTTATGACAAGAGAGTAAAATAAAGCTTTTATTTCCACACCGCCGCCGACTTTTTGAAACCACACAAAGAGCTATGAGTGGCGTCAAGGCTGCTGCCACCTGCCTCTCCATCTCTGGCACGTCCACACAGTTTCCTGCTGCCTGCTGCAGGAATTAAGGAGGAGATTTGGAGAGCCTGGGCAGATGTAACAGCTGAGTTGACATTAGCCTGTGTGGGACAACATGCAGCTCAGATAGAGGGGGAGAGGAACGCTCTGCACCGGTAACAGGGAGGCTTAAGGATGTGGCCTGCTTCATTATGTCCCAGACAAGCTTCTTGACTTGCCAGCCAAACTATATTTTCTGCCTGCTGCCCACATGTACTAGAGGATGAGATAGAGGCCTGGTCTGTCCAGGTGTGACAATTTACTAGACCTGCAAATTTTAACAGCATGCATTGACCTCTGGCTAAACCAGATGCCAACTGTGAGGTACACACAACATAAATTCAAATACAACCCTAAGTCTGAGGCAGCTGGGACACTGTGAAAAAGGCTGATAAAAACAGACTGGTGGTTTGGCATTTGTGTAACTTTAATTTTGATTAAAAAGCACAAAGACAACACATCAAATGTAAAACACAAATATTGAGTGCTGGATACTCATTTAAATCTGATTCCACCAACACATTTAAAAGAAAATCGGTCATGGGCGTCATTGTCATAATAATAATAATAATAATAATAATAATAATAATAATATATTTTTTATATAGCACTTATCAAAACCAAGTTAAAAGGTGTTTTACAAAAACATCAAATTTCAGCAGTGAAAAACACAATTTAAAAAATATAAAAGTAGTGGCTACAAGTTGTCGTCTATTGTGTTGCCGCCCCTCTTTGTAAATATTAAGGAGTAGGTTTGGAGCTGCTCCACAGTTCAAGGTCTTCTTTGGAGTACTTTTTGCCCCATCAGAATTGCAGACAGGCTAGCTTAGCACCTGGAACCAAACTGTTGTAATATCTGCATAAAGTAGTTTGAAAACGATTGAAATATCAGACCAGTTTTCTACTTAAATGTTGGGTTTAAATGGTTTGCATACAATCAAACTGCACTTTTATATGTACCAACTTGCTTGGGTGTTGGGATCTCAAATTGGGGCCTGGGTAACCTGGGAACTTGTCTTCACTCACCAAAACGAGGGGTGTCAGGGTGTCTTGTCAAAAACCAGAGATGGATTTTATTAACAACACATCGCCCAAGTGAAAAATAAGCTCCAAAGTGACATTTAATCAACTATTTAATACTTGTTGGCAGGTCTCAGGGCTCTGCTTTATATCTGAGGTATGACTGACATACACCGTCCATCAGGATGAGCATTCGCTGTCCAAGAGGATCACATCTGCTCTCTCTTCACGCTGTTTTAGGATATCTTTCTCTGTCTGCACAGAAGTCTAATAAAACAAGAAATATGATTACTTTAAATTCCACAAGAGCAGGATTGATCTCCTGTGAGGATAATATTACTACAAATTTCCTCATATGCTAATTAATCCTCCTACCAGTTGCCCTGTTTTGCATATGAAACCGCGGATAGAAACAGAGTTCTTCTCTTTATTTCAGTTTTTTTTGACCACGCGAGGGCAAGTTGTAGAGCACCAAGTTTGTAACGATAACTCTGAATCTAAAAATGTAATATTCATTGAGGTTATGGGCCCTTGTGTCCTAATCTGAGAACGCAACAGAATTGAATTTGTTCGAGTTTATGGACTTAAAATATTTGCTCTCTGCACTTGAAGCCCCTCTGGGACTCTGAATAAATGACGCAAACTCCCACCTACACTCCCTCAAAATTTAAATGATCACACTTATCTTTGTTATTTCCATCCAGATGGACTTTCACATGCATAGAGAGCACAGGGGTTTGGATTTTCACCCTGCAAATGGGCACAAGCCGGCAGTTTAATGGCGCAATAACATTGTTAATAAAGCTTATAACTGCCTTTGTTTTGTGTATAATCTGTTACAACAAACATTATATAGTAAAGTAGCTGCACAGGGACCCAAATGCTTCTAATGGACTGACTAATGGTCGGCTGCAGATTTACAAGACTCCTGTTCACGTGTGGGTTTTTGAAGAGCAGAGCTACAAAAGGTTTCATACACAATCTACCGGCCCTGTTAAATCTGAATGCTTCCTCCCTCACACACACACACACACACACACACACACACACACACGGATGAAATCTGGAGTAAACAGAGCAGCATCTGCACCAAACTATTTCCATCTGTGCTCGCACACTGTTTCTGACAGTTGCAGGTTGGAGGGCTTTGATAGGCTTCACTCTGTGTTCCCGATCAGATTCCAAAATATGCTCAGGACTTAGAGGTGCATCTAGTGCCTGATGACTTAAACCCAACCCTAGAGACATGCAGGGAAATTACAGCATCTCTGATAAATCTTTGCAGCTAGCTTGACTCGAAAGGAGGAGTTTGGGGTTTTTAGTGGGGTTACATGAGGTACCCATCCATAGAAATACTACAAGGAAGGTAAGCTATGGAGCAGAGCTGATTGGTGTTTAGATGAAGCAGTTTGGGATTATACATTTATGTTTTTATAACATGCAGGTCTTCTTTTTGTGGCTCAGATATGGAGTCTTCATTACCATCGACCTGTACTGCAAGCAACACTTCATGTTCATATTTCTTGTCTTTGGTTTTGTTTTAACACTGACTTATCTTGGATTCCCCTTTTAAACAATGACACAACAGTTCCTTTTTTTTGATGTGAAAAAGAATCACACTTTATGACAATTATGGCTGTCGTTTTCTAATTTGAAAGACTTCAAATTTAGTTAATAATGGTTTTAAGTAATTCATTACGGATTAGTATGTGGTTGATCTTTAAAGCTCTGCCCACATGACTTGGGAGGGACCACCAGGCAGGATGTAAGAAGCAGATACTGGCACTTTGTACCGTTAATTTCTGGTGTAGTTAATTTCACAGGTTGTGTTGGTGTTTTTTTAGTCACTTAAAAGCTACATGAGAGACATGACGCAGATCAGATGGGTCAAGTTGCTTGGACGTTTCTTGTGGTGTTCCACAGGGGTCAGTCTTTGGACTCAAATTGTTCATTTTGTAGATAAATAGTAAAGGTAAGGTGTCTGGTTTTCTAAAATCATTGTCTATGCAGTTGACAAATGTTTTATGTTCTGAAGATGATCTGCAGCAACTTTAAGAGAAAGTCAAGAAGCCTTGTTTTTACGATATAAACATGCAATACTAAAATAAATGATATGTTTGACTGTCAGAAGTCTGTCAGAAAAGAGGACAAAATATGCAAAGACGCAAAAATTTACAAAAACTGGAAATTTGTCACAAAAGCTTTAGACTTCTTAGTTTCATTTATTGTTTTTGTTGTAAAGTTAGATCAGGACATCTCGAGTTTTCTAGATATGCTAGCAATAAAAGTCTTGATTTATTTCAATGTCATAATAAAATTCCACTGCAAATGAATGCATTTAATAGGAATACTTCTTCATGAGCAGCTCTTACTTTAAGAGAGTGAACCTTTAAGATGTGGGTGTCCTGAAATGCCAGGGGACTTTGGGGAGTTTTAGCTTTAAAACTGAGTAAAAGGCAGGAAATGAGTTTTTCAAAGCACAACCCCATCAAACCTCTGCTGAAATATTACAGTTATTCTCTGCTATTGGACGGTAAAAATATACTTATTGCCCCTGAGCGGGATAGTCTCTAATGAGTGTTTTTTTTTTAAAGAGCTGGGAGTCTTTTCTTCAGGTATAAAAACCTTGTCCTCCTTGGCTGTGAGGAGGGAAACTTGTGAGGGTTGTTTGAGAAACTTCAGGTCATAATTTTGGCTAAATAAAAAAATAAGGGCTATTCTGCGTTTGTTTCTACAGAGATGCAGCTGCTTTTAATCTGGATCTGGAAAGCTTTTGTGCTTGATCATGCTTCCCTCAAAAATTTCAGATCCCTTTCAGAAATTATTTGTCGTTTCTTTTTAATGAGCAAATGGCACAAACAGATATGCAAATGCTAATTGAAAGATCAGACGAAGCATTTCAGCATGAGACCTTGTAAGCTGACGTGAAGATGAAAATCAGAGGCTGCAGTTGCTGCATAATGACTGCTGGTGAGATCCCTGCAGAGTTAGAAACAAAACATCTGCTTCCTCTGGATATATTCTTCTCTCTGCTTCACATTTTTGCATCCTAACACAGTTTTTCTCTCACATAACCGTAGACATGGCATCCTCTTGCCTCTCTGTAAAGTGATTATGGCGTCTATGGCTGCAGCTCTGACCTTCTTATCATTGTTTGGAGGATTAATCTGCCAGCAGGTCGTGTCTCTGCCTTCCCTTTTTGCTCTGTCTACACGGTGTTAACGATGCGTCAGCCCGGGCAGCGCTGTCACCGTTTACTTGAGGCTGTATAGCGATGATTCACATGAGTGAGCCATTAGGAAATGGATGTTTTCATGACCCTGTGAGGAGGAGAGCGAGTGGGTTGAAAGTGCAGGCTTTACAGAAAGGCAAGGCGCTCTAATGTGTGTGAGGCAGAAACACTTTTACAGATCTATCTTCTTCCTTATCTTTGGGATTCATTAAAACTCTTTCAAAAGTTTGTGCCTTTAGTGAGTAAAAACGTATGCCATTATGGGAAATCACAAGACAACAAGAGCAGTAAGGGTGCTGCTTTTTTCACAGATTAACCCTCAGATGAGGATTCAGGTCTTCATCTCGTGTCTGAGCGCCCCTGTTAGGCATTCAGCCTGTTAAAAGCTCTGTGAAAACATGAGAAACACTTAGTCCTTGAGAGGAAGGAGCTGTTGTTTACAAAATGCTTGAGCTTTCATGGATCTTGCGTGTTTTCTTCCCTCCAACTCAGACAGCTTTGGGGAAAAATTGTCTGAGGAGCTAAGAGCACATTTCTCTGATCTTCTCCATTTAAACACTCAAAGGACATCTTTAGCTCCCTGTGCTTAATTCAGTACATCCTCCCCTTTATGTTTGACTTTACCAGTGTCTGCAAGGTCCTCCTCCTGCTGGGAGGAAAGCCATGCAGCTGACATATTCGCAGTCTGGGCCACATCTCGGGGCAGTGATCCCTCCCACTAGGAGCTGAGGTTTGACCCATCACACACTGGAGGACAGGCAGCGGGCCGGAGAGTTTATAGAAGTCCACATGGGAGCTGCCTGCAGGGAAACTACCCCTCCCACTCGTCCTCTGTGCTGTCTCTCTTCTCTTCCCTCTGCTGTGTCCTGCACTGTAAAGGCGTGGCCCCCCTCCCTCCCCCCTCAGGGACCCATTTGCCATCTATAAAGCCTATTGCTATGGAAATAGTGTGTAATTTCAGGGCCCGTTAACGATGGGTGTGCAGGCACGCATATAGAGCTCCTCTGCTATCATCACACAGGAGCAGGAGAGCACCCAGGGCGAAATCTCATATTGGTCTCTCCTTTGCTGGTCTGTGCTGCTGAGACATGACATGTATCACCTGATGGAGGCAGAATAAGGGACGGATGGATGGACGGAGCTGAGCGAGGGAAGAGAGATGAGAGGTGGTATTTAATGACAGAGTGAGAGTTGGGGGTCTTTAGAGTCTGACTCCCATCCTGGAAAAGGTTCTGTCCTCCTCTCCTGAGCTATACCCTCTAATGAAAAACAGGTGAAGCACTCTGGCACATGCCATTTATTAGATTTGTAGTGAATCACCTCTGATATCGTCTTCATTATGGTGTTGAGTATGGGTAAGAATGCAAAAAAAAGCACCATTTATACCATGAACTGATGAACCCTCTCTTTATTTGACTGGTGTTGCACTATGACACCAGAATACAGAGTATAGGGAGGTTCTGGAGAAATTAATTATCTGAGCATTCCGATTCAAAATTTTACCTAAAGCAGACTCATCTGGAGTTTACAGCCAAAAACAGTCAGACAACATTCAAAAATAAGGCACACTTTATTCAACATGACCAGATACTGGTTTGCAGAGTGGCTACAGTTAGCAGAGCTAGCACCACCAGCCTTCGAGATCAAACCAACAAAAATCACGCTGCCTCCCAAGATGCCATTTACTATTTGTCCTTGTTTACGTCCAGCTAGTAGAGCGTAACATTAAGGCTGTGTGTTTTGTGTGTGTGTGTTTTCCCCCTTTTGTCTCCCCATAGATGCCCAGGTGAAGTCACTGGGTGACAATCAGACTCACCTGGTGCTGGGACTTTAAAGACCGAGAGCTGCCTGCAGTCTGCAGAGGCATTTGGTGGGGAACTGCTGCCCTGCTGCCTCACATTTGTGTTGTGGGTTCTTTTGTGTTTAGTTCGTAATTTTGTTATATTGTCACAATAAATCACTTGTTAAACTTTTGAAGGTGTTTTGTTAACTTAATGGGTCAAAAGGTGAGGATGGTTGTTAGCCCCATAAGGCCGCTTTCGGGTGGGGTGTAACACAAAGCCCCTTTATTGAGGTCTTTGGGGTCAAGATCCAACAAGAATCAGGGATGTCCAAAATATTTAATTAGTAAAATAGTCAGTGCTTTAATGTGCACAATCAAGTCAGGCTATGGTTAAAGCTTGAGTAAGTGATTTAACTGTTGTCCTTGCCCCAGCCTAGAAGAGAGATTTATTGACACCATGGTTGGTGGTGTTCACCTCTTTTCAGTTAGTTCCTACAGAGAATCTCCTGTTTGACATATTACGTCACGTACCAAAGCAATCGACTAACATGGTAGCAAAAGGCTAATGGGTCATATGTCAAACAAACCAAGGATGCAAATTAGCCACAGCTTTGTTCAGAATATGGTACACTGGCTGCACTAGAATTAGATGTAATGATTCTTACAACTATAATAAAACTATAATAAATGTGGTATATAAGAGGATAAAGATAAAGAGGACAGATTAATTATTACATAATAGCATCATTAGCTTTTACGTGCCTTGTAGCAGCTAGCAAGCAGCAGCTAGTTAGCTTACAGTATGTTTGCTAACATTTAAAAGGATTTGTAAGACCACAGCCTAGTTATTATTCCATGGAAGTTTGTTTCTCATTGGTTTTGCATCTAAAATTATGAGCACCTGCTTAAACAAATCTGATCTCCGGTGCTTCACTTAACACTCTGAAGCTGCTAAAGCAGAACAGAGAGAGGACATAAGGTTTGCAGGAAGGAGAGGCTGGAATACTGTGGGGGAAAGACAGACACACAAAGATGAAGAGGGAATAGTCGGTGGGAATCTGAGGAGAAGGATCAATATTTATACTGCTAGGCGAGACAATTCAGGGGCAGTAATTAAATTGGTGTGTCATATTTCATTCCATTACTGGGTTGAGCGTGCATGCAAATGATCCAAAAAGGCCTCCTTTTCAAGAGGATTTCATTTCTTTTATGACAGTGAATAGAATGGAGCCAGGCAGAGGAAAATAAAATACTACTTCGGTATTCATAAGCTTATTGTTGGGAACTTGGGGACCATTCAGCTGCAATTCACAAGGGGAGGGATGGGGGGCTGTGATACAAATCCCTCTTGGAGGCAGTCGGCTACGCTCTAAACCTTTTTACACTGGAACTAGGTGCAGGGGTGGGGAAGCAAATCAATCTCATTTGAATAATGATTAGTGAAATGAGGCAATGCTGTAGCTGATTGGAAACACGCTCTGATTCCCAACATCGCCTCCCCCCCGCCCCTCTCTGGAGTCAAGGAGAATGAATTAAACATAAAAAAGTAAATGTTACACTGGCATGCTGCCTGAGCAGATATTTTAGGTCAGACACAGCCTCCTTCAAACATTCAGCAGCTACACCTCCCTTGTCATTTCCGCAAATATGATCGTTTCATATCCAAATAACTGCTCTTGAGGGAGAGGATGCTGGATTGATGACTTCAGAAGGTGACCGCCCCTCTGTAAACCCTGTCAGCGCTGTTTACGGTAAGTATTAGTTTTCTGTGCTGCCTTCCTATTACAGCGCCCTGCACTCTGACAAATGGAATTTGGGACAAAACAACAGAACACAGCTGTGCTCTGTGTAGCCAATTAAAAGTTCCCCTTCCACCTCGTATCGGCTGGCCCTTTTCATTTTCTCGTGAAAGAAAAAGGATCAAAATACATGACAGAGCTTCAGCTAACTCCAATTGCCACACTGTACCTTATTTTATTTTCACCCTCACCCTGCACAGTCGATTTCCTGTGAGGGGAAAAAAGACCCTGACCCGGGAGAGCACGCACAGACACTAAGTAGCGAGGGATGAAGAGGGTTTGGAGCGCTGCCATGCTTGCAAGCACAGGTTCTGCCGGTGGCATCTGAAGTGCTGCCAATGGGAAACTCGACATTAGCGTTTACAGCGCGGGAAAGAACAACAGCTGCTTATGTTGTGTGTTCCTGTGCCAGCACCCATAGGGGGAAAAGGTTGTCAGATATGATGTGGGTTACCAAAAGTTCCCAGAATTCATGTGTTTATGTTGCTCCCACATGCACCTATCGACAACTGGTTGCAGAAAATAACAGCGGTGGTGGGGACTGTAGGTACGACACTGTACTGCAGAGATACTGCACTACAAATAGAAGTGCATGCATCCGGGAAACATGCAGATAAAAGTGCATGTGAATGCAAATCAAGTGTATAAACTAGATTAATAATGTACTGCAAGAGGGAATACGCCTCTTCAGGGTTAAGAAGGTCCTTAGTGAGTCAAGTCAGGGAGTAGAGAGATATAATTTGCTGCTAAGGTTTGATTTGGAAATGATTCATCAATAAAAAATGTTTTATATCTTCTGCTTAAAGGCACGACAAGAAAGCTAAATGTCGTGTTGATTATGGTAAAACCTTTGGCTGGTAATGGGTCATGTTTTCCAGGATAAAAACTACATTTTCCATGAGCCTCATCACCCACTGTTGCAAAGCAGTGCCACTTGTCAAAGCAAACACATAAACAGATCTTCTTTCTATAATTAAGATAACATTTTGCAGGCTGCAGAGCGATGAGGTAACATATTGATCTGTGATTGTAAAAAAAGGATTTTACTGCTTATACTGTGTGCAACGCAAAAACAGAATATTTCCTTGAATGGGGAAACAAGGTGAACAGGATTACATAAATGTGAATGAGTCATTCTCTGTTGACATTTATTTGGGATTAACCAGCCTTTTGACACAGCAACAGCCCAGAACGTGTTCATTTGGGATTTTAGGCTATTAAATGTCTGTCTTGTTGAATTTTGTCGATTTCTGTGCCACCTGGTTCTGAGTGTTAGTGAGTTTCTTTTTATTTCTTTTTTTTCACTTTTACTGTATGAAATAATAAAGATACATAATAAAATGTGACGGTAATGAGCACCTATAAATAAAGTAACAGTTCTGAAGGAGAAGTAGAATCGTATAAGATAGCTTAACTGATGTTCTGAGAGATAATCACTCTGCTGGTGTTGACAAGCTGATAAACTTCATGCATGGCTTCTCGCTTTGTCAGGAGCGGCCAGCCGGAAGAATGACATATCTACTCATTACTGTGGAGAGCATATGGGAGACTGCACAGCTGTCAGAATCAGGGGCTGGTGCAGGGTGGCCCTCGGCGAGACCCTCTGCTTTTTGCTGGGCTGCAGCTGAGGAAGAATGACAAAAAAAAAAAGCAGAGCGAAAGTATGTGCAACGTGAAAGAGAAAGTTTTATGTTGACACCAGAAAACTAAATAAATCAGAGTGAAATATGTGATTATCTAAATTCAGCCTTTCTGGGGTGATAAAGTGCTGCAGCATCATTGAGGTGAAACAAAAATATCAGTCCTACATATTTTGAAAACAGATTATTATTATTTGGACTCCATAATTTAGATTCTGATGACAATTTTCTTAAAAGAGATGCAATATTTCATTCCTCTCTACTAACACTCTTGCATAATCTCCAAAGTACTATCTTTTTCTTCCCATAAATGCAATAAAATCCCACTTTTTATGTCCAATGAGAGCTTATTAAGTTTGAATCATCTTGCAACTTTCACCGGTTTCTCATTTGTATTATTTATCACAGTATGTGAGTCACTGTGTGATAAAACCATGTCGGTATTATCAGCAAACTAAACAGGAAAAATACATTTACAGGCCACTGAAAGGCATTACTATAAATATGAAATAATAGAGGTCCTAAAACGCAACCTTGTGGTACACCACGTCAGCACAATCATTGATTACTACTCAATGTTTCCTCTTACTCACTCAGACAACTTATCAACAGAGCTGGCATGCATCAGTTACTCACTCTTGAATTAGCAAACAGTTTCTTTTCTTTAAACGGAAGTGAATTTGAAAAACACAAACTAAACCTTTAATTTCCTTTAAGATCTTTATTTTCGCATTACTCATATTAAATATTCAAACAGAATATGAGCGTGTTATTTTTTCATGTATACAAACTGATAATTAATACAGCTTGGGAAGCCTCCCTCTGTATGTGGCGCCGTTATAAATAGTCTAAAAATCACAACCTAACTTAACCCCGCCGAACAGCCTGACAAGTGGACTTCAAACACAGTGGGCTCAAAAAAGTCCAGTGGATCTCCTTCACCTCTAAAAAGCTGACTGAGCGGAGAGCTGCTGTTTGCTCATCTACAGGTGAGCTGGGGGCTCTGTTTGGTTCAGGGTGTGGACTCGGCTCAAGACGTCTAAGACTCGGGGGTGGAATTTAAGCATCTGCCCCCTGTTATGGGCCTGCCGACTGGAAAATTCAGTTTTCTGTGTAGAAACGTTTTTGGTCCCAGTGTTAGGAGGCTCCAATGAGAGCCGCAGGTGGCCAAGCATGTTTGGGGTCTTATTGTAAACTGTAGTCTTGGTCATATGTGTACATAAGTTTTAGGTGTGAACACTAACTTCAGTTATTGTCTTTGTTTATGACTGAAAAGAGTTAAATGTTTAATAAATGCTGCTTAGTAACCATCTCAGTGTGTCTCCTTGGAAAGCACAGTGTTGTAATTTTGCAGAATATAATGACTAATAGTGTCAAAGCTTTAGAAAAGTATATAAAAGGTCAAATGCACACAGCTGATATCGCTTTTTTCATTTGAAAAAATAAAACATTTAAAATGAAGAAATGAGACATAAAATTCCTGAACTTGAGGAACTTTTTCTCTAAAATTAATGTCTGCTGAATCAGTCAGTCAGTCTCTAAATACAGTGACTACTATTGTGTCTACCAGCTGTAAAATCAATCAATCAATCAATCAATCAATCAATCAATCAATCAATCAATCAATCAATCAATCAATCAGTCTTTATTTATACGTATAGCACTTTTCATACATAACATGTAGCACA